AAGTTATTTAGATTCAATAGCCATATGAAGCAAGAGTTTGTACGCAGCCCAGAATGACCGAAAATCCATTCGCGGTTAAGCCCCCCCCCCCCCCGAAAAAAAAGTCACAGCGCGACTACTCACCGCTCATCGTGGGTTTTAAGGTGCCGCACGAAATTGCTCGTTGTGTTTGGGCCATCAGTGACAGTGGATCCACTTATTTTACAAACAGCAGACCTAGCGTCTGACTTGGGTTGGTAACAAGTCATTTTTTGCAATCCCAAGTCAAGTCACAAGTCATTGTTTGCAAGTCCAAGTCAAGTCACAAGTCAAAGCTGGTATTTACAAGTCAAGTCACAAGTCACAAAAATAGCGACTCGAGTCCGACTCGAGTCCAAGTCACATGACTCGAGTCAGCAACTCTGGGGTTTACATGACTGCATATTTACTTATTCATTGTGCGATTTCTCCATATGTTTGAACAGGTTGCTGATAGCCTAGCTTACACAAATGTCAGTATTTCTTTATGATTTTCTGTACTTTCGGGTAATTTCTATTCTTCATAAAATTGGTCAATTCATGGACCACCCATGGTCCACCCATGGTCCACCCATGGTCTGAAGCATACTCCTTTTTTTTTTCTCCTGATGAATTTTCTATTTGTTTATTTAAAAATAATTTTCTATTTTGGACCTTTCCACCCCTCTGAGAATATGCTTTTATTTTGGTGTGCTTTTGCTCTCATAATACATTTTTAAAAAAAGAAGAGATCAACGAAATTATTGTCGGACTGAAAATAATTGTCGGACTGAAATTTATTATTCCATTTTCGAGGCGAATTTACTTTTCCATTTTTGGGGCGAATTTATTTTTGCTCATTAAAGTGATTTCATTTTCTATTGCTAGAAAAATAGTAATTTAAAAAACAAAATCTATTTTTCTGTGTTGAAACTTGAAAATAGCACAGGGAGAGTAACTTAAAGTAATATCCACGTCAAAAAAAGGAGTCCGAGATAAACCAAAATATTAACTTATCATCGTTGGTGATGGTTCTTGTGCTTTTTAACCCTAACCCCCTTGAGTGATTTACTAGAAACCTTCTTCACTTTTGCAAATTCCAACACCATGGTAAACTCTACACCCAAACTGTTGGGACTCCGAGTATGGTGGTATGCCTCACCCCATGTAAACAGGCATGCAACTTTTCTTTGTAGCCGCTGATATCCTTATTTTGTACTTCTCATGAATGCCATTACAAATTGAAAAACACTGTACAAAGTCTTGTGTGGTTTGGAATTTCCTCGTTTTTTAATTTTTATTTTTAATTCAGAGTTGCGTGCCTGTGTAAAAGCATAATCCGTTTACTCACTTCAACAGATTCCAACAAAAAATGCAGTTGGATTTTGAAGGGTTGGGAATTGTTAGGTTAATGTTAAGCCTAGTTTCTATATCAACGTTAAGCTTATGCAGATTGTGCACAGTGCACAGAACCGTCTGCCGATAGCCTTTCTGGGTTGTCGGTGACATTTCCGGATGAAATGTTTCCATATGTCTGTGTTTCTTATGTCGATATGGCAACTAGGCTTTACAAATTTCCAATCTAACCTCAGACCAAATGAAACAGAAGTAATTATGATACAAAAATGCAATTCAAAATTGCAATTAAATATGGTTCCAGCCTTATTTTAGTTAATGATCTTATAAGAGCATTGTGATATAATTTTGTACTAAGTCAGGGAGGGAGGGACCCTCTTACGAATGTATTTTCATTGCTATCCGGTTCGTTAGTAAAAACGTCATACACGCGCACACACCCCTGATTACTAGCGCCCATTGGCTGCAAACGCTCGAGCTGCGTTAACTTCCGGTTCCAATCGTGCAGAAAGTGCTGGAGGTGACGTCACACTAACGAACCGGATAGATAGCACATGGACCAAAATCAATAAGAGCAGCTCACCCTTTGATCCAAGATAGTTTAGCAATTTATTGATTTTGTGTATTTATGTTGGAGCCGGGGCAATATGACCTCGGTGCTGCTTTTTATCTGAGATATTCACACATTTGGCAGTAATTTATTGTTTGGTGTGGGCGGTTTAGCCAGACTTGAATTCACCCATAAAATGCTACCTTCTTCATATAATTACCCCCTCTATATAATGACCCCTAATGCAGACAAATGTAATTGCTAATAATGACTAACGTAAAGCTTTCATAAAAGATGGATAAACTTGTAACAGATTCACTCGATATCCTCTTGGCTTGTAATAAACTCTATTTTATTACGTACTCTACATGTCTCCTGTATTGCTTGAAGTTATTTATCTGGCTTTCTGTCAGATTTAATGTTTATGAAACCTTTACCCCGTTTTTGAAGCCATATATGATGCCAAATTTAGTCTCGGATGATTTTTAGCAGTTTCAGTGTTGGCAGGAGTTGAACTGACACTGTAGCCATCTTTGAACTTGTTCAACAGGGATACACACTGAGTAGACCTCTTGTGCGTTCATTGTTAATGAATTAAACACACCATCACACCTTCAAGATGGCTGTTGAATGCAATCCATCTATTCCACATACACCTGTAGATTGGGGTCATTCTATACATTTGGTGTCCACCATTTTCCCTGTCCCTGTTACATCTATTAAACATCTATGATTTTTTTTAATTCTGATGCAATCCCTTTATGCAGTCTTCCTCCAAGAGTGATTATGAATATCACCCTACCTACACAACAAATTAAAATTGTTTGAAGTCATTCTTGGTGATACTTGAATGGCCAAGTACAAAGTACCAAGGCAACATGGACAGGAAAATGTCGCACTTTGGACTTAAATGTATAGTACACCCCATTTACAAAACTTGGAGTGTTGTCAGTATGAATATACAGAAATGTTCTAATTTTAAAAGTGGCAATCGATTCATATGTACCATTTCTTCTAAAATGTCTTCTGACTCACACTTGAATGATTTTTTAAATGAAAATCCCGAAAGCTAAAGATCTTCCAATATATTTGTCCACTGTCAATTTTGTCATAAAGGTGGTGCAAGTGCATGGATTTCATAACTGGTACATTTCTTAAACTACTATGTCAAATATATGTCCACTAAGCAGGGAATGTCAAGTACAAAGGCACTTAATATTTAAAGTTGTTCTACTTATTCACAGATTATCATTCCAGAAATATACAGAAGAATCATACAATAATACTTATTGTTCATTGTTGACCAATTCCATAGACTACTAGAAAACATGTCAAGATGATTGATTAACACACTGTTATTTTTTAAGCGACTAAAGTATTCACCAAATAATTTTAACTTGGTGAACAAAGCAGGCAAAGCTCTTAAAACGTTTGGGCAGCTTGAAGAATTTTTTGAGTTGCTCACTTTTTAGAGTTGGTATGAAAAAAACGTGTAAGGCAATTTTAGCATGTAATTCCACGAGTCTGATGCAAATTTCAGTGATGCACAAAACATGCAGACTTAAATATCATGCACATCGGTATGAAAATGTACTGTAACTACCCAAAATCCATCAACATCTTGTTAATAGATTAAAAACTGTGAAGCTCAGCTACCTTACTTTGGTGTCAGTGACATATCAAATCGTCTTTACTGGACTATGATGGCTGGTTGGGGGATTCAGGGAGGTTATCATTATAAATACCTCGAGGGTTGTGATTTTAAAAAGGCCTGTGTGGCGGAGGTTTTCAACTGTTCAATTTGAACAAAGTATAGACGATGGAATAACTCAAACATAACTATAGACCGTAACCTTATACACATTTCCAAGTATGTGTTGACCATAGTTAAAGGGGTGAAGCATTGTGGCAACGAGAAAGAATCTAGTCTATGACCTGAAGACACCTTCATTTTAATCAATTACTCCAGTTTCTAAGCAAGTGTCAAAGCAGGAGCAGCTATTTTGTATGGACAGCAACACTGTCATACTATTTCTTGTACATGTTGTACACGATGCTCTTTCACCATTTGATTAACACACAGATTATTTAGGTTTCTTCCCAGTTACCTATGGGATAAGTGCATTAGTCAGGTGGTTAAATACATGTAATATGCCATAGTTAAGTAGGCATTCTCTAGGCAACTGTTAGTGCTAAGTTGTCTTCAACAAACTACTGCTGAAATAGAAAAGATCAACAAGCTATAGCACCTTCTTATTTCATAGACAATATCGCTTAGTTTTAAAAAAATGAGTTCTGTAACAATTTCCACATTTCTACTCTATGAACAGCTTAACAAACAGTAAATCTTATACTAGGTTAAAGGTAGAGTACATTATTTGTCATTAGTGCCCTTTTTTTTAGTTTGAAGCAACAAAAGTGCTCAAAATCTAAAGACGAGTGCTGAACAACTAACCTGATGAAGTTTAGTCTCAGTGTACGCTGTTTAGTCTGAGAAAACAATATTCTAGGATCTCGATTTCAATTCAAAAGTTCCCAATCATGTGTTGAATTTAGCCCAAAATCAGTGTCCGGGACACGTTCTCATTCAGTCGATAACAGCTACAAGATGAGTTAACTAATAATAGCAACCGCGCGTGTGCGTCGTGTCAATGCTTGCGCGCACTCATTCATGGCTCACCGAATTAAAAACGAACTACTAAAGGCAATTTCCAAAAATGTGTCTTTAGACGCATCGTTGGAAAAGGCCTTCTTTTATTGTTGTCTTCAAAATGACAGCATGCGAGAAAGCATAATTTCACAGGGAGTTCAGTACCATTACCATCTTTAAACCAAGTAAGCTTTTCAATAATAATTTTGTCAGTTACTTTTTGGATAGCTGCAAATGATGGACTCTACTTTTAAAACAAGTCTGCTTGATGAAAGAACAGGTCATTACTTCAATTAAGAGCGATTGAACAAACTCTGATTAACAAATCCCTTCATTTTTAGCAGTTGAAAAAAAATAATTTATCAAGGTGCAACACTTTTTGAAAATTAGTAAAAATATTACATATGATTTACAATCCTTAACATGATGGAAATATTTACAAAAACATTTTAAAATTAATAAAAGAATTATTAATTAGTTTTATTTCGACATAAAATCAATTAAATTTTCTTAAATCAATAGTAAATATAACAACATCATAATAACAACTTAAAAGCTAAAATCACTTGCTTTAAAACATATTTTTAAAATTAAAACACTGTTAGCTGATGTGACCATTTTTAAATTTGCACTGCTCATTTCTAAGTACGTTAACTCCTAAATATAATCATCTTTCACGGCAACTGATCAAATTGGAACTATAAGCCATAAACAAATGTACAAACTTCAAATCTTAAAATGCACATTATGCAACAAGTGCACATATTTATGGCATTTGTCTTCTTTCTTTAATACAATAAAATAAAATATTTTCGAGGGGGAGCTTTTTTTTTTTTTAAGGAGAGAAGCTACAAGGAGAAACTCAACAAGCCACAAAACAACAAAGCTTTTTATTAATGGAAAAGAAACACAGGCCTATTGATCTCAAAGTGTTTCAAGTCCTTAAACCAAGACGTCATTTCTTTTGGGCTACTTCTGTTTTTTGGCTAGACTGCCACTGAACCAAAAACCACAACCTAATTGCCCCTAAAGTTATGCCAAAGACATAAATTCTTCTCATCTGAAGCCACACACCAGTCTTGAAGTCCACTCCATCACAAGCCTTCACAAGTCCATCACTAGTCCTTCAGTCTCAAGACAAGTCATAAGCTATTCCAATGAACTGTGCCAAAGCATTTGTTAATTATTTATTCCCTGTTAGAGGAGACTGTGAAATTAAACAGGCTGTAACTCGTGGTTCACCTTCACGTGCTACGGGGTTTGACAAGGTTCCTTGGGGTTGAACCTCAAGGTTTGGCTTGTTTAATTTGTGCAGACTTCATTTCGTATGACTGAATTTGTACAGTGACTTGTGATGGACTTGTGATGGAATCAACTAAAACACTGTCACACACTGATGTATTGTAAGTATTCCTGGATAAGTAAATACAGACTGTCATCTGTTCAAGCCAGGACTGTAACGACCACCTTTCCCTTAGCTCGTTTGAGTACATCCACAGCCTGTTCATGAGTAGCTGATTCCAGACTCTCTCCATTGACTGCTATAATCTGATCTCCTCTCTTGAGCTCACCACTCACAGCGGCTGCACCTTTATTGAAGACTGTCTTGATATAGATAGGTAGATCACCATGAGGGCTACCATGACCACCAACGATACTGAAGCCTAGACCATCCAATCCACGTTGCAACTCAATATGCTTCAGACGTCCAGCACTGCAGTTATGGAATCAACAAAGTCAATGAAACACTTTAGTAATATAACAAGGCTGAAAATAAGCACTTGTATTCAATACTATTTGAGGTCACACTGTGATGCCCGTGAACTCTACAAAAAGTCATATTTTGCTCAATTTTCTTATTCAAAAGACCTTTATTTTTGGCGAGGGGGGGGGGAGAGGGTTTGAAATTTGTGAGGGAGAGAATTGTTTAAAGTCTTTTGTGATAATTAGCTACAAGATATAAAGAGATTCTAATAGATAACACTGTGACATGCAGCATGACAACACTATGCCATTAGGAACAGAAGCACTGGCTATAACTGGGGTACGTTCCACTTACGCAAACATTGCTAATGTTGCCAACATTGGCATTGTTTGCGCAAGTGGGATTGACTGTTTGCCACCACCGTTGGCAAACAATATCAACAAACGATAATGGTCTCCCTGAATAGTTAGCTATGTTTTCCAAAATGGCAGACACAAACAGTAAACGTAATGATCCTACCTGGGATGCAATTTGTATTTATAACATCCCAAGTAAGTTCATATACTGGAAACGTTTCACTTCTGGTCACAGTCAATTTTTCGAGGATATTATCCAAACGATGACACTTGTCATGCCAGGGTTGGCATACTGAGGTTCTGCAATTTTGTCAAAAGTTTTTTCGATAGAATAATCGTTCCATTTGAGGTTGGCATGCTTGCAGGGCCTAGCTACCAACCTAAGATATTCACATGACTGGAATGCACCTCTGGTGAGAAGTGGCAAATACTAACAGCCTACAGAGACATGGGTAGGATGTTTCCACATCTAGCAGTGAGCAGGTCAGATATCAACAACTCACCTAGCCTCCTCCACACTAGCTGCATGTATAGCAGGCTGTGCTTTGACACTAGCCTTGACAGCTACCATACTATCTGCAGGATTACTACTCCTCTGGTTTCTCAGATACCAGTCCTTCTTGCTAGGGCTGAGCTCACTCACATCCAGCTGAATCACTCCTTGAGACGTCTTCAAGAGGTTGATGGCACTAGCGTAACTCAGACCAGCCACGTTGCGGCCATTGATGCTCTCAATACAATCCAGCACCTGGATATCAAGACAGAACATAACGCTGGTTTGAATCATTATCTAGACTGGTAGACTGGTTATTGCTGAATCGACGATGATAGGTAAGTGGGTAATGGAGGACTGGGTTACCAGGAACCAGTCCGTTTGGAATGACAGCATACACAAACGTGAGGCAAACATCATTCCAAACATGGGTTTGAAACAATCTGAAACTGAACATTTCACAAAACTGGATTCTTGTCTTTTTTGTTTTCATGTTTTTCAAGTATGAAACTCGGATTTGTAGTGTTTCTGCTGCTTGATTTTCTGCTTGGCCTCCCCAGTTCATACACATGGTTGCTGGTCACCGAGGCCGAGCATGCTAATACAGGACATCACATAGTGTGCTGGCTGATAATGAATATGCATGTCCATAACATACAAAGTCCCTTCATTTGTTGTTAGTATTGACAAACTTCACTATTGTTTTCTCTTAATGAAAACAAACATGTTGATAATATTATGTGTAAGTTATTATATTGTAGGTTGAGCTAATAGAAATCTGCAGTGCTACACTATGCGTTGCTGAATATTCCAAACTGAACAACTGAGTTTGGTTCGGTTTGGTTCAGTCAGAAGTGTCACATTCATAGAATTGTTGTTTAGTTCATCTGGTGGCTGCAGCACCATTAAAAACAACTTTGAAGACTGCCATAAATTCTAGCTCTTGAAATACAAGACGATGAGTATTTGTCTCATCTTTTCATGTAGACAATGACCGAAAGGTCTGCCAAGGGCAGGGTTCTAACCTTGCAGCTGAAAAGCATTTTAAAAATAATCGCACATCCATACACATCAAAAACAAAAGAAATAGACCTTTTACAAAGAAAGTTTACAAAAAGTCTGATAGACAAGTGGAAAGGCAAATTGTCAAAGATTGCCAGATTCACAGCAATGTGAGAGATAGTATGGATAAACTGACCATAAAATGGACATAAACGGCTGCAAGCCCTGAAAACATCAACCAACTAAAGAGTTACCTTGAGTTGTTTGTTCCTGTCTGCCTGACTGCCAGGATTGATAGAGGCTATAATGAGCGGCATATCTCCCATATCGCTGCCCTTACCCCCAGCTATGCTCAGACCTAAGGATTCTCCTGGTACCTTCCTCAGCTCCACATGACGCACTACGAAAAAGAATAATCAAAACTCTTTCATCATTCATCATTCAAAGCATTCATCCTACCCAGCCATGTTAATTAACCCTTGCCATTTGCCTGCAGTACCTGCCTGTTTATTTTCCTTCAATATAATTCCAGGCAACATTCACAAACAGTTTTAAGCAACTGATAACTGTGGTTGGAAAAAAGCCCATGAGGGAAGAACCATAAATGATGCCGCTATGCAAATATCCCTTTCAGGCACTGAGTGGTTTGTGAGATGAGGTTTTGGTTGTCAAGGCAACCCAGACTATTTTGCTTTGGCTTGAGAGCATCAGCAATATTTCATAGCTTTTTGGTAGAGCATTTTATGGGGTTACCGTTGAACCCTTGATCATTGATCACAAACACTAACCATTCGGCCACACTCCCCCATGAGATTGTGTGGTGTTGAGGATTTAAGAGGAGGACGGGGATGAAGGATATAGAAGATGATTAACGTGATGTCACCTTGTTTGGAAGTTGATTGGCTCTTGGTCTTAGCGACTTGATCTTCTTGTTTGCTTGTCTTGCCCAAATCTTTCTTTCGGCCGATTTCAAACAGCACATGCCCGTCAGTTGCCTGTAATATCAAACATATTCTACTGTCAGTGGCGACTTGATTGGAAAAAAACTGCAAGTTTTGTATCAGTTAATTTCTGTTACATTCCACCTACTTTTTGAAATTCAATGTGATTTTGTCTGTCTGCAAAACAAGTGAATTACAGTTTGTTCCTGAGGGTTTTAAAGTTTGCCCCCCCCCCCCTTTTTGGGGGGAGGGGTGGTATATTAGTTATTCCTGTTATGAAGCAATATCCAATTCTAGGCCCAAATTGCTGAATAAATTGAAATCCTACTGTTCTGAATTTTAAAATGACATGTTCAGATTGGAGTATGAAGGTTTGTCCAATTAGCAGACCCCCCAACCAACCAAACCATCATGTCACATATGGCAGATCTTAGTAGCATAATGTAGCAGCATAACTCCTACTGACCTTGAGTATTGCAGCTACTTCTTCCCGTGTAGCCTCCTGTACATCTTGCCCATTGATAGATAAGATATGATCACCAGCCTTCATTGAACCCTCAGCATGAGCAGCACTGCCTCTAAGAATCATGGAAATCACTACACCTCGACCTGACCTGATTACCAAAGCAAAATAATCCACACAATTACAAAAAGAATGCTTCAATATCACTGACCTCACGATGACCGGTCATACAATATTTCATTAGTAAGCGCTGTATGTCTTTGTACCTGTAGCACTATTACTACAAACATACATATTTTACATAATGTTGCAATTTTGTTCATTTGAATATTTTGATTCATTTGGTCAAATGGTATTGCTCAAAAGTCTGAAGTAAACTGCAGATATTGTATTCTTTATTCCCGTTTGGACTAATCAGCAAATAGGTGGTATAACTCTAAGGAAATCTTCAAGTTTAACAGACCTAACACACAGCAGTCGTGCAAGAACTGAATGTTTTTTTCTGTTATGATAAAATGAGTAGACTTTTTATTTATTTGTTGCATTCAAATTGAAAATTATAGTAAATTTCCCTAAAATGGCTGTCCTGTATAAGGTATTTGGGTTGTTACATGCTCATTTGCATACATGCTTAACATCTTGAGAATGCTTACATCATGTCCAAATTTACTCTTGCCTTTTCACATAATAAGTTTAAACCCGATATCTTCACATTGGATCCATTGGACCCTATACTTGACTCCCCTATGCACCTACGTTTTGCCTACAATGTTCAGGCCAAGACTCCTTCCTCGTGTATGTTGGAGTTCCACACTCAGCATCTCATCATACTCATCCTCCGGTTTCTCCTCTGACTCCGCCCCTTCCTCCTCCCCGTCCTCATCTACTGCTCCTTGACTGATAGCTTGATGATCACGGAACACTCTCAGGCAAACATGGTTAGGAGACTGGCGCAGTGCAGCAATGGCACCATCATGCTTTGTGTTAGTTAAATCTATACCATTCACCTGGTGCATACGGGGAAAAACAATTTCAAAACACGTTTAAGTCTAAAAGTTTCAAATCCAAATCTTGTGAGTTATGAGTCCAATCAAAGTAGTATTCCTTGCAATGCATGGAGTATCCATGGGCTAGACACTCTGTCACTTCTGACGTCTCTCCATCAAGCAATGATGGGTACCTGTGAAGGTAGGCACGGCTGAACTTTTCAAATACTAGTGCTAACACAGCAGCCCTGAGCTGTATACTAACTGTATACTTTGTGAGCTAAACTTGTCTTTGGGAATGCTAAAAAGTACTGATGAGCAGGGGTAATGATAATATTGCACACTGTGCACCAATATTATAATCACCCGCAAGCGCGAGTGGAACACGGAAAAATGTAGTGTGTCTGTGCCCCACATACCACGAGGCCGAATGTGGGACACAGACACACTACATTTTCCGTGTTCCACGAACACGAGCGTGATAACGAATTTATCTTCAAGCAAACTTGACGGACAGTACAGATGGAACACGCACGCTGTACACAAACTTTTCAGCGGTTGTCCTATTGCACGTGCGTGTTGTACGGAATGACGCTCTTATCTTAGAAAAGCGCAATACGCGGAGTGCGGTATGGACCGAGGCCGTGCTACATGGTTATATGTAGCACGGCTTGTTGCCATGGATTGACCAATCAGGATCGAGGATTCAAGTTTGTTTGATGATAATGGTAGATATGTGCACCTCATAAGCACACTTTATTATCATGACTTATTGGTGTACCTGAATCAACTGATCTCCAGGCCACAGTCTGTTGTCTCTTGCGGCTGCTCCATGCTCATACACCTCATGAACCACCACGATATTCTACAAGATGAGATGGGGCAAATGGATTATCATGATCAGTTTTGGGCAATACCAGCATTATGAAAGGAATGTCCATGATGGAGCCAATTAAACATGATATCTAAAATTCAAAGAAATGATCCAAAACTCATAGTCTGTATCTTCTTGATCATTACTGGATGATGAATATATAAGATTTGAAAAATACACTTTTAGTTCATTCACTGAGTTTTCAAAAGCTGTGTCATGGACATTACATGACGCTGGAATTGCCTGTATGCTAAAAAGAAATTTAGGCCCAACTCTCAAAAATCTGCAAAATCGTGAACCTAAATTTGAATTCAGGACCTCTGTGCCTCGACTCAACTGCATGACACGAAGCTCAATGTTCCATTTTTTGTAAAGTTCAATGAATGTAAAAATGGATTACTTCAAAGTATTGAAATGTAGAGAACCCAGAAAAATTTCTAGTTAGTTAAAAAGTCAATGATGTATTACATTTTAATTTGGTTTCAGATGACGGGCATTCAAAATTCTTGAATGCTCCATAAAAATTTAGAATCTTAATATTGATCCAAACATTTAATGACATTGAGCAAGTATTTGCGAACTATAAAAGGCTTTTGGTCAAAGCCAAAGTTGTAGCCCCCCCCCCATACTGTCCTAAAATCACTTGATATCTAATCATAAGGTTTGCTTACCAGCTGTGTATCTGTTCCTCCTACAATACTCAGTCCAAGACCTGTCTTCCCTTTGTCAATGATGATGTCTGTCTGTGCACCAGGCACTATGGGGCATGTGTAGGGGTCAGGCCCACTGGGGGTGGGTGCAGGGGTAGAAGTGGGTGCAGGGGAAAAAGTGGGTGCAGGGGTAATAGTGGGTACAGAGGTAGTAGTGGGTGCAGCGGTAGAAATGGATGCAGGGGTAGTAGTGGGTGCAGGGGTAACAGTGGGTGCAGGGGTAACGGTGGGTGCAGGACTAACAGTGGGTGCAGGAGTAGTAGAGGGTGCAGTGGCAGTAATTGGTGCAGGGGTAGAAGCTTGTGCAGGTGTAGAAGCTGGTGCAGGGGGAGAAGCAGGTGCTTGGGTAGCAGCAGGTGTAGGGGTGGTGGCAGGTGCACGGGTAGTAGCAGGTGCAGGGGTAGCAATAGGTGCAAGGGTAGTAGCGGGTACAGGGGTAGTGGCAGGTGTAGGGGTAGTAGCAGGTGCAGGGGTAGTAGTAGGTGCTGGGGTAGTAGCAGGTGCAAGGGTAGTAGTAGGTGCTGGGGTAGTAGTGGGTGTAGGGGTAGTAGTGGGTGCAGGGGTAGTAGTGTGTGCAGGCTCAGGAGCTTGGACAGGGGCTGAAGGGGTATCTGAAGGCAGCAGGTCTGGTGCAGGGACTTTCTTCATGCTGTCCAATTCCTTGGTGGGTTCTGTAATAAACAGGTTTTATAAGGTGACTAGTTCAATATTGCCATGTGGTTTTTTTTACTCCATGGAATCATTTGCAAGGGGATCTGTGCACAAGTACCCCCTCAACGGTAAGAAAGGGAGAGTTGGGGGTACCACTTGGAGAGGCATTGGAACGCATTGGCAATGATGCCTGACGCTCACGCAAAGACGCTATGGCTTTGTGCACATTCAGCATAAAATGTCAATAATATCCAGTCACATAACGATGCCAGTGATTGGATTCTTGATCTGTGGTCCAGCAACTACCTTTACTGGTGCACTGCTAGTTAAGATAATGCCTCTACTGATGAATGAAATTACCTTTCAGTGATAAGAAGGCTTTTCACTTATTATTTCCCTTCTCACAAGATGAAAACTGTTTCAACATTGTACACAAGATTTGGAGTGCTTTTGTCACAGGGATTCAATTCTACATAACCTATAGGTTTTTTAATACTCACAGTTTAGTTCGCTTTAAAAAAATTTAGATTCGTTTTATTTGCACAAAAACATGGGTATAGGAACCCTGTAGATTTGCCCAAAAAATGCAAATTTCACAATAAAATAACTTTAACAAAATTCTTTTACTGTGATATAGTTTGTCATAACTGGCAAACACATATGAAGTTATAAGAAATGATCATATGGCCCAAAGCAAGGACCAGACTTACCATTTTCTTGTTTCTCCGCCACAGATGATTGGATGACTTCATCTTGTTCCTTGTCTTTATCCTTTCTTGTCTTCTCTTCATCTTTGCCTCCTTTAACTTCTCTAACCTCATCTGCACCCTCCTCCTTATCCTTTGACACCTCATCTTTCTCATTTTCATCTCTTCTCTCCTCAGACTCTTTCCTTTCATCTTTCGCTGCCTCTTGCTGGTTGGTCTCATCTTCTCCTGAGTGCTGTACCTCTTTACTACCACCTCTTGCAGCCAGATCCAGCGCAGGACTGTCTTCCATCAACCATGGAGGTGCAGACTGTTCTTCACTGACTGCTGACACTGTGATGACATCTTCAACTGGTTCATCTTGATGATCAACTTTGGTTAATTCTCCAGTAGCTTGAGGTTGAATGAAGGGACGCTCTGAGCTGACGGTTAGTGTAACCTAAAGAACAGATTTTGTTGAAATTTCCTACTTAATCACTTGAAAACTAGCAAAACGTTTTCCTCCACATAAATAAGAGTTGGAATATGTGAAAATACTCATGTCTCGTCAACTAAGTTTTCTTTTTTTTCATACAGTGAGCAGTAAAGCTATAATTCAGATTCTTTCCACAATTTTTTTTTTACATTCTTTAACAACTTCCACATCAAAGGTTATGAGTTGATGATGAAAGAACCCATTGTGATGAAATGGCTCGAAAACAGAAAACCAAATCTGAAGGCCACGATCTCAACATCTTACTTTTCACATTGCAAATGTGAAGGATTTTCATAGATCACATCCGTTATGCCAGGACATTGCTTATGGAATTTCCAGGAAATAAATCACTGAATTGAACAAGCTTTTGCAAGACGACACATACAATCAAAGTGATTTTGCAACAGGGGAATGGGGCTGCTTTTTCTGGATGGATTAACATGTTTCCATGTATCACTGAGAGACCAAAAACCAAAGCACAAGTAATAACATTCTACATGTCATAAAACAAATTACAATCCTAAAGTTTATCCAAATTATCAGTAAAGAAACCACACATGGAAATGGAGAAACAATTATTCAAAGTCTAAGAACACTCCTGGAACTCATTTAAAAAAAATGTTGACCATCCAAGTAAAACAGTGGTTTAAGAATTAGTTGAAAATTAATCAAATATAGTGCCAAGTGATATAACACAGGTTGTGGGTTTGAGTCCCAATTCAACAAGTTTGGAAAGTTCTCTCTTAACAAGCACCACCTATAAATCACTAAACACACACTGCATGAAATATTATGGTGATGATGGATGAACTTTAGCATTGACAATAATATTACTCCATGTTCCAACATCCATTTTTCTACACACCCCATCTCATACCCAACCTGGCCAACCTACCTGTCCATCTGTGGCTTTGAGCACCAGTATAGCCTCAGTTTTCTTGGTACCAACAAGGCTGTTTCCATCGACCGCTAAGACGTGATCACCAGTCCGTAGGCTTCCCTCCTGATATGAGAAGACATAGATCACTGTACATACTATATCCAATATTGCATAATTATCCTGTGCAAGTCATCGGCAGATGCAAGGCCTGTGCTACTACATGTAAGTTAACTCTAAACACAATCAGGTCTAGCATTGGAATCTTAAGGTACATTTAGAAGCTTACATTTTGCTAATAAACATGATTAACACAAGCTATTCGAAGTTGAATCAGGGATGTATCAACTTTGCACTAGTAATCGCCATTTATTCGATTTTTTTTTAAATTTTATAATAATTATAACTATAAGAAGACTACAAAGTACATTGGAGCGGACATTAGACTAATCTGTAATACACACACACCTCATAAGCAGCTCCTCCCGTGGTGACATCTCTGACAAAGATGCCACACTTTCCCTTGGAATCTTGTTGTTCATAGACAGCAAAGCCAAGCCCTCTTATACCCTGCATACAGGGAAGAAACACTGCCTATAACTCAAGGCCACACATTTAGTTAACCCTGGAAATCTTAAGACATTTGTGTGGTGGAAAGTCAGTAAATTTCACATTGAAATACAAGTTCATGGATCTAATCTGTGAGGTATACTATCAACGAAATAATTAGCCTTCCTTAGTGATCTGTGGAGTGTTCTATTTTCCACCTCTGCAGATGAGCTTTCAAAGTTATTGCACTGTATCACTCAAAGCAGAAAATATGTGTATACTCTCAACATAGTATTGTGATGCAATAGCCATAAGTTCTATTGTTGCATGCCTGGAAAACCAAGAGCTATTTACACAATAACACAACAAGCTGCATAACTTTATTTCTGCTGAAAATAAATCATGTAGAATTGACCAACATTTACTTTTGACATTACCTTGTTGATAGTGATGGTGTGCACATTCGGGTAGGAAGAAAATTCACTTTCCGATTGGGTGAGGTCTGGCAACTGGAAATGTCTTTGCTGTAAAATTTCAACAAATGTGATATGGTCTGAAAAATAACAATTCCTATAAATTTGAAGAAAACAATGACCTTTTTTTTAACGTAAACGAAAATTTGAAACTGTTCAAAATATAAAATAACTCGTTTTTTGTTTGCATTGTGAAAGACAGATGTAACTGTGAATGACAGATTTCCACTGTATCAGTTGGGTAGGTGTGAAAGGCATAACAGCCATCTGATCTAATTGTCAAATGTTGGCAGGTATATGGGTTTGAATGCACATAATATCATTAGTAAGTACTTCAATTCTGCAGGTGATATGCTCATACACTTATCTCTGCAAGGTGGAAACTGTGGTGGATGTTATCACAAATGTGAGTGATGAATCACTTGTTGCATGGTTTCCTACTGTAGACCATGATATTCCACAAACTACTGAAGTTACCTTATCAGACTGGGTAAGTGTGAGAGGCGTAACAGCCAGCTGATCTATTGCCTGAGGGTGGCGCCTGACAATCAGTTGCACATTTCCATCCTTAGGGATGTCCTTAATGATGGCTGATGCTTTCTGGTGAGATCTGCCATAAACTGACACATCATTGATCTGTCATGGACAGAGGAAATTCAAACAAAGAAATTAATCAAAGTTTTCCAATTTTAATCAGTCAAACCAAATGAATCATTTATTCCCTAGTGTATACTTGAATTAATAGTGCTGAATCTTAGCCATGAAGACTTTCTCAATAGTATCTTTTGACTTTCTGTAAGTGCCAACACACCTGCAACATTTGTATCAAGATTTCCTCTTCAAAGATATCAGACAGGTGTCAGGGACCAACCTTACTAACATACCAGGACCAACCTTACCAACATACCAGGACCAACCTTACTAACATACCAGGACCAACCTTACCAACATACCAGGACCAACCTTACTAACATACCAGGACCAACCTTACCAACATACCAGGACCAACCTTACTAACATACCAGGACCAACCTTACTAACATACCAGGACCAACCTTACTAACATACCAGGACCAACCTTACCAACATACCAGGACCAACCTTACCAACATACCAGGACCAACCTTACTAACATACCAGGACCAACCTTACTAACATACCAGGACCAACCTTACCAACATACCAGGACCAACCTTACTAACATACCAGGACCAACCTTACTAACATACCAGGACCAACCTTACTAACATACCAGGACCAACCTTACCAACATACCAGGACCAACCTTACTAACATACCAGGACCAACCTTACTAACATACCAGGACCAACCTTACTAACATACCAGGACCAACCTTACTAACATACCAGGACCAACCTTACCAACATACCAGGACCATCCTTACCAACATACCAGGACCAACCTTACTAACATACCAGGACCAACCTTACTAACATACCAGGACCATCCTTACCAACATACCAGGACCAACCTTACTAACATACCAGGACCAAACTTACTAACATACCAGGACCAACCTTTCTAACATACCAGGACCAACCTTACCAACATACCAGGACCAACCTTACTAACATACCAGGACCAACCTTACTAACATACCAAGACCAACCTTACTAACATACCAGGACCAACCTTACTAACATACCAGGACCAACCTTACTAACATACCAGGACCAACCTTACCAACATACCAGGACCAACCTTACCAACATACCAGGACCAACCTTACTAACATACCAGGACCAACCTTACCAACATACCAGGACCAACCTTACCAACATACCAGGACCAATCTTATCACAAGTTCTTGCTACACAACTGTCAGTGAGTGCACTTAGGTTTGTGGCTATTCTGTGCCTTTCCAAGACGCACAAAATCGGTTACTCACGTTACATTTTCGTAATGTGAGTAACCGATTTTGTGCATCTTGTTTATCATACTTAACACATTTTTCTGGATGTCATCTTTGGTGCTTAGGTAGGTCTAGGTCTACTCTATGTACCATGGGGATAACAGTTATTAAACCTTTTCAGTAAGGTAATTACAGCCCAAGGAAACTCAAAAGTACATCAAAAATGTAACGTGAATAATCGTGGAATTGCCCATTTGCAATTACCCTTGATCCATGGTTGAATGAACAACCACAGCTCAAGATATAAGAACTAGTGTCATGGGAGAGTAAATGAAAAATAGCAGTAGCAGGTATCAACTTTTGCACTGGAAGAATTATGGTGAAGCTTGTGGGTACAGTTAATATATCTGAAAAGTAATGATGTCTTGCTTTGCTTGCATTTGCGCTTTCCTATGAGAGCCATTTTGGGACGAGAGCCATCAAGCTCCTATAAGACTCAGTTTCACACAGAAACTCAGCCAACACAAACATGGACTCAGACTCACACTCAGTAATAGTACCATTACCACAAGCATCGCAAGAATCTCATATTCCTGATATTATACAAGGCTAAGCTCCTACAGATACATGGCAGGGTAATGTATGATCATGACTTACACTCAATATCTCATCAGCAACTTGAAGTTGTTTATCCTGTGCTGCAGCACCACCGGGATCCACACCCACAACAAACACGCTTCTCTTAGAACGGTCACGATTACCAGCCAAACTACAACAAGATTCAAGCAATTCACAGTTTCAAATGTTAACAAGATTGAACAAATTGTGCACAAAAACTCATGCTCCCTACAATAATTTTTTAACTATCCAGATTTATTTTTAGGAAATGTATCCTTTCCAAAATCAGTGAAAAAACAAATATTAATTTTTGTATCTGTTTAACGTAATACACTGAAACAGATACTTTGAAAAACTTACTCCAATTTTTCTGCTATATATTTTACATTGCTTGAATACATTAATTCTTAATCAATTCTTCATCAAACCTCATTTGTATTGCCACTGTTTAAACACAAACCTGATGCCAAGACCTTGTGATGACTTGGTCAGCTTGATGACAAAGATCTCTCCTGCAAGTCCAGCGTAGTCACCGTCCACTGAAAAACAATCAGATACCACGCCATTCGGTTCAGAAGAAAATCAACGTCTATGCAAATATTAACAATATCCATAGAAAATGCCAACCAATGTTTGATGGATAACTTCTTCACAGTTCCAAAAGACTCAGATGTGATATTAGTCATCATTATAATAAATATCATTTACTATGCATACTGGTACTTACTCTTTTTGGCTCTGTATACAGGGATTTAAATAAGACTCTTGAATTCAAAATGCTCATTTAGGAACACTGTGCATTTCAAGTGTGCACAAGTATAGTTCTCATCTTATTATTCCCAGCTGGAACAAGGCTGTTCTTGATACAGCTAAAGACGTATTGACAACTGTTTCTATAAATAGAACACTCTTGAGCATTCCTGGGTTTTAGCATAACAAAGAAGGACAGTGGATATTCCAAATGGTACATTTTAAGAATTCCCAGTTTGGAAACACTCCGTAACCACAGAGAAAAGCCAATTGCAGAAAAACTTACATTCCTTGGAGCTTCCGTCTTTGCTTTGCGTATCCTCATCTTCAGATCCACTCAGAGACAATTTATGCTGCAACAGAAAATATGAATGGAGTATAAAGAGGTGCTCACTACCACCTACAAGTGGAACTGGCAGGGGAGTCTAATGAGACTTTGGTAGATTCTAAAAGAGTACATTTATTCTATGTTTTTTTATTGTATGTGGACATTCCATCAAGAGCTTAAAAAGTTGAGATTTGGGGATTTGACATAATAATACAGGAGTGACATATTCATATTATTCTATTTGTAACAAATGTGCTATGCGCATATAGATTAATTAAAATAAATGAATAAGCATGTCAAAGCCAATTATGGGAGTTTGTTCCTCACTGTTACAGCCTATGACCAGTGTTGCCTGATTGCTTTTGTATCTTTCTTTTTTCTGTCTCTCTTTCTTAAACAAAGGCAGTTGCATTGAATTGCCATCAACTATATAATATCAAGGTCCAATTGAAGCCAAACTCAAGCCTGGTCACATAGATGACAATTAGTGATACTTTCTAAGACTCTGAGCTGCACTTTACCTTGAGAGGTGACAGAGGAACCAGATGACTGTCAGCTACATCCAGTGAGGTAGGGGCTGCCTCTGTCTCCTTGGTAACTTTGGCAACTATCTCTTCTTCTGCAGCTGGAATGACAGAGACCTTGCCCATTGGCATCTGTTCAAAGCAAACAAATTGGTTCCAGACTAGATCAATGTCTGAGTTTACGCAGCTCAAAACAAATTCTTAGATTACAACATAGAATCTCCCATGCTTTTTTCGCTAAGTTTTGGCCAGACTATCAACTCAGGACTCTGAAAAACCTTCACATCAGTAAGAGGATTAAATTAATTTGTATTCAAAACTTGAGTAATGTCTTAAATGTCATAGCGCTTGTAAAACACTTCTCCATTTCAAGTTGGAGAAGTACCTTCTCAAAAATGACTACTCATCAAATAATTTTTAAAATGCTAAATTTCTTAAAATAGTGTCACCACCTGTGTGAATTTTTGATTAGTGCAATGTCCAGGAAATAGCCCATATTAAGCAAGGCCAGATACCAATAAAGTGCAGATATAGGGGGCTTGCATATTAGTTGGAACATTAGAGAAAGTTGGGTGATTTCTTCCCCCAAAAAGTAGACTTGCCACATGCCTCTGTACTTACAGGCCTACCTTCACATTTTAAACATGGCAATTATGGTATTCCATGTCTTTGTGTTGACGCATTTATACCATTTGTTTCTTGCAGGAGTAACCATTTGTTTTAGCAATCAGCCATCCAGTGTGCTTAATGTGAAAGTATGTATTTACTGACTGGAGAACTACACAACAAAGGACCAGTGGCAAGTCTACCAAAGAGGGTGGGATTCAGCATGCCATGCCCATAAATGACCTGCAATTCCAACAGATTATTGGCCAGAAAGCTTCCCTGCACTTACAATTCATAATTGTTTTATACAGTTAGTCTCATTTACATTTTTAAAAATGAAAGATTTATTCACTAAAAACAATTTTGTTTATGTTTTTTTGCAAACACCTTAAAATATCCAATTAGTAAAACAAATCAAACCAAAATATCACAGAACATCCTATCTTGGTTGTAAGCATCTCTATTCACCAGTATTATATTAAAATATGTTTACACTCACTGGATTTTCATTTTCAATACATGGTAAATTTGATTAAAAGCCTAAACCAAAAGAAAATCATTAGTTGTACGCATGTCCTTGACATTCTTAAAAAAAATAGCACCAAAAAAAAATAAAAAAAATAATGGTTAAAAAGCATATTTTGTATGAAGCAATCCTAAACAAAAATGCAAAATGTGTTAATGACAAAGGTAGTACTTCTGATGTGGACCAGGAGGCAATTTCTTCACCGACGTATAAACACTGTATACTCAGTGTGTTACCACCTCTCAATGAAAGTTGGGAGGTAACACACTGAGTATACAGTGTTTATACGTCGGTGAAGGGCAAAACCTTATATTGATTTACATCACCCCGATGCAAATTCATCTTATAAATAGATGTATCCATAAACAACACTACACAACAACCAAGTAAGTACATCAAATCACACACACAAACATTTTACTGGACTTTCTATTACATCATGCAAGTAAAAATAATAAGGTGCTCCTAATACACAAAGAAGAGAACTCAACAAGTTAGCAAAATAGCAAAATATCAAAATACAAAATAACTGATCAGTTATTGATCAATTGGGCAAGAAACTGAAAAGGAAAACAGCTGACAAAAACAGTAACCAACGAGTACAACACAAATATTGCAATCCTATAGATGCCAAATGTGAAAACTCAGGAGCCAGGATGCCAAATGGTGAAAGCAGTGAGCAGCATCAGCACACAACATAAGCAGCCACTTGCATGACAGCAAAGCTAAGCAATAGCTCAAGCTAGGGAGAAATAAGCATGCACATGCAACTCATTGGAGAGGGGAGCACCATGGCAACTGCAGCAAAATGAAAAAAATGGTGACATCCTACCAGAAGCTACGAGTACTGAGAGAAGAAGACTACAAAGATGGCGGTGTAGCATGACAGACTGATGAAGGCATGTCAGATGGTAGGGTGCCATCATCACTGCTTACTCAACATCCGTGGGCTAAAACTAGATCTCATGTGCTGCACGTAGACAACCAACTAAATCTTGTACAAGGAAAGGTGGTAGCTCATTTGGGGAATATTTAGGCAAAAGAAAATGAGAACAAGGATAATAAACTGGAGTGAAATGAAGAATATATATGTAGTGTGACAATGAACTCAAACCAATATTTAGGAATACAAGCACGGTGAATTTGCAAATTTAAAGATTTAACTTCCATGAATTTGAGAAAAAAATATACCCACAATTTTTCTTATACTAACTAATGTAACTGTAAACATAATTTGTAGCTTTCAACCAATTTAAATAATGAAATGTTGATGAGTTTATTAAAGAAAATATTTAAAAATCTCTTTTACATATATTTACACTATTTGCAGATTCTGTCCAAATCAACATGTTGAATGAAAACAACATGAATTTGAATAATGGATGAGGCATTCACTTACCAATGCTAGGTTTGTCTGTTCTGTAGGCTGCCTGACTTTCCTTTGTAATATTGCTTCATCCAGTCATATGACTGTGATATGAAATCTTATTTGTCCAAGACACTAGTTCATGTATAAGGGCCATAAATGAATGACTTTGCTCAATGTATGAAACTTGAAAGGTGTCACGTCTACTACGGATGAATAATCCATGATCTCAGTAAACGTAATTACAATAGCAATAGCAAGAAACTGGTTTATTTGTATGTGCTTGATACTGTTGTGGAATATTCCTTTACTTAATTTTGTAACTGTATGTGAATTCGTCTTGATTCTGTTCGTCTTCTTGCTTACTTTAAACAAGTAAATCAACTTTATTAAACCTAATTATCCAGAACTATATTCATTTGATCAAACACGTCAGAAATATTAGAGTGATTTTAAACACTTCTAGAAAGACATGTAGCTTAATTCATCCCTAAAATGAACACAAAATCCAGAAGTGATTATTATCACAACATGAAGGGTTTCACAGATAGCATCACAAACGCACTGTGAATAGTCAAAGAATGCAGGCTTGCACGCAAGAATAAAATCCTGGCAGTAGTCCAAAAAGCACAGAGTAAGGACTATTTAGTATAGAAATATGCGCTAAACAGCATAGCCAAACTGTTCTACATCTGCATCTACTAAGGAAGTGCTTATGAACTCTGCTAGTAGACTGTCATCTCAAGAAATGAATGAAATGAAGAATATATGGACACGTGATACATGTAATAACAAATGAATTGGTAAATGCATTTATTCAATGCAATCTTGACAAACATAGCCCACTGAATGAATAATACGCATCAAGTTGAATCATTTCAACTGAATAGCCACAGACATTCTCGCTAAACCTCATACATACGCAGCAGGGTGATCAGGAACACTGTACATAGTGTGATTCAAGTACATTTAAACCAATGTGTAAACAAACAATATATCAATAAAATAAGATTAATGAAATGAAAATTAATTATTGATGCCATAAACTGTGTAAGACATCTTTACACATTCAATTCATCTACCCAGCTAATAAATAAAATATACTTTCAACTGGAAGACATTCCTGCACCAAAGACTTGACCTCAGGAGGTGAGTTTCATTTTTCTAAGTGCTATAATCTCATCCACGGCTTGGCACATTATCAAGAATCTTGCTTATGTAAGGAAAACATTAAATCATACATGTATAAATGCATAAGTAAACCCCTTTTATATCTACAATAACCTGTATAATGAATGCGAAGATATAATAGTAATATAATGAATTTCAATTGAATACACATCACGTAATTCATGAATACATGTACATACATTGTATGCATTACAATCCCGTGCATCCTTAACACCTGTTACAGAATTACTTTATATACATCTATAGCTGTATACTGAAATGAAAGTTGTGTGTTGTTTTGAGACATGGCACAATAGACCCCTCTCATAAGATGCCATCAGGTATGTGTGCACGCAGTGTGCAAAATGTTGCTTGAAATTTTTTTAAAATACGGCGCGGCACAGCCGATGCGCATCATGAAAATGCCGACGCATGTGACAATCTGTTGGCAGTGATGTCAATTAAGAGAGGCTTATTTATAAGTTGGTATGCAGAAAATATCCCTTAGCAAGGACAAGTTTGAATCAGTCATTCTGGAGGGTTACTCGTGTTGACTATCAATACTGGTAACCTTTCAGCAAGTATATGTGCATAGCAACGATATGAAACTGACCAAAATGTGGGTTACCTCGAAATACTGCTCTCTGAATGACAGCTGCACATACATATGTACATATTCAAATAACTTTGGATATAAAAGATTAGAAAGGGACAACACATGTATTTGTTCTATCAAATTTTGGGCCCACAACGGTGAAATGCAGTTATCAAGTATACATGTACACGGAAAAACAGAGGTAGAACTTGCAAGGCATTATTATACTGTTTAAAAATGGTTTGAGCATTTTGAAGTAACTTTCCCATAAAAAGTGAGCTGAAATTTGAGTTAATACAACAATACCAAATCCAACAAACTCATAATTAATTCACAGTGCAAAGTGCATTTTACTTGGACAAAATGATGACTAATGTAGTCTGTTATTTAACTTTTATCAAGGCAAACTAAGGTTTCAAGAAGCCACATATTAATTGGTTGAAATAAAGAACTACAGTAAAAACACAGGTCCACCACAAGTGGATGAAATGAACGTTCGAAATGTATTTGGTGATCATGAACTAATGCAAGCAGGCAGTACATGTTGGTGCATGAAAAAAACGCCATTTGAGACTGACGTTGTATAAAAACTATAAGACTAGGTAGTAATTATGAATTTGATTTGTTGAAATACTTAGTGGGATATGAGGTAGTGGATGGCTGACTGAGTAGGTGGATGTTAAGTGTAGACTCTGGACGCGTCAGTTTATCAATAAATATATATTCATTCTTATTCACTACAAATAGGTCAAGTAACATCTTCTACCCGGTAGTCAGTATTTGAGAAAGTCTTTCTAGTATACATGTGTTGACCGATCATCAATTTGTTGATAACCCTAGAATGTTGTTGACATTAAACTACTACTTAAAATATAAACACAGGCATTATTAGCCATATCAGTCATGAGATGCATGCAACAACAAAATATTTTTAAAAATAAAGCAAGTGTGCAAATTGAGATTATCTTGTCTCCATCAAATATCTAGATCTAATAAGCAGATGAATGAATCAACAATGACCAATGCACATGCACCATGCAGGGAGACATACACGTCTATGTAGACCCAACAAAATCCACAAGTCCACGAACAAAATGTGAGTGATTGGTCATGCAAAGACATTCATGTGAGATCATTGATTCGTGCTGGTGTCAATGGTGTATGGCTGCAATTACAAACAAGAAGTACAACGGCCAATTATTCATGGAGCATTGCAAATATTATAAATCAACATTTTTATTTACAGACAACTGACCAAAAAAAGACAGAAAAAAAACAGAGAATGTTATGGTTATGATTGACTAATTAGTAACTTTCAAAATGTTTTCTAGATCATTTTTGAAGATAACAATGGTTACACATGTATACAAATTCAAAACCAAAGTTCTTTTAGATTTTTCATCCGAGAGGAAATAAATTATTTATTGGTGAGAAATAAAGTAAACAAGTCAAACACACAACAACAAAAAGAAGTCCAATGTCAATGAGCGATGGGTGCTGCATGATTATTAACGCAAGGAAAAAGCTTTAACTGAAGAGTCATAAAGTTAAAGTATCTAGAATTATCTGTTAGATATGCTGTGGCAAACAGCTACATGTACAGATGTTAAGCGAAATAAATTAGGGAACGACATTCAGGGAAAGGCTGCAGTAGTAGTCAAATGGCAGTCAAAGGGACCACTGGGAGATGGCGAATTGGTAGAAATATGGCATCGTCAGTAAAAACTGCCACCACCTCCTCTATATTTTGCATCTTACTGCACTGAAACGTTGTGTAGTGTCAAAAATATACTGCAAACCTCACAAGAATGAATCAACGGATGAATCCACAGATTTTTAATTACAGGGATATAAGACAAGACATTCTGAATAACTTGTTGAAGGGTGTAACGTCCTGGACATCTTATCCCCATGAATCATGCACAGACGCTATCGATGTTAGCAACCAATGCATGCAAACTGCCACATTCCGTAACATTATACAGACTGATCAAATGACAGTACTGGATGATAGCTATATAACTTACTGCCTGATTCTTACAATCCAAAGCACTCAAATGAAGTCCAGATGCCATAGATGCTAGCTCTTTTATCATTATCCTTATTGCTCTAAATTATCAATCAGGACTCTTTTAAAAATATCACAATCCTAACACAGTGAACAACAATACTTAGTGATATGAAATCTTGGCATCAACGTTTCAAAGATATTACAATCTGACAATACCCCCCTTGCAAACATCCTGCCTCCCCTCAGTGCTATTTATCACAGATTAGGCCAATTGTCCACAGAATCCTTCTTTCTCATTAGCATGTTACTCTCTATCCTTCATTGTAGTCGCCATCTAGAATAGTCTTTGGCTTTATGTGGTTGACAAATTCCATTTAAAATGACATCCCTACAGCACAAGCTTTCATATAGATGGGCCTAGAGTTATTTATAGCATGGCAATGTACATCATCAGTTTATAAGTCATGCATTTTGGGCAAAATATACATGTGACATGAGGTGAAATTTATACTTAAGCTGCAAGAGTCCAATCATATCATTCATGCATTGATTATGCAGTGGGCATTTAGTTACATGCACACACCATTCATGTGCACAAACAAGTGCACCCACATAGTAAATTCATCCTAATTGAGTCTCATGAATAGTGCCATCAACATCCATAACCTACAGTTTCCTTACTGTACAATTTGTGACGCTGCATTTCATCTATTGGCACCGAGTTCTCCATTTGCATCAGTGCATGAAATTTCTGCTTGAATGAAATGAACATTCCTTTAATATACACATAATGCTTCCTTGCTAGCACTGAGGACCTATTGCAAAAAAAGCATGTCTGTAGAGAGCTTTCTAAAGCCGCTCTTAGGTCGAGTTGCGATTTGCTTGCACTGAAATTTATCCAGAACCATGAGACCAAAAACTGGGATGTAGTTTTAAATGACAATTAGAACTTAAATAGTTGCACACAAAAATGTAGAGAGAAATAGTCAAACTTAGTATATCCCAACTGCATTCCTGACACTGTCTCCACTAAACATTACCAGTTCATTCCAAAAACCTCCAAGTTGTGTCTCACACATTCATGTTATGGGTTTATTGTGACTATTAGGATGTAAGAAAACAAATTGACCGGATGAAAATGCTCAACCTGAGAGATTGGTCATTGTTGACCTTGCTGTAACTCTGTGTCTGCAACAGTGAGCATACTTGACCAAGAAACCCTGCCAGTAAAGGACCTGACACAGGAGGAATACATCACCTTACCAAAGATCCTGTCTAGGACTCATTGTAAAGTTAACCCTACATTACTGTCAATGTGATTCAGATTGAGTCTGATGAAACTGTATGTTTGTCCTTTCAGTTTCAGCAATCTAAGCACTGCAACTAGAAATAGGAAAAATGTTTCAAACACCAATACGTTAACAAAGAATGAAGCAGGCCTGCTGCTGTCGTCACAAAAGAATTTTTACGAAACTCTGTTAAACATTGTAATAAATAGTCTTTTCTGTGTCAAAACACCAATCCAATTTTGTCATCTATAAAAATGCAAAAAGTATACACTTTTATACAAATGTACACTCAAAAGGCACTCAAAATTCAGTGTCCTGTTGGTGTCCAGTCTATCATGCTAATACTTAATATCAGGCAGGACACCAGTTTCACTGCGACTTTCAAAAACACACTTTCATGTCAAAAACAGCAAAGGATTATTCCTGTGGTTACTATTTAACTATATATACATAATAATACAATTCTTTGCCCATTCGATGTGATCCCATACATGTACATATATGTAGAAGTATTAGCATGGTACCTGTTACTAGCCAGTGATGTCTTAATAAGGTTATTCACATCATTTATCCCTGTGTTTTACTGTTCTGAGAAAATATGAACAAATACTGACTGTTAAGTTTAAGTTTTTTAGAAATTGACTGTTTCTTGACGAGAGCTTTCCAATTTGTCAGGGCCACATTCCATGGTGCTGCTAGGTACAACATTTGCTACTTCCTCCATTTCACTGAGACCCATAAACATTAAGCTCTAGGCCATATAAGCTTATAGTTAGCCATTACGCCATGAAATATGCTTAAGGTGAGCACAATTTTTCTGATATAGTTAGCAAGACGTTCCTACTAAACCATTAAGCTACGAACTTGGATCATGAGTTAGCTTCTGGCTTTGATTGGATTCATATCTGAATGAACTAAAAACAAAATTCAAATTCATAGTGATATTTGAATATTTTTACATTTAAGTCCACCCTTGAGGATAACAGGGGCACATGGTAAGATGTAATATTGCATGTTGCCCTTCACTAAAGTCCATGCAGAGGTCTGCACTAGTAAGCAGGTGAAGTGGGTTCGAGTCCCACCACGGCAAGCTTGGGATGTTTTCCTCCCAAGCGCTTGGACAGCATTGAGAAAACAGTCATTATAAAGCGACATTGGTGAAGGGCAAAAACAATGTTAAATTTACATATCCAAAACACCAACTTCCATCATATTAAATTGTAAGACATAAGCTGGTGCCAAGGATCAGGAGACTCAGTTCACAATGATATTTCTTCTAGGAATCAGACCAGCATGTAAATGTAGCTATGACAGCAAAGTAATTAATGACACTCCCACACAACACCACAAAATTCTTTCTACAATGGTTTTGTCAATGTTACACATTACCACTGAATGATTATGGAGTTTCAAAGCATTTTGGCAAACTATGAGGCATGAACATGTATTAAGGCATACCCATCACCATTGGATTTATTTTTAAATTCACACTGTTTCCAACTGAAAATGACCAAGTGAAATTATGTGTTATTTCCTTTGAAGAAAACAGTTTCAACCGAAGGCCAAGAGGGTTCATGGCTGAAACACCATCAATTAAGACTTATTCTGGAGTGGTTTTCTCAAAAGAACTCTCAGCATTCTAGACATAGGCCCATGAATAATGGCTTGAAGCAAGGGTTCGAAAAAAAAAAATCAGGTTAAGTAAATATGTTTTCCATCAGTTGGCAATAACATCATCAGGCTGGTTCATACTTGGTGTGAACACATTGCGAATGTGTGATATTTTGTCAAGTATTTCCATTGTCAATTTGCAGAAGTCAAACAAATTGCAACTCTCGTACATATTGATGTCAAATTTACTCCAAATTCGCATTCGCATTAGCTCTTGTACTCAAAGTACAAAAGCATTATGCCAAAGAAATACAAACCGGATGTATGATTTGGACGTGGTCATTTTCAGTTGTTGATTAATACAGCCCACTATAAGGAATACATATTAATGAAGCACACTCTGAGACTAACTCTGTGAGTTTTGAAAGAGCCCACTAATCTGCTTGACCCGACTACTGTAAGCAAAAGCCGGTCGGACCGGACTGGTGATTGGTGGACTTACATTGGTTCCAGGTGATAAGCTCTGCACAATGAAACATACAGGACTAGCAGCATTGCGGATGATGGCTACAGCATAGTCATGACTAGCATCTCGTAGATCACATCCATTCACCTGTACACAATACCAACTTATTACATGGGCTGACCATTATTAAGTTGCTATACACATTAACCCTCAAATTAGGTTTTGCCCTTCACAGACGTTTAAACACTGTATACGTTTAAACACATACGTTTAAACACTGTATAAACGTCGGTGAAGGGCAAAACCTAATTTGATTGATGTCACCTTGACGCTGCTGCTATGTACATCAGATCCGAACCAGCCAACCGATCCCGTTAGCTCGGTGGTCGAGTGGTAAGACATCTGCACTAGAAAGCAGGAGGTCGTGAGTTCGAGTCCCACCCGAGTGATTTTTTCCAACTTTCACTCAGGAGGTAACACACTGAGTATACAGTGTTTAAACGTTGGTGAAGGGCAAAACCTAATTTGATTTATATCACCCCGATGCAAAATTCCATCTGATCACATTAACCCTCCCTCTCTGGCTGGCTAATTCAACAAAGCCGTCCCAGCTGTCATTATCAATCAAGTGACTGTTTTTCACAGGTATGAGCTCCCTGCCTACATAAAGCAGAATTGACTAGTTGTGACTATTTAGGTAACTTGATGAAGCTATGCTTTGACTGGAGGAGATTTATAAGCCAGCTGTACCTACCAGGCACCTGTTTTTGTCTGTCAGGCATGCGAATGAATTTCAATGGAAAAAAAACACAGGAGACTTGTGCAAAAACAGCAAAAAAGACGTGAAATAAGGCCCCCCCAAAAAAACAGGCATAAAACAAATAAAAACATGGAAATTTGGGCAAAAAAAAAAACGGAATTCCTGTTTAATGGGGCGTGTTTAAGGGGGGGGGGGGGGGGGGGGGGGGGGGGGGGGGGGGTTAAAACTTACCATTCAATTCCTTTGCTCTTGTAAAGTGCATGAATGATTTTGTTTTTATGAGAATCAGTGAAAAATACATTTCCTTCACATAGGAATTTGGCTAAGATGGAAAATATCAACTGACTGAACAGCACAACAATGTCTGATTATCTTCAATGGATGCCTGCATGTAAGACACTTGTATGGACTCTGTGCACAAGCACGCCCTTGGCCTCAACAATTACAAACTACTTCACTCAGTGCATGCGTGAAGCAGTGTGTGCGCGAACAAGTGCCGCATTGCATCCCTCCAAATTGAGGCTCTTCAAAGTGGTCACAAAGTGCCATCTACTGTTCAAGCACAGAGTCAATACTGACAATGTAGCTGTGTACATGAATGTATGACTAACCTCCAAGATGCGGTCTCCGGTCTTCAGTGCCCCAGTCCTACCAGCCTGACTATCATCCAAGACATGCTTGATGTAGATACCTTCCACTGGTTGACCATCACTAGCACGTCCTATAAGCCAATCATAACATTCATGTATTAAGATGGTTCATTATCAGTTCCTTAACCCTTTCCCTCACATGCCCAGGATATATTTATATAATATTAGATGGCTTTGAGGGGGATACAAGAATTTATTACACGAGCTTTAACTCGTGCAATATTGTTATAACGAGTGCAATACATGCTTGTATCCCCCAAAAAAGCGATCTAATATTATTATAATTATTTATATTCGGCTGACTTGACCAAAATATCAATTTCAGGACAGTTTTATACAGTAAGAGAGAAAGTTAGGAGGGACCACTAGGAATGACTCTTGAGCTCGCTGCTGCAGCACTTGATGTTCACGTCAATACACTATGGGTTTGTGTACATTCACAACATACATGATGTGTCCCTCCCATTGGAGCTCTGAGTTATAATGAAGCCCAATCTACTGTGCATGCATGGAGTTCATAGTGTTATCATGATAAATATCTTAATAAATAAACACAGGATAAGTTGTTAAGCAATTTCAACAAACTGAACAATCAGCCAATAATCAATCAATCAATCAATCATATACAATCAAAATGGCAATGAAATCAAAATCAACAAGCATTTTAACAAACAAGTGTTGGCGAGTGAATGTTTGGATTCAATCAAAACAAACGTATTAATGTAACTTAAGTATTTAATTCAAAACAGAAAAATATGAGTTTAACAAATTGAAAAAACAAAGAAACAACTTATTGAATAATGCAATTGACAACAGAAACAAATTTTTTAAATCAAACTAAATAAAACATTTCAGCATTCCTATGCATAATTCATTCTTTAACAGGAAAAGAAATTGAGAATACTAACCGTGTCTGCTTGATACTACACAATAAGAAATAAAAGAACAAAATATTTTTCTTTTATTTGATTTGCTTGTGTAGAGTATTAACACTAACCCTAGGGTATTTTGGCTAGAAACCCTGCTAAACACAGCAACACGCAACAGGTCAAAAGTCTCTCAAGTCCATACTGCCTCAGAGTCTGTAGTCACCAACTGCAGCAGGATACAACTGTGGCACTGCTCAATGGGACCAGCTCTCATTGTTTCAGCATTGGCTATTCCTGCACTGGTGTTGATGGCTCAATGCAGCAAGTCCTCACATACTTGTACACCTGATGCACTGTGTTGCTCCTAGCAGGGTTAGGGTTGGCAAATTATGAAGGAGCTGTTCAACTCCTTCAAGTTATTTTTTTTTTTTCAAGAACATACATGTGTTTAAAGTTCCTGCCTCGAGATGCACAAGTGTGAACCATGACTATCTTGCCATATCCCAGGTATAGTTCAACTCCCAAGTCAAATGAAATCCAGGTTTAAGGGCTCTCTTGCGAAAAGACACTCTTGTTGTTGAAGAGGACTGGTTTACTGATCAAAAAAGCAGCACCTCCTTTCAGCAGAATAGGTGGGCCTAATAAGTAATGATGAATCTCACTCACCATGTCCACCCTGGGTTTAACATAAGATTATCTATCAGAAAAAGTCACTATAATTTCCAAGTTTATTGCACTGAAACCTTTCACCCAGAAAGGCCTGCAGCAAATGCTGTTCTTGTTTCTTCTGTTTGTTTTCATGTGGCAAGGCCTTTACTTTTCACTTTCCTGGCAAGTTATGGAGAAATGCTCACCAACAGTCACTGCACGACAGCATTGTCTTGGCAGTCTGAGGGAAGGAGAAAAGTTGGTCGCCCTACAACAACGTGGAGGCGAACCATCGAGAAGGAAAGGAACACATTAGGTTGGAGACTTGGAAGGAAACCATGCGAGTAGCCAGAAACAGAGCCAGTGACATGAGTAAATAGTAATTCAGTGCTCACCTCCAACGATGCTGATGCCCAGGCTCTTATTGGGTTCCTTAGTAAGTCGTACAGTGCGTACTTCTTGTTCATTATCACTCCCTGGGGCAACACTGACTGGGGACAGTGCAACAGAAGCAAGCTTGACAGACTCGGTGTGTTGGTCTTTGAGAGGCAAGGCAAACTTATCATCTTGGGAGCTGTAGGAAATATCAAAATACAAATCAGTAACTGCTGTAAAATAATAATTTGCTTGAATCGTTTGAAGTCAGAGGTCCTAAGACTTCAGTCCTGGCATCTCTCTCAAAGACTTAACAGCCCTCTAAACTTGTATTTAATGAAAAACAGTGATCATTTAAAATGCAAAACTACACATCAGAAATGTATAATTAAATATAAAATTCTGAATCTGCCAGGATTTTCAATTGTCATGAATATCAGAGATATTAGAAAATGTATTTGTGGCAGGAGATTTAACTGGAAATATTTGTGAACTTGAAGACAGAACTGACCTTGGTTGAGTGGTGTGGTCATCACGGTAAGCTGATGCCTCACTAGCAGGGATGTAAGTCATACTAGATACAGTGGGGGAAGAACACAGAAATGTACAAGACACTGACCAATAGTAACATAGGTATAAACATTTGGGTAACATGCATGAGGAGTCACAGTAGTGACTTGCCATCATGACCTCAATACAGGAACTGTGGATGGCACTGGGTGGCCAAATACACAAGAGCCAACGATAGTCACACAATGCTGACATGAACTGCTACACTGCAATCAAAATGTGCATTAGACTTGAGATCTAGGCCTATTCCTTTGTGCTACTTGGAAATGATGGCCAATAAGAGACAGTAAATGGTTCTGGCTTGGCAAAACAGTAAGAGAAACAGGCCATTGGGTCAGGGTTGACACAAGTTTACTGTTGTATGACCCTTTGGCCATCTGGGCCCAATTTCATAGCGCTGCTTAAAAGTAAGCAAAAAAGTTTGCTTACTACAGCAGAAAATCATGCTGCTGCTTAAACACTATTTCATGGTTTCACGGTTGCGTGTGATGGAGATTTGTATTGTGACATCACTGATTTAGGCAAGTTTTTCCCCTCGGGTTAAGCCTACTTTTGCTGTGCTTACTGCTTATAATGGTCTATGAAATAGTCTTATTTCATGGAGGATGAAATAGATGGAGACAGAGCACATCGGCTGTTTAGCTGTGCTATGACATTGGGCCCTGGAGATGTTCGAGGTAAACACTCTTTCGGGCTTAAAGTTTATAGGATTTTCCAAATTTCCACCTGTAATACTACTACCATTTTTTTCAATTCTGGCTGCAGAACTACTGCATTGTCATTTTAGGGAAATAAAATTGAACCAACTACAATGAGAACACAGGAATACCTGATTTCATCTCCTACCAAAGAGGCCCTCCTGAGCATGGCTCTCGCTTCTGCATTGGTCATACCACGCATGGAACTACTATTGACTGATGTGATGTAATCCCCGACAGCCAAGCGTCCATCATGATGAACAGCGCCTCCACGGATAATACTCTTAACCACTACACCATTGGATTTGTCTGCATTGACAGTCAGGCCTGCAGAACGAAACATTCAAATGAAACATGAATATTCATAAGGTCAAACAGTAACTTACATGAAAATGATTTTTTAAAATATATTAGTTTCTGCATTTGCTGGTAATTAACTGAACACAATAAGCAACTCTCACATACGGCATGCACATTTCCAATTTCAGCAAATTCTGCTCAAGGATACAAGCAACAACACGCCATGGCTGGGCTTGAGTTCAGAACTCTCTTTTGTGTTCTTCGTGTGCATGAATACCCAATGATTTAGTCCCCATGAATGGTTTAGTCCCCATGAATGGTTTAGTCCCCATGCCTCTGATAATTGATTGCACGCACTGCACTACACTGCACATGTGCACCGTATGCCTTTACCTGCCATGCAAATTAGCATAATATCCAGTTCCTACACACTCAACAAGCATTTGTCCACAAGGACCTTACCCAAGCCAGCATTTCCCTTTTTCAGGTCAATCCTTTTCTCCAAGCTGGTAGGTAGTATCACTGAGCCACGTTTCCCTAATGGTGAATGGCTTGTTGAGACAGCTGTGATACGAGGGTCATTGGACTCAGATATTCCACTGGCTAGCACTACGGCTGCTGTGGTTGCAATCACGGCACTGTTACGTGGACTGGGTTTGGGTTTGGGTGGGGGTGGAGGCGGCTGACGCTTAGGCTCAGGTGGAATACTCTTGACTGCAGTCACCTGAAATATGAGATACACACAGCAAAGACTAGAACACATCAAAGAACAGACTAGCAAGGTGAATATTGTGACTACAATGCCACTATGCACATAGGTTACGACACAAATGCTCAAAGAAAGTCCAACTTGTTTTGGATGAATGTTTAGGATAAAAAAATTAACTTCAACTCTAACTCCAGGCCATGAAGCATCTTTGATGAGACACTTGCATTCCATTGAAGGGTGAAACAAGACCAAAAACTGCTGGCACAAAAAAAAATAGTGGCACAATCAGTTTTTTTCCTGCCAATATCAATGTTTGACCTGCCATTTTTCAAGTAACACGAGCTGTCATGGACAGTGTCGGATAAAACTTAAGTCCAGAAACCCAATGAAACGCCAAAATAAAATGCAAAAAGAAGGAAATGAAAACAAACAAAAATGCAAAAGGTGAAACATTGTTCCACCAGGACTTTGAACGCGTTCATACGTCATTTCTACAATTGGTCAGGCAACAGTTCTGCTTTTTGTCCGATCAAATATGGTAAATGATAAGAATCTATCCAATGCTTTGGACCATAACTTTACCCTCTCAAGAGGAGATGTCAGATACACTTTTGAGGTCACTGCACTTTGTGTTTAGAAAGGCTAATATTCTGTGTATAAAAATGCTTTTAAAAAAAACCTGACAAAAACAAATTTGTCTTTATATGGCTAATGTAATGTTAATTACTGGAGAAGGCACAAATACTTTTTTTTCGTGGCTTTTTTTTTAAACTGTGCCTGAAAAGTAGCAGAACAAAAAGCCACAATTTTAAGTCCAACAGTCACCTTGACTTGATATGGCAAACAACCCTTTGTAAATTTGGTACCCCAGCCTTCTTTTCTACCTACCTGTGTAGCAGTGACAGTCTCTGCAGGCTTTGATGCAGGCAATGCAACTGATGAAGCCAGCACTAGGTCAGGGGGTGTGGTCTTGCTAGTAGCAGGCGTGGTCTTGCTAGAAGAAGGCGTGGTCTTGCTAGAAGAAGGCGTGGTCTTGCTCTCGGCAGGCGTGTCCTTTGGTCTGTCACTCAGTATCTGACCAAAATCCATGCTGGATTCTACATCAGCAACAATGCTGGCACTAATAGCTTCCTCTGAAAAGTCAAAACATGCACATTCTAGGAGTAATGCCGTCTTCCTCAAGATGAAATGTCTCATTAAATTGAAATGAATGCTTAAGTTTCTAAGATCTGTAAATGATGACAAGCATGTACTTACTCTTTGGCAGGAATGAGACACTTTGGCGTTAATAAATGAGATTCTAGTACCTCAAAAGATTAGCAGTCATGGTAAATTTAGGCTTTGAAAAAATGGCTTTTACATCTGGTATTTCTATGCCAGAGCCATTTTTACATCTAACATTCTTCAAGTCAAAGCTTCAAAGTAAAGGAAGTTCAGGGGAAAAAAGAAAACCACTACTGGAAGAGCTGAAGTCTAAGCTTGCATGCATTATGAAAATACTTTAAACATGAAAACATACTTTCAGCATTCAAAAGTTTTTTGCAGATCACTTCACAAACAAGAAGTATTCCTACGGAAGAAGTATTCCTACACAAGTACTCCCTCAACGATGGCAGCTAGGCAGACTCTTGGGCATCCCTGCTGCCGTATACGTCACTTACTACAGTATTTACAGGTTTGACCATGGCTCGTGCATATTAAAAAAAAAAATGTGCATTCTCCGAGAAATATGTACATGTACCAGGGTGTGGATGCAGAATTCTATGCCAGGGCACACACTGCAGATCTCATGAATGGCCACAAAACACCTGATCTTATTTATGCAAGGATTCCAAACTGAAACCAGGTACAAATCCAAAAGCTGCCTACAGAAGGATTCCACATGGATACTTGGCAAGGGGAGTGCCACAACACCATGAGCACTATTGAGCTTAAATGACATAGCAAGCAAGGGAATTCATCAACATTGAAACATCCTTTACCTTTTACAATTGGTCCCGTGGGAGCCATCTTGGAAGATGGTGGTTTCTGAGAATTCTCAAGTGCCTTCTGCATCTCTTGAAGTTGCTGCAGCTCCTCAGCATAGGCGGAGATATCTTGGAAGCCTGAGGGCGGGGCTTGATGGACTGACGATACCTGTTGTGCCATTATCATGGGCTAGGGAATCAAAACAATTCTCATTCTCAAAATATAGCATTATGCGATGCGATATTACCTAACTCTGAAAACTTGGAGTGATGTTAAAATTTGATACAGGAAATAATAAAGGGATTTTATCTTATTTTTCCTAGCAGTGCCCCTAGTATTAATGTTGCATTATTTGGGGTATAAATCAATAATACTTTTAACAAATCCTACCTAAGGTAAATGGGAGTAGAGTTAACTTGGAGTAAATTTGAAGGTACAATTCTACAAGAATTCTCGTCCTTAAAATATGGCAATACACTATTTGATCTTACCTAAATCTGAATATGCAGGAATCTTGGAATAATTTGTGAATTTATCAACTGTAACAAAGGGATTTCATTATTTACTCTACCAGTGCCGTAAGTAAATTGCAATATCTGGGGTATACATGTAGAAGACCATGACTATTGACAAATCTTAACCAAAGTGACTGGGAGTACAGAAAACTTGAAGGTACAGTCCAACATCTCAGAACGTGCTAAATTTAAAGAAACGTAGACAGCCACGTATGCCACGTGATATTACTTCATCATAATAAATAAAGGTGCCCCAGGTCAACTGCATTGGGTCTGGTAGCATAAAGATTAGCGAGGGCGCAGATTAAATTGGTGCATTGTGCTGCTGAGTTACACACATGCTTGGCAGCAACACAAACCAAAACCAAATTCAACATCTCAGTGAGGTTTATAGGATGGAGGGGGTCATTCAAAGTAAAGAATCAAACAAACCTCTTCTCCATCAAAGGCACTATCATCTGCAGGTTGGGGTAACGGCTTAGCAACTCTGAGTTTGACCGGACCCTGTGGTGCTCCTTTCAAGGCCTGTACAGCCATCTCTAAGGAACAGTTGTCCAAGTTACTGTCATTGACAAAGACTAGTCTATCACCAGGGATCAGCGTACCATCCTGCTCTGCCACACCACCAGGTACTAGGCTACGGATTACTATCACCGTCTTGGAAGGATTCAGGGGATCCTATGAACAGACAGAAATCCAGACAAATGTCCATTTGAAAGTTAAATAAACAATGAAACTTGATTTGCGATGTTACCAAATTTGATTTGCTTTCACTTTCCATGTAAAGCATCAACTGACCTTTTGAGCAGGTTAGCATTCCAATACATGTGTATTCAAAAGCCTTATATCACTGATGTTCCTTGTAATAAATGTATGTCTTTGTTAGGATGGGTTGTAAGACTGGTATCTCAGTTAAACAAGTGGTGGATGTATAGGTTGCGAGAGCTCATTACTCAGTTTCGTTAATTTTCTTTTCTCATACAACAAACACATAAGGCTTCCTTAAAAGTAGCAGTCATTACTTTGAGAATAATTGCTATGCCTGCCCTGTGGACACGATTTGAGTTTGGTAGTCTCATATAATAATTTAGACATTCTTTTACAATGTTTTTGTTTTTAATGTCCAGATAATTCAACAATTACAAGACTAACATTCCATCCCTGATAGGCTGCTTTACTTAACCTGTTAGTTACTGTACAGCCCCAAACTGCCCTGCCTATTACTCACTGTAGTGCCCGAGACCACCCAAGCATTCTTATGGTTTTAGGATTCATTAGTGAATAAACACTATGTCATACAATGTAGTATACGTACAAATGGGTGAACGATATTTAAAATCTCAGACTAGATTTGGGAGATTTTGAATGGCTAATGTGTGAAAGCCAGTCACACATAAAGTTTCCCTCACCTGGTAATCCAGAATGCTGAAGCCTAGTCCCTTATCTCCTTTGATGAGTTCTACTGTCTGTAGCTGGTCATCCCATACAGCCAGACCACTCACAGAGTCTCTAGACAGTGAGGATCTTGTGGCATCACCTGTATCCTCATCCTCACCAGGTACCACCAACGCAGCACCAGCAACAGCTACCTCAGGAAAGGGAACTGATTCCTGCAGGCTGATCTCATTGGATTCGATGACTTCTTCTATGGCATCAGGGCTGTCTTGTTGTGGGCTAGAGGCAACCTGAGCTTCCTCACCAGCCTGTGTCTCAGGGAAGACTGGGTGAGGGTGACGTGCACACACAATCCGTACATGCATAGGAAGTTCCTTGAGAGTTTTGACAACGTCCACATGGTTGAGACCCAGCAGTCTATCTCCATTCACCTGGGGAGACAATGCACGCAATGAAGTAAAATACAAGGCATAGATGCATATGTCCAATTCTATAATGAACAGAAAACTGAACTGAAGAATGTACTTTATTTTTGACACCCTTAAGTATTTACAAATACAAAGAATTCATGTGGTTCAATTTATATGAACTGATAATAAGTACCATTTAATATGTGACCAGTTGTTCGAATTTGCCAGATATTGGCCCCTGGTGATATTTAAGGAAGTTTGCTTTGATGACACCTGGCCACAGGAATTGTTCCATTGTGTACACATGCCTCCATGGAACTTGATCACCATTTCAATAAAATGATCTTGTATTATTTACTTAGAAAATAAGTGCCTGCCGCAACTATTTGGATAAAAATGCTGCAGTTCATGTATGAAGAACCTTCAGAAGACCAATGTCAGTTATAATACTAAATGAGGATGTTTGTATGTTAGGATTTGAAGCGATGATTACCTCCAAGAGTTCATCTCCACTCTGAAGTCGGCCATTTTGTCCCACCGGTCCACCAGGTAAGACAGAGCGAATGTAGTGATGAGGTCTCACCTCATCCCCAGCTTCATCTATGTCTACTGTACCCTCCAGACTTATACCAAGTCCACCTCCTTCACGGAACTTACTCAACTGTGCCACCTTGGATGGGAACAATGTTGAAGAAAACACTTGCATCTAAGCAATTATTGACAATTCTATTAAGAACATAGTAGATTTGAAAATGTCCTCCATTAAAAGAAGATAATAATTACAAAAAGCTTAAGTTATGATACTTTAGCTGTATATATATATCTGTGAAATATAACCTAACTGTTGATAAGTGTTTTGTACATAGCTCAATGGATGCTACTCACCACAATAATGACTTCCATTCCCAGAATATCTTGCCATAAATCAACGATGGAGGCTTCTGTCTCTGGATCAAGCTCACCTTCTGGAATGAACATCAAAGGAAAAACATTCTTGCGTGATGACACTGTGTTGTGTTTCCTTTCAGAGAAAACTGTTGGCCGGTTTTCTCCTCCACAAATCTATAAACAATCTTTGAAATCGACACTGTGCTTAATTTATGTATTATTAATAGTAATGGCTATTAATGGTTAGCACCATTTCAATTGTGTTGCATTCCTCTCAACTGAATATTCTACGGTCTGTGCACATTCAGATTCAAATAGATCTTGTGCACTCCTTGCCATTTATATGCATGAACCAATGTGACCAGAATGGGCACTCGAACGAGCACAGTGTCATACACAGTTCAATAGGCCTGTACATGTTATCGACAGCAAAACAACACATGATGGTACTGAAGAAAACTAAGAGCAAAATCAACCAAGCAAGACACTAGATTCACACAAATGTCATTGTTTTAGTCAAGGCTGGATCCAACTTATTAGAGGCCACAAAATACATGTCTTCGTAGAAACCGATCAAATCTGGATGTTCACTATGTATTTATTATGTCATGATGGGCTTGGACTTAGCATGGACACAGTGTACTAAAACAATTAGTGCCTCAAAAAGGTATGCTGGAGTCCACAATCATTTCTTGGCTGCAGCCAGGGCTCAAGTCACGTTTAGACACGGGCCTGTTAGCATAAAGGTCTACCTATATGCTGTTACTGTCTAGTATGAGGACATCAAGTCAAACACAACACTGACAAATGTAGCAACAATTATTCTGCACCTTGAAGGTCTGGAATTTCTGACCTAAACTACAAACATGTTGTTGTAGCAGGTTGTTGAGCTTACCATATTTATCCTTCGTAGTATCCGCTTGGCCAGGCTCCATGAGTATGACACCAGCAGGGGGAGGGTAGGCAGGTGGCGCTATGGGTGGGGCTTCTTCTTCATTATCAATATGCTGGGGTTCAATGTGTTCCTCAGCATCTCTTGCAGCAGCAATATCAGGATCTACAAAAGATTTACAAAGAAATCATCAGTTTTGTTTTAAAAAAAAGGTTAATAAATAACCAGTTTTCGTTCATTCATGGAGGTGGGAAAACGTCCATGTTTCAATGTACAGTGTATGTAATGGGTATTCATCAGTTCGTAGAACGGTAAATGATCAGTGGTGGACAACTGAATTTTGTAATATTTTAATTAAAATAGTCATAACTTGGAAATAGATTATCAGAGATGCCACAGGGTCTGCTTGAAAAAAAACGGAACTGGGTGTGCTTGAAAAAAACGGAACGGCTGCTTGAAAAAAAACGGGACTTTTTTGTGTGTGAAAAAGCCACTCGGAGTCTGACACAAAGTCCCCGTTGTCATCTTTATCTTGTAGCCAAGCCCAGTTCCGTTTATATTTTAATTTTGCTTCTATGGCCTTTAAGCTGTCGGTTCGTTCAATCACTTTGACTTTTTCCATATATTCCTATTATATATTCTGCCTACCCGAATTTCCAACGTAATATTCGACACGAAACATGTACGATTCCACAACACTGTCGGTGTACATGACCTTTGCACTACGCGATGCGTTCGACGAAAACATGGTTGGTACCCGGCGTTTTTTGTATTCACATATATCACTGCAGGAACCACCGATATTTGAAATGATAGACTTGATTTCCAGGCTGAATGCTCTGTGTGCTTAGTGCACAACACCGCCCGCACGCGATGAAGCACGCGAGGCGCCGTTGTATACTGCGTGCAAGTACGTTGGCCGCCCGTATCGCATGCAGGCTCGGCAACAACAAAGACTGTTTTTAAGACTACTTCAACGAACAACGTTGTGCCATGCATGCGCCTAAATGTACTAAATTGAGAGCGTTAACGAGGTAAAAATCAATGCATTTCTACAATTTTTCTTCTCTTTTTCCGGTTTATTTTGACAGCTTGAAAAACCAGAATTTTGTGAGATTTAAAAAAAACCAACAGAATTCCCGTTGGCATCTCTGGATTACGCAAATTAAGTGAAATGTTCACAGTTACTAGTCAAAAACATGTATTTTATCCCTATGTTATTTTTTATAAAATAGAGCGAGCCAAATATTTTAAAAATAATTTTGTCTAATTCAGTTACTTTCTTTTTGACTCACCCTGTAGATCCAAGTTCATGGAACGTGTTCCAAAGTAATGAAACCCTTTTCATAAACCATGAATTGTGAACTTACGGTCCATGCTGACATTTGAAATATCCAGAGTGCCAGGTGGGTGCCTGGCTAGTTTGACATGAACTACACTCCCAGTGCTTTTAAGTAAGTTAACTGCTTCAACATTAGTGAATCCTTCAAGGCTCTGCCCATCCACCTGACAATAAAAAAACAAATAAGCACAATATCTTTTAAATCACTCTTCTTTTCAAATGACTGGAATCATTTATTTTACAGGAAAACAATGTTGTTTCAAAAAAATTATTTCTGTAGAAATCTACCCATATGTTTCATTGGCCAGGTTGATAATATTCAATGTTTCTGAAAGGGAATTTGTAAGGGAAATTTGTTTCAAATGTAAAGCCAAGATAGAATGATGATAATCTTTCTTTGAAACCACTATTTGTTGCAGACTTAGAAAAGACTTTGCCATGTCATCAAGTTACACACATCGTTTTCATCGAGATTTTCATATAAATTTCTAAATGTTTTAAAAAGTTTTTGTAAAAGTTCACATCAACCGAAACCTATGGTCAAATTCAGTCAAATTTTACCTCAATAATTTGATCGTTGACTTGGACTTTGCCATTGCGATCAGCAGCACTTCCCTCTGCAATCTTCTTGATGAAGATCCCAGACACTTCCCCTGTCAAAATCAATTCAATTGGTTAATAAATGCAGTGGTCAGTTCTTTCATCCAACAATAGGTATTACATATTGTTTTGGTGACAAGTAATTTTGAATGAAAATTGTAACACTTTCATTATAAGTGTACGTTCATTACTAGTGAAAACACTCAATGTTAATCCACTCACTGTTAAAGTCAGAAGATATTAGTAAGGACAAGTTTATTTGGTTAACTACACTGCAGTTTCTTTTTACATCAGATAAGAAAATAGGTTGTAACTTTGGGAATTATATTTTAAAAAGCCAGACATAACATAGTCTTGTGCAAGATATATTAAGACAGCCGTGCTGCATACCTGTGCCGAGATCCCGCACATAGCCAGCTATGGTAAATCCCAATCCCTCTGCTCCTTTTTCTAAGACAACATCAAATACCTGCAGGCCATCCACCTCATCCTGAGGACAAGAAAAGAAGGATTCATCAACCAAGATATCTTATAGGTCTCTTAGAAGAAATGTCACTTCACCAATCTTGTCTAAGACAATTAATTTGGGTATATATTTTTGCAAGCATTAGAAGGAATGCAGTACTTCATTTGGGGTGAATCACTTAAATTTAAATCTTGTAAAATTAGAGCATTATATGGTAGAAGACTATTAGTGAGGTACCTTAGTGACAAAAATGCAAAGGATCGTTACACGGTGGACAAAAGCACCATTTTTTCACCAAAGCATCTCCATGGTATACCTTTTCGAAAAAAAGACGGACGCAAAAAATTGGATGATGGGAAGGGCATCTATGACGTCATTATGACGTCATCAGCTAATTATTACATGAAATATATATAAATTGATAATATCTTCTGAAGTACAAGCATCACAACAACAAAAGTTGCATCAAATGAAAGGGAACAACAAGATCTTTCATTTAAGTGGTATGTCAGGGGCGTGGAATGTAGTAAAGGGTGGTTTTTGGGGCCAAAAAGCACTTTTTTGGTCCAAAAAACTTGATTTTTGGCTTAAATCATGTATTTTTGTTTGGCACCTTGTTTAACATGCGAACCGTATGTGTTATTGTGAGATTTTGTTTTTAAGTCAGAGAAAAAGGTTCAAATTCTATGCCAAAAGAGTTTTTGCAATTGATTATAATTTTTTGTAATGGATGATTAGTATCTTAAATGCTTACACTTGAAAAACATATAAATTGATAATATCTTCAGAACGACAAGCATCACAACAACAAATGTGGTATCAAATTAAAGGGAACAACAAGATCTTTCATTTGAGTGGTATGTCAGTGGGATGGAATGTAGTACAGGGTGGGTTTTTTGCCCAAAAAAAACCTTTTTGGTAAAACAAAACAAAATTGGTGCTTAAATCATGGATTTGGGGTAATCATTTTGGCACCTTGTTTTAACATGCAAACCGTAAGTGGTACTGTGAGTTTTGGTTCTGAGGTCAGAGAGAATGGTTCAAATACTATGCCAAAAGAGTTTTCGTAATTGATTATTGGTATCTTAAATGTTTAAACTTATTCCAAAGATAGGCGGACAAAACAAATGTAACATAAGTTACAGTCGGGTGCCTATCCCAGTGGATCTCAGTTACAGATTCATCACATGTCTCGTTGTCGAGCTTGGAGGGTTTGAGCAATCTGCCGGGTGCATCTGCGATCACCATCATATCACCAGGTTTGTAGACATCGTCGAAGTTGTATCCTTGTAGCTTAAGACGCTGCAAGCGGTGTGGTGTACTGGCTAGAATTTTGCGCCAGATAGTAACCAATGGTTTTAATGGTCAGTGACAACAATGAAGTTGGAGCCGAATGAAGTTGCAGCAGTGCCACAGCTTCCCTCTCGATATTCGAGAATATGCTCTGGGAAGAGGATCTCTTTGAGGAAAATGCGATGGGTTTACCTTCCTGGGTGTTGCCCAATCCTCTTTCTCCCCTGAGGATTGTTTCTATACCTGTGTGTCGGAGAATCGTAGCCAGGACTGAGTTCAGATGGAGTGTTTAAGGGTTGTAAAAGAAGCTTGATGGTCCTCTTCCCAGAGAAATGGTACATCTTTTCGAAGAAGATTGCTGAAGGGAGCAACTTTGTCTGTGCAATTTGGGGTGTAGTGTGAGACATTGTTGACTATGCTAAGGAACCAGCAGTTTCCATCAGGGCGATGAGACATTCGGCCGCTCGTCATGCTCTTCAAGGGAGACCGAATACTGCAATGTCGTCACGGTAATTGTTCCAACGCATCAAGGCATCTAGCTTATTTTGGGACCATTAACTTGGTTTACTGAAGCCGATGAATGGGCGACGAAAGCTGTTAACAACCAAATTGTATGTTGTCAGTTTTTCAGACTGCCCTAGATGAGCAGACAATACCCTGCTTTTGACGTCTAGCTTGGAGGAGAACCTTTCCAGTACAAATTCTGGCTTGAGCTCCTCAAGAGTGGGGATCTTTAGAAAACATTATGTGTTTAGCTGCTTGGGGTCCAGACACATCGTGAACGGGCCGTCTTTTTTGGCAGTTGTTGTGATAGAGCTGCACCCGTCCGTGTGATTTGAGACTTTTCGTATGACCCAGCATTTCTCAGTCTTTTCAGCTCGGCCTGCGGTTTTGGTTTTGCATGAAAGCTGCACCTATGTGGCGGATTTATGTGGGACTATGTATCTGCCTTGAGGTGTAGGAGAGCGCGTATCTAAGTCGTCGAAAGTATCAAACTGCGTTGGGAGCCGGTCCTTCAGGTCTTGTATGTCTCTCACCGGAGTGGTAGTGGTCAGCCCTTTGGTTCCTGTGGGGGCCTGAGGCTTTAGGGGCTGTGTGCCAGTGTAGATTTTGACCAAGTGTAGGGTGCGGCTCGTAGGGTACGTGCGGCTCGTATAGTAGGGAGCCCATTGATAGCTGGTCCTGGCACATTGACCACTTGGAACTTCTCACGTTGCCGGTCATTCTGCTGGTATACCCATAAGGTGTATCGAACCATGGCAGATGATTCCGGAAACATTATATGCCTTTATTGGGAGGGTTGGTTTCTCCAATTGTCTCCGTATTTTTGACGCATCAACGAACTGGTAAGGTATTTGCACTCGAGTTTGTGTTAACCTCGTTGCAGACATGTTGCTAGAGATGATCCGGACAGATCACATCCAGTGTTCGGCGGTGCTCAGCTGTTGTGCACATCATATGTCCGATGCTGATAAGGTAATGGAGTTGAATGTTTTGATGACTTGGAGACATCCAGTAGCCTGAAGAGGCCTTTTCTACTGACGAAGGTCAAAGAGTTTCATCGGCGAGGTCGGCGGTCAGTACATCGGTCGTCGCTGCTCTCGGCACTTCTCCTGGAGCTGCCGTATTAAAGTTGAAGACAATGGAGAAGATAATGCCGATCTTTAATCTTTCAGCTCTGAAACCGCACTGCCTCTCAGGGTATATGCACACAGCTAGCAGCTGCGATCTGTTCAGCACTACAAGGGCGAAGGCCTTCTTAACGATACCGAGGAGGGAGATTCCTCGTGTTGCACAGATATGGGATTGACGTCCTGGCGATGTTTGAAATATGGGCGTCTTTTTTGCCTTGAGCGGTGGATCTGTTTATTTGGTAGTGGTCTGTATTACAGTCAGCGCTGCGTGTGATGAGAACGCAGTTTCGTGAGGGTCTTCCTGTGATGATGAGATGAAGCTGAAGCCAGTGACGGGATCTGAGGTGCTTCTGCAGCCTCTGCCCATTCTCAGTTAGCTTGCCAACGCCAACGTGTGGTCAGATCCCACTCGGGCGTTGAATTCGCCAAGGAGGTACAGTTGTTCTACGACAGGGATACCTCTGATGGTGGTGTTGAGTTCCTCGTAGAACTGGTATTGGAAGAGGCTAATGTTGAGACGCTGTGCTATGCAATGGAGTATTTCAGTGGAGATAGGGCTGCTCATTTCTCCATTTTATCCCAGCACATCCTAACCGATTTGACCCAAAATGGATTAGGCTTACTTCTGACTTATTCTGATTGTTTATGGGCGATTCCACGACAACTTTACATTTTCAGGCACTTTGAGACACAAAAAGGAGTCGCACCACTAAATGCATTGGTTTCAAAAATCTATTTCAACATAATGAATACAAAGTGGTAAGCTTTTATTTGTGGGCTGTTGCACAACAGTTTAAGCTTTTTTACTTTCGATATATAAAAAGAACGTAGGTCTATGCATGATATTTTGGAGGTCTTGATTCAAAAGTCTCCTCAAACTGGGCATGCATTGATAAAAGTAATGCACACCATCTATTTACTGGTAACTAAACTATGTATTAGGCCAAAAAAAAATGATAGTAAACTGTTCTGCTTCCGGTTTCCCTACCTACCCTTTCTGACAGCCCCTACCCTAATTTGTTTTATGGGAAAAATGAGAAAAAAAGAAGAACCCAAACAATCAATTTGTCCCTTTCACCCTTGACTACACGCAGACGCCTCCATATATGATTGTACACAAACAAAAAATTCTTACTTACCAACCCTGTTTTCAAATGCCATGTAATGGGAAGCAGAACTATTTTTTTGGGCCTTATCAAGGTAATATGGGAAATCTTAAGTCCCATTTTGGCCCATACCCTAAAATGGTGATAACTTTCCTTACGGTAACTGCAGTTTTTCCACCTATAAGGAACAAGTGTAAGCATTTAAGATACTAATAATCAATTATAAAAAATAATAATCAATTGCAAAAACTCTTTTGGCATAGAATTTGAACCTTTTTCTCTGACTTAAAAACAAAATCTCACAATAACACATACGGTTTGCATGTTAAACAGGGTGCCAAACAAAAATACATGATTTTAGCCAAAAATCAGGGGTTTTTTGACCAAAAAAGTGCTTTTTGGCCCCAAAAACCACCCTTTACTACATTCCACGCCCCTGACATACCACTTAAATGAAAGATCTTGTTGTTCCCTTTCATTTGATGCGACTTTTGTTGTTGTGATGTTTGTAGTTCAGAAGATATTATCAATTGATATATATTTCATGTAATAATTAGCTGATGACGTCATAATGACGTCATACATGCCCTTCCCATCATCCAATTTTTTGCGTCCGTCTATTTTTCGAAAAGGTATACCATGGAGATGCTTTGGTGAAAAAAGGGTGCTTTTGTCCACTGTGTCACGATTTTTTCACTAAGGTACCTCACTATATTGGTTTCAAGAGTTTACAGAACTGATTATTGTAATTTATTGTTCAACATCCACTATTGAATGCAAACAAACCCATACATGCACCCAGTCATGCTATCCTATACTTAAGTTATGTTTCTATTGTTTGTACTCTTAACTTTTTTTCAACATGTCCCATGAGGTTTGTACACAAAAGCTCCTGAGAACTCGGCTCATGTCCTCTGGTTATTGTTACCACAGAAACCCATTGTTCCAAGTCCTCAGACATAAAGGACTACAACATCAGTCTTGTCAATTACATGCTGAGGACCTATGGGCTCTGTGCGCCAACAAAAGAGGGCGCCCTTTTACCTAGCAAAGACGTCCCATGGGCGGGACACATACATTTCGCTGGTTGACGCGCGCACCATTCCTTGTGTGTGACGCAAGTACACCAGGGGATTTGTACTATGAACACGCAGTGGCCGCGCTTCCCAGCAAAATATTGCAGTCAGGAAAGATGGCCTCGATCGGTCACCCCCAACTGTACTTTCTTTGCCGGTGAGGAGGTACTTGTGAACGAAGCGGATACTGACTGTTCCCATCATTTCATTCCTATTGTTTCGACTTAAAGGTTTTCCTGACATATCTCACAAGCATTGCACATGAAAAAAAAATGAACTGGGGCTTGGGACCACAGGGTTATTGTCCTCAGGTAAAGGTTTGTTCCAAGTCTTCAGTCTAAAGGAAAATCCATACACATGGAAAAGCAAATTAAGTAAAGCAGCCTCATTTGCATGAGCAAGTGATGACCTTCAACATACACCTTACACACAGAAAGTGACTTTACTGTATCGACTCCGTGTGTCAGCAAATGAGGGCGCTTTTTTAACCTTCTTTGAGAGGCCTGTGGACGGGACACACAACGTGTGCGTACTGCTCTGGTTTGCGCAAGACGTACGCACGACTCACTGAATTAGCCAAAGCTATTAGCCACAGCCTCTTTGCGTGAGCGTCAGGCGTCATCTGCGCGCAAATGCATTCAAACTTCTCTTTCGATGGTCTCCCAGACTATTCCCTGCCGACATGGATCATTCGAAATACGCAGTGGATGGACCCGGAACCAGTCTAGGTCTCCCCCAACTCGCCTTTTCTGGCTGTTGATGGGGTGCTTGTGCAAAGAGCCCATAGCTGTGGTTAATGGAATTCATGGGATTTTGGTACGAACCATGGCATATTGTGGTGGCGGTTGAGAATGCACCTCTGATGTTTGCTGTGCCTGTATCATAGGTTCCGGCTGGGCAGTTCTCTGGGCGTCTGTCACAGGTTCTTGGGCAGGAAATGTCCCCCTAGCTACAGTCAGATGCACATGGCTACCAGCTTGTCTGAGTACCATGGCAACCTGGTCAGAGTTCATGCCTTGCAGGGGCGTCTCACCGATTTGGAGAATAATGTCGCCGCTTTGTAGACGTCCATCCTGCATTGAAGAGAAGGGAATTGCTGAGATTGTCAATATGGGTGTGAAAACGCCTATTGATTGTTTATTTCATAAGTTAATTGTAGTTAGGAGAACATATTCACATTTGAACACATTGTAATTTAGCTAAACTAAAACCCCATGAGCATTTTTCATACAAAGTTTTTGGACTCCTTGGCTACTTAACAAAATGTTGATTATGGGGGCAAATTGGAATTGAGGCATTTGCATTTCGTAAGGTCATTTTTGTTTGTTTGATTAGTTTTGTTTTTGGTGGTTTGGGTTTTTTCTTTCTTTGCGCTGTCCTGTCACATCAAATTGTATTACTATTGTAAAACAGTGGAAACAGAATGGCATAAATTTGTTTAGTTATTGTAAAGGTTACAAGGGCATATTGAAATGAAATTCAAAAAGCAAAAACTTCCCAGCTAATTCCCAGCTAATTTCAGCAAGAAAAATAATTCAAAAAAAGAGGAGAAAAAAAGATGATGCATATGTTTCAGCTTGGATATATACATTTATGTAGATGTCCTGCATTTTTTTTCAAATTTGCATTAGTCAGGTCAACTTGTGCACTGCATGCACATCGGATGTCAGTCTTATTTTTAGTGCAACTGTCTTTTGATTCAGCAACCCATATGATAGGAACCCACCTTATCAGCAGTACCTCCTGGTAGAATGGTCTTCACCACGATGCCAACATCCTGAACTCCTACAATCCCAAAGCCTAGGCCAGACCCATCGTTGTACAGGTCGATCTGCTCAATGTTGTGCTGCGGTTCACCATCATCCTCAGAGATCATTGGCTATTCCAACATTAAGTCAAAATGAATGAGTAAGGAACAATTTGTGTGGGTTTGTATGAGGTAGTACTGTACCAAGATGAAAATGAGCAAACAGGATTTGAATGGACCTGAATTTTAAATTTGTTGACATGTTCAAGAAAACAAATTATGTTTCAAACTCAAAGGGTTAAAGCTGCACCAGTTTTCCACATCCATTGCTGTACATGCACCTTTGTTTAATCTCTTAAATTGTTTTAGAATGAGAATCTGTTGGAGAAAATTCCAAAACAAATATTGACTGAACATTTAAATTTCAACCAGAATCCCATAGTCAATAGTCAAATGAAAACATCCTGTTTTCCATTGTTTTACCTTATAAAAATAGAATGGTTCCACAGATCACCTGAGGAGGCCAGTTGAACCCATTTGGGCAATCGACATTAATATACTCAACGTTCAATTGTGTAGGATTGCGATAAAGGAAAATTGAATGTGACTGCACATAGATCCACTGGTGATGAATGAAGATGTGCAGTATGTTACTTACCTCTGGGCCAGAGTGTGGTTCATTGTTCTGATTCTCTGCTGAGTCCTTACTACTATTAGCACCCACAGGTATTTGGAAGACACCCCTGGCTACAACCAACTCCACAAGACCACTGACCTTCTGTAGCATCACTATGGCCTGGTGGCATCAAGCAAGGAAAAGAAAACAAGACTTATCTGAAAATGCAGCAAAGTCACCTGGCCATGCAATGAGCAATCTGATTGCAAAGGCGTTTCCTTATTGAAATTTTTCCTAAAAGACAAACCGAAGACCTACTTTTCTGAAGTTAGAATTCTTGTGGTTTCTGTTTGCGGTATCTTATGGGATGGCATTATCTATAATTTTGCCTACTCTAACAATAAAGGCATTTTGTTCTAGCCACAAACTTATGTTGGTGAGAAGTGAACCATGTTTACTTGTCATAAAGTATGCATGTACATGAATTAACACTAACAGAACTCAACCCATCACACCCCAACAGCATGTTTTGTTGGAATCTGTCAGGATGGGTACAGTGCCCCTAAACTGACAGTCTTTTACATTGGGTTGGCACAAAGTGTGCAGTTTCCCATATATGGTATTGGAATTTGCCAGGATGGGTATGGTTCCTAGTAAATCATGCTAGGGAGTAAGGGTTAAGCCTGACATGATATGGAGTATGGACACAGATTTTCTGAGCCAAGGCAAACTGCTTTCCAAAATTGGAAGAAGAAAAAAAAACAGTCCTTTTAATCTTCTCTCTACTTATGAAAACAATTAACCGAAATGTTTACAAGAGAAAGGACAACAACCGGGGTATGACTTGAATGATTAAGATCTAGAAAGAAAAGTGTGAAGTTTGCATTTGGTTGCAAGACTAATATTTATAAAAGTGATGTCATATGAACATACACTACCTCTTGATGTGACACACTAGCATCCAGTAAATGTCCATTGATGGCTAGGATCTGATCACTCTCTCGAAGGTCACCATTCCTGTCATGCACACAGCCAAAACAAAGTAATGTGAATTTGGAGAAAAAAACTCAAGCTCCTGAATACAGTATATATCTAATACATTCATACTTTTAAATTTAATAGGAAAATACATCATACTTTTTAAGGTACGTTGTGATGTGGTTACGAGCAGAGCATTTTTAAACCAAACTTACAAGAAATTTATTTTCAAAGTTTTAGCAATGCAAAATAAAAAAGTACTTTACCATACATGTCCCTTTTTGAACTTGGAGAATAGACATACCGGTATGTCAATTTTAGAAGTTGGCAGAAAGAGACCTATGAGTGGAGATGACACACACAATTTGGTACAGCATGAAAATCGTTTCTCGGTTTTGTACTTGGGTTACCTGAGGTGGAGGCCGGGCAACCACTACAACCTAGTAACAGTCTAGGACCACAATTTATCTAGCCTAGCCACTTGGACTTCCTTGATGTATTTTCCAGTCTAACTCACTTGTCTGCCACCCCATTAGGCTGAACCTGCTGGACAAAGATGCCAAGTTCTCCATGGTTCTCACTCTTTAGCCCCACCACGCTAAACCCTAGACCTCCCTTCTCTGGCTTCATTAGCTTGACTGTCCGCACCTCTCTGCCCATAGCCAACTCTGCTATGGAATCCAGCAGAGTGTCTACTTCATCAGTGTCTGAATGAGGGGCAGGGGGTGGAGCACTCTGTTCTGCAGTGGCTGACTCCACCGTAATAGCTTCATCTTCCAAATCAATCTTATTCTCATAGGCAAATGGATGGCCTGCTTGGCTGCTATCGGGAGACCCTGGTTCAGGTTTGGCTGGCTCTTCTATCAGGAGCTCTCCACTAGGTGTGAAGTCAAACTCTCCAATAGGTTGTCCTGGGGGTGTGGACTCTACATGATCTCTCAGCTGACGCATAGATTGCTGAAGGGTCAAGAGCTGAGTGAAGAGAGGACTCTCCATCATAGCAATCATGTCAGTCAGATCTTGGTCTAGCTCCATGTCTCCCTTCTGTTGCAGCTCATTCTGCATGCTATGCAGCAGCTCCACTGCATGTTGGGTATCTGACCAAAGTAAAGAAACATAGATGGTTGGTAGTAATTTCAACAAAAGGAAATTAAGAAAATATCATAAATCATAAATGTTCTTCCTTCTTAAAAATTCTTAAAATCTTAAAATGTCTAACCTCTTCCAAACAAACACATTTATATCATGGCGTTATCTTCACTTCTAGGTATACTATACCTAGAAGTAAAGATTTGATTCATGCATGCATAAAATCAAACAGCACTACAACTTCTGGAGTTAAATTTAAGAAAATTTAAGGCATAACTTTTTCAAGATATATGTACAAGTAAACTGCATTAAATACATCGTATGAATACATTTGAAGTATAAAATACCTTTAATTTTATATTATCTGAAGATATAACTGCATAATACTGAGATATTACTGGCTTACACACAGCTCTCTAAAATTGGAATTTGTTATCAAGGGAACTAAAGTTTAACCAATCAAAATTCCACAGACATGCCAAACATTTAATTGTAGAGGACGTGGCAAAATGGGAACACCAACATTGTTAACAGTCATAATGGAGCTTTGATTGCAAGACCAAAGTTCAGTGATACAGAAATATGCCTCGATGGAATGAATCAATAAACAAGTCCAACATCACTTTAGATGTCATAAACATCAACATGCTGGAACCTCCCATTAAATAAACACACATGACCAATATTGACTTTGGAATTCAACTCCAATTTGTAAATAGCAAAGTCCTTTACATGTTTCTGACATATAAAGAAAGGAATTTTTATAATTGGTCAAGACGCACATTTTGCTGGTTCCCACTCAATCAAGAGTGTAGAAACTTAACAGAATGAAGTGGGGTGTAGTTGCACGCAGGGTACGTACACACTGTCATGACTGTTTGTCAAAACAAAAAAAAGTTAGCTTCCAGCAGTAAGTGAAGAATAATTCAACAGAATTAAAGATCTTAAGATAATGAAAATAACTTGAAAGCAACCAAGATGACAGCATATTCCGGGAATCCAGCCGTGAGGACACTATCAGCGGATTTTTGAGATGATGAAGAATATATTGCACTGGCTATAACAATACTGCACTCGTCTTCAACCCGTACAATATTGTTATAGCTCGTGCAATATATTGCACTGGCTATAACAATACTGCACTCGTCTTCAACTCGTACAATGTTGTTATAGCTCGTGCAATATATTCTTGTATCCCCTCAAAGCCGTCCAATATTTAACATTTCACTGTCTACATTGCATCGTATATGCTGTGTTATACATGCAATAGGAAAACGTGTGGAATATGTAATGACCATCAGGTTTACTTAAATTAAAGATAATTTATCCCACTCATGCTTGTGGAAAACCCACAAAGAGTAAACTGGACACATGGGACACAGATGCACTACATAATTCTGTGCTCCATTCACTGTCACGAGATACCAGTAACTAATACCAACTTTCGCTATAAACAATATCAACTGGCATGACTGGGTGAAAAAAATGACATCCTACCTGCAACAAGTGCCATGTTGATTACAAAGCTGAAACTAATGAAGTCTAGTTATATCCCTCAATAGATCATCTGAGGCTGATCATTGGATGGCGCATGCAGTTGGCATCTGCAGTCACCTCAAGTCTTGTACCTGTATTTAATAGGAAACAAAAGCAGATTAACACTTATTACTGCCAGTGCCATCTTTAAGAAAACATAGACCTGAAGTTCCAGTCAGATTTCATCCATGTTGGCCACTTGCCATCTATGTGTAAGCATTGATTGTCAGAAGTTTGTGTAGAGAAGAGAGCGAGCAATAAGCACACTCATGAAAAAAACTATCCATAGTCAGGTGACATCCTACTGCATGGCTTATTCATTTGTTTTTTCATTGGTTGAAAACAGTATCAGTGGCACAGGCCTATCACATGTGTATTGAAGTTTATACATACATCACAGGTTCAAGAATATCATGAATGTTGATGGCCTGGGTACTTCACCCAATTGCTCAGAAAATGCAGTGTTGAAAGCACTCTGCAGTGCATGAGCATGAGCACTCAAATAAGATGTATGGATACACTTGTGCATGACCATTTTATATACAATGTACATGCAGACTGTTTCAACGTGGACACATGGTTCCTCCATGATGTTAGGGATTTGCCCTTTTCACCTTATAAAATTATCCAACAAATCTTTTTTGCTGTTGGATCTTGTTGGAAGCAGGTACATGTATTATGGTTAAAACAGTTTTTTTTTCAATACTACAAATAAACTGTAAAAAACTTTGCTTGCATGGTATAGTCTAGCACATACATGTACATGTACATCCCTCATCAACAACAATTACAAAGAGAGAGGCAAAGAGAACCATTAAATGTCACTTTGCCTGCAATCACAATGTGGGCATTGACAGACTGAGTGTTGAAACGTACACGTGTCTACCTGCAAAAATAAGTCACAATATAAAGGAGGGACTGGAGACTAGTCTACCCAATGATACTTGAGCCCGCATATGAACCAGTGAAATACATGTTTGTGTCCATCCCACCCAAAATGTTTGCTACATGTACCCTCTTGTTCTTGAGTAGAGTCCATTGTATTGACATTTTTGTAATAAAACTAGGAACATGTACATATTGTGTTGCACTAGCAAGGTAATAGCAGGATAACCACATGAACTAAGGCATATTAGAAGAACACCAACAACTAATTTAGAATTTTTTTTTTTTTTTTAAATAAATGCAACTTTAAAACAATTAAACAACGTTGTCATTACCACCAGCAGAAAAAAAAATCCTCTCGATCGATGCGCATGCGCATCAATTTTGCACATATGAAGTGAGACATTCCGGAACCAGGGAAGAGCTTATTGTGCACTTGCGCTTCTTTGTTGAATATTTTATATATTGTTGAATACTTTGTTGAACTTTTAAACTGAGGTTTTATCGTTGGTGATGTTCGAAGACAATTGTAACAACAGTTTTTGATATAGCATTTTTAGCCGAAACAGAGTTAGGGTCATTTCATATAAATAGTGGTATACCGGTAACTTGAACTGATTGAGCAACTGATGCAATGTATTAATCTAAAAGTAGTTTATTAAATTGGCTTACCAGTCAGTCAAAAAAATTTTTTGATGCTACATAATTTTTCAAACATGAAATAAATTTCTTTCGGTTTTGGTTCCACTTGTTTTTTTCTCACCCCGTATGTGTTTTTTGGGCAAAATTTATGAACATGACGAAACGAAGAATACATGTAGGAACTTGACAGGCTTAGCACGTCATGATCGCAGTGTGTGTGGTGAACCAATGATCGATAATCGCACTTATAGCTCTGTGTGCACTGTATACGAGTCACGTATTGTACACAAGTCATGATGTGTACACCCATCGCAACGCAACACCAACTGAGATAGATTCCAACACTGGTAACGTATGTCTCTCTGCCCCCCCCCCCCCACATGTACTTAATTTAGCAGAAGATACAGGTTTTAGGGAAGCACACAAACCCTGATGGCATTCAACAAGAAATTAATTTAATGGATTGAAACCTTTAGGATAATTATTTTTGTTCAATAAAATGCAGCCTAGAGTGTAAGCCTTAAGCCTGGACTGATCATTATTCATACTCATTATTTTTAGCCCCACAATGTTTTACAAAAAAGTTCACATGTAGGTAACACAAAGATAAGTTGAACATGGCATAAATAACCCATTGAAAGGCACTTGTGATCAATGCTTAACATCCTCTTCTCATAGGATGGGAAATAGTCAGGATGGTGACTAAATCCTGGCTGGATCATGTGAGATTTGAACTAGTTACAGAACCACCGCCCTGTAATCTTATCATGATTAAGTTTGGAGGCTCAGCAGCATTAGCAATTCAACATGTTCAAAGACAAATCAGACAGTGCATGATACCAGCTGGTACAGATGTATCATACAAAATGCACACATATGTAAACTGCACGTGGTGTATTACCATACCGCATTTTGCATGCTATAAATCTTGTCTGTTAAGTAAATGAGAGCTGAAAATGTGAGTCAACCTATATGAGAATGGGAGGGGGTGGGGCACTGGCACTGCCCCCCCCATGAAACCTTGTCGCCCCCCCCCCCCCCCCCCCCACTGAGATTTTGAGTTTCTAAAAAAATTATCATTGATCTACATGACGCCATGGGCGTCAATCCTGGGGGGGGGGACATGAAGGGGGGGGGACATGAAGGGTGGGGGACACAATATCAAATGTCCCCCCCCCCCCAGATTTTTGAACTCGTGTCTCGTTTACAGGGCCCCATTATGTACTACAATGTATCTTTTGCTTAGAAAATATTGGTTAAAGTGGTCAGAAATTGCCTCAGATAGCACCACAGAGCATTTAGAATCCAAAATTTTTCGGGGCCCTTAAGCGGGCCCCGAACCCCACGCCTAAAGCTCAGAATTCTGGTAGCTGATTCAATGACTCCAACCTCGAAAACAATGTTCAAAAAATTTTCTTATGCCTTTAGCTGAGAAAACCTCGAAAATTATGTTTAAATTATTATCTTTTGTGCTAAGATAATTATTGGTTAAAGTGGTAAGAAATTGCTTCAGATCACACCACAGAGCATCGAGAATCCAATTTTTTTCGGGGCCCTTACGCGGGCCCCAAACCCCACGCCTATAGCTCAGAATACCGATAGCTGATTCAATGACTCCAACCTCGAAAACGATGTTCAAATAATTATCTTTTGCTAAGAAAATATTAGTTAAAGCATGGGGAAAGTGGTAAGAAATTGCTTCAGATCACACCACATAACATCTAGAATCAAATTTTTTTCGGGGCCCTTAAGCGGGCCCCGGACCCCACACCGTAAGGGCTTCGCGCTTCGCGCTCGCATCAGTTCTGATCAAGGTATGTCCGCCCCCCCCCCACTTTTGAGAAGCGATTGACGCCCCTGCATGACGCCCCCCATGAAATGTTCCAGCCCCCCCCTCCCGCCCCCCCCCCCCCCCCCCCCCCCCCCGCGCCCCCCCACTGAAAAATTCCTGGCTACGCCACTGGGCACTGGAGATTCCGTCATTAATCATGGGCAGAGGAGTCAATTCCAGGAGTGCTGATGTTAGGGGATGTGTCTTTTCCCGACATTATGGAGATCTTCTCACTCCATATCCAGTTATATCACCAAATCATGTGGTCAACGTGCCTTCCAATTCACTGCTCCCAGAACGATTTCCTCAACCATATCAAAAACACTCCCACCTTGGATCAATTCAAACTACTTTCTCATTTTAGAATTTAAGCAGAAAGCAGATCAAACATTTTGACAACCGTGTAGTACATTTCTGCTTTTCAGACACTGGAAAAGCAGATTTTACTTTAAGCGGCCGAAAAGCGGCCATTTGCATTTCTGCTTTCAGAAGACCATGCCAGTAGAACAATTTGGCTACGACCATTGTTCAGCTTTCGGTTGGCTAAAAGAAGACTGAACACTTTATGTTAAAACAAAACCAATGTTACTGCCATATCTAATGGCACTACACCAAAATCGGCCAACATGGGCATTGATTCTGAGACTGAAGCATAAAACATTTGTAGCCTTTGCAGGCAAGTTTCGCGGCTAACTCCCAAAAGACTTCCAAGAAAACATTAGAATATTTCATTTTAGGGTGGACCTTGGTAAAGTGTGCTAAGTCTTATTTTATGTGTCTACGTTTATTCATGCCCCAGGTTGGGGATTTCGGTCACTCAATAAAACTGTTACCATTGGCGTATTGGAAAGGCAATCACTAGTGAGTGTGCCCGGTTCACGTACATGTACATGTATGTATCCTCTTCTCCTCCTATATCTGCGCAGATAAGGCTTTACAACCAAATAGCTTGAAAATAGCAAAGCAACCACTCTTTTCCTCAACAAAAATTATATTGTTGGCTTACAATCATCCACCATTCCGATTTATTTAACGAAGCGAAATCTCTTTGTGGTGAAAAGCGGGAAATTCCAAAGCGTGCAGTTTTGGCATTGTAGAAAAATTCCTGTCTAATTCTACGCAGTGGACGCTTCATGGAAAATCTTTGCTGTCTGGGCCATAGGGGGCCTAACATTTTTATCTATAAATGAGTTAGACTCCTTGGTTTTAAGAAAATATATTTCCTTGAGCTTTCAAACATATTTTCCTTCTTTTTCCTTTCTTTTTATCAATGCCAATACACTTTTAATAATTTCAAGATTAATTTCAATATAACAATGTATAATGGTTGAATCCTCAATACATTGTAGATACATGTAATTGTTAATTTACACAAAGGCATATTTACATACATTTTACCTATTTAATGTAGATTCCACTTTTATATTTTTATTTTGATCATCCCAATCAGCAGTGACAACTGTCAAGATGTTAGATTTTAATAGTTATGGGGAAAAAAATCAAAAATAATATAAGAAAAGTGTCTTTTTTTTGCACTGTAAGTTTTAGTATGTAGGAGCTGCAAAGTTTTATCAATGACACATTAACTATAATACTGACGATAGTGGGACATCATTTAAGAAAGGTCACTGCACTGTAAGGTCATGTTTTCTACCTTGGCAGGTCCGGAAGCATCAGCCTACAGTTGTAGTTAGTAATTAGCTGTAAAAGAAGACTTTTTCATGTTTTGCCTGAAATCCTAGTAAACCTTCACTTTCCAGTTTCCACATTTTTTCGGCTGCTGGTTAAAGTTTGTGCATCAAAGGATGCAATCCGAGTGAAAGTACATGTACGTCATTTTTAGGATGCAAGCGTTGCAAAATAAAGGCGAGTGCGTAGAAATACCGGTAGGGGCAGGTAGCTTACATGTAGCTTTAGGGGGTCTGACGATACATGTATGTCAGAGATTGTCATTTAACTTTTAACAATCCCCATGTCTTGGGTGGGGCAGCCTGGGGGGGGGGGGGGAGGAATAATGTTACATGTAAGTTAGCTGTAAGCTGGTAAGGCCTAGCCTGAGTACCGGTAACTCCAGCTCCAATGCTCATCAGGAATTTGATCTACATGTATATGTCGAATACCTGATGAGCATTGGAGCTGGAGTGGAAAGCTAGATTAGACCTACAAGTTACAACTTTTTCTACGCATTCACCTTTAATTTGAATTTTGCAACGCGTGCGTCTTACAAATGACCGTATGACGTACCATCACTTGGATCGTATCCTTTGAGTTTAATGCACAAACTTTAACCAGCAGCCAAAAAAATGAGGAAAGTGAATGTTTTACCAGTAAATCAGGCAAAAAATGAGAAAAAAAATTTGTTTTTTACATCTAATATTTTTAAGTACAAATGCAGGCGGATGCTTCTGGGCCTGCAGAAGTCGAAAATATGACCGCACGGTGACTTTTGTTGGTCTCCCTCTGTCTTTTAAATTATAGTTAACATGTACTTTTATGTTACAGTGCAACAAAAAAGACAGAATTCTTTATTATGATTTTGGATTTTTTTGGTCATATTTTATTAAAATCTGACATCTTTTCATTGTCTCTGTTGATTGGGATGATCAGAATAACAATATAAACTGGGATCTAAATTAACCCTAACCCTGCTGAATTCAACAGGATCCAACTATGTCATATACCCGATGGAGCCTGTTGCAAGAATGTTGCAACCTGATGCTACTTCAGTGGTAGCCCCATAAATGTGGCCTATTTACTGGACTGCCTCCGTAAACATAGGCCACACATCCACATGTACAAAAATCGTGTTGACTTTGCCAAATTTTGATTTTCACATTTAGGCTTAGTTTGTAGGGTTTTTTTGCTTTAGAAGCATACTCACCCTCTTTATAGTCTAATCAGAAAGTGCTGCCTTTTTCAGATGTATATTTTTCGTGAAATTTCCAGATTCATTTTTACACGTTTGCGTATCAAAATTTCAACATGAAATTTCACAAAAATTAGACATCTGAAAAAGGCAGCACTTTCTGACTAGCCTATAAAGAGGGTGAGTATGCTTCTAAAGCAAAAAAATCCTACAAACTAAGCCTAAATGTGAAAATCAAAATTTGGCAAAGTCGACACGATTTTTGTAGATGTGGATGTGTGGCCTATGTTTACAGGGCAGTCCAGTAAATAGGCCACATTTATGGGGCTACTTCAGTGGTTGTGTACAAAGTCAATGGAGAGTCAAGAATTTTTTTTAATTATTTCCAAACAAAATTGGAAATGTTTCTCAGTCCACTCCCAGGTTCATTTCATGTCTTATCATCATTTTTGCTATGACTGACCTTCATTCATTGAGATGATATACGATTATGAAGAAAAAGGCAGCGTCAGGTTGCAACATTCTTTCCTGTCCCGGTACATGTACCATGCCTTTATTTACGGAGGTAGTCCAGTAAATTGGTTACATTTATGGGCTTAGCTACTTCTTGGTTGCAAAGCCTTAATTATCTGCGCAAATACTTAGGCAGATCATGCAGATAGGAGGAACAAGTTCAACATTTTCAAAACAAAACTTACCAATTACTGCCTGCAGATTATATATGGCTGACTATCGGATAGCAAATGTCACTCGGAGTCATCGGTCTGTGTATGTCAATTTAATGTTCAATTTGAATGTTGGGCGCAATCGGCATGATCGGTGGCCTATGGACTGATGGAAGGAAATGCTTGACTTAATTCCGTCGATTACGCGATCTAGCCGCTGGGGAGTAGCTCCGGTCCGGTATCGACTTATTGTACTTTCGATTCTAGTAGCCGATTAAAAACAAGAATCGCTACCAATTGTCATACTTTAACGTTGTCGACCCCGGAAGACCGAATACACTAAGATATCGATTAGCTGATCTGGAGTCGTGTACGGTGTACATAGTATGGCAGACATTGGCAGACCGTGTAAACATTCCCTCACAATGAATCATGCAGGTGTGGACCTACATTACACCTAACCATTCAGGTATCCATGCTGTTGATTACGTTAACTTTTTTTGCAGTATTTATCCGTAACTTTTTCCTGAACGTTTTATGGTAATCCCTTACCTGATTTCATCAAATGATCAAATCTTCGTCTGAACGAACGTAACGCCGGTTTAGCTGATGTGATGCACACAGCAATGAACGTGTGATTTCGATGTTGTGCGCTTTCTTGCAATTTGCGCAATCTTAAGAATGCGCGCTCATTCTTAAGATTGCGTGCTCATTCTTAAGATTGTGTGGGCATATGACATGCCCAATTAAAGAATTTTGCGCAATCTTAAAACATTGCTCGGCATAAACGTATTGCTAATGCTATAATATAAAAAAAAACGAAGTGGCTATCGTTACGGCAGTCGTTGTTTAGCGCCCTCTACGATACTTTTTTGATACGCACGCAGGTATATAATTATTTGTTTCCACACGGTTTAGCGAGTAGTACGACAGCTCAGTCGATAGAGGGTAGGATTTTGCACCGCGAGGTTGCGGGTTCGAATATCAGTTTTGCACTCAAATTTTTTCCTATTCTAACCTGAGGCTTTGGAGGATTTTTTTTAAAAGGGAAATAAAGTCCAAATTTCATAACGTTCAAATTCACTTTTTTCCTTCTAATTTTATATTTTCTTGTCATGTTTTTATAAAAGTTGCAGTCTACCGTAACGATAGAAAATGGGAAATGCGTTACGGCTGCCGTAACAATAGCCACTGCGTATAAAAAAAAGCCTGGGGAAATAATTAGCCTAAAGAGAAAAGAAAATGATTTAGGGCCTAGGGCTAGATGCTTCTGTACGCGTTTAAATATGATAATTTGAATTATCCTCGACCCTCCATAATCTGCGGAGGTAACGCTTGCAATGCGCACGCATTATCACACACAAATTTAAGGTGAATGCGTAGAAAGAGGACTGTGTAGCTTCAGGGGGTCTGACGATGACGATAAATTAAAGCTATTTTTATTGCTTTTTTTCTGCCCCCCTCCCCCTCCCCCAAGGGAAGTTTTGTAATAACGGAGGACTGGGAACTAGTCTGGAAATAGTCCGAGTTTTAAACTAGGACTCTCCAATTCCCACTGAAGCCTACAGGGGCGCATCAGGCAGTTTGAAGACTGTAGATTTTGATTGGGGGTACGAGTGAAAATGGTCAAAAAAAGTTATTAGTAACGCAATAAGGCTATGTACCTAGGACTCTACTATCGCCTGCCCATGTCTAAATGTTAAAAAAGGCGATTCGTAGAGTCCTAGTTACTCAGACTAGTCTGGAAAGTGCATTGTTTAGCCTAGACCCTGCATCATATGCAAACCAGGGCAGTTCACATATTTTACATCGTATTTCAACAAATAACATCACGCACCCCAACACAAATATTTATCACTCTGTGTGGATGGAAGGCACTTAGGTTCTCCATAAGTTCTCGTAGTGTTTTCCTTTAACACCATTGTTCCCCCCCCCCCCCCCCCACTTTTGTTATCCCAAAAAATCAGAATTCTTTCCACTACTCTTATTATTTCCCATCCACTCTATTATTTCACATTCACTCTACTACTCATAATTAAATCTTTTCCCAAGTAACCTAGCATTTTTTGTGCAATAGTAGTCAGTATAATTATTTAAGTACAGCCCAAGAATCAATTAATGAGAATGCAGCTACATCGACAAGATCAGTCTCTTGTTGCGGGTTCTTAAGAATGTGTGCTCAATCTGAAAGATTTTTTTTCTCGAAATTGCGCAAGGATCAATAACGAATGTCACGTGATGTGAGTTCCGCCAATCAAATGACAAGGATTTATGTATGTAGGTTATATAAAATACTATAGTACCAGTGTTTATCTGAATGAATTTGAAGTTTTTCAACAAAGAGTCTGGCAACACTGCCTGAGGAAAATGTGGGAAACATCAAAGTGCACCACATTGTGGGACTCGACTGTACTGTACTACATAGAAAAAGGTGTTGGAAAAAATGCCAAATTACATGTAAAGGCCTACATTTTAAATCTTGACTTTTTTCATTTCAGGTGTGGAGTTGTGTGCTGCATTTTTCACTAACACGCATCAGTGATCAAGATATATTTCATTGCAACTGGTTATTCTTCATCTAAATGTGCTACCATGGAGTCACTAGATATCCAGCATGTCAGAAGGAAGACTGTTCATGTAGCTGAACCTTACTTCGGTGTGAATTCCATGAGTGTTCAACTGATATACAGACAATTTCTTGCTGCAACCTTTATGGTGGGGCTGTTCCTGTGTTCATTTGCTGAAGGCTCTGAAGATAATGTCAAGTGCAACAATCTCCAAATAGGACAGTATCCTTTTTCAAAACAATCAGTGAAAATTGTGTGCATCTTGAGTCTTTCCAAATGAGCAAAAACCTGAAAAGAGTTCCATACCTGGACATCACTTGTCACCCCGTGCTCAAACCCTATGAGACTGTTCTGAAAAATTCCAAGTGTTTTCTCAGTAAGTGCTTCAGTTTTTTCCCTGCTAAATTTGACTTTTTGGGACATGTTATCACTTTCTTACGGCTGATACCTGTAGGTCACCACAGGGAAATAGTAGAGATGTCCATGTATAGAATTCTTCCCAAAAAGGTTACCCCAGGTATGATCATGCCTGTTTTCAACATGCGCGTCGAGAACATTTTGTGTGAGAAAATGAATTTACGGGATTTGTTACACTGTTGGTCACATTTGTATTGTTGTTGACCCTGACCCATGGTTTATGGGGGGGAATACAATTCTGGACAGATCTTGAAATTTGCTCAGAATCTGCATGAGTTGAGTTTGGCCAAAAACCACTGACTTTCATGTATACACTAGAGGCAATAAAACTGTTTCCTGTGCCGACCATGGGTGTCCGTTACCTATAATGACACTAGAATGAATACTTAATTGGCACAGTTTACATGTATACACAGCTCTGCCTGAAGTAGATTCTTCGTTTGAATTGCATGTTTTTACTAGGAGTTGACCTTTACAGGTATTTGTGGAACTTAGTACCTTATTTTCCAGCTTGGGAAAGATTCCCATACCTGGCCATCACATGTCCTGAAAATTTAGCTGGGGAAATATTGAAGCATTTACTGAGAAAACACTTAGACATTTTCAGACCAGTCTCATAGGGTTTGTGCACAGAGTGACAAGTGATGTCCAGGTATGGAATTCTTTCCCAATCTTGAAAAAATGGAAGTGAGTTTTTTCTCCAACCAAGCAGTGGTGAGCACCCCTCGGTTTCATCATGTTCATCTACTCTTGTGATTTTCTCTGTATGAGAAAATTCATGTTCATCACAGCCTCACCAAATATGTGTATTGAATAGTGTATTTTTCCCTACTTCTTCTGGTGACTACTACTTCAAAAAAGATAGAAACCTGCATTAAACTTATCACTATCAGAGAATACTATCAACTGTAATTTGACCATTTGAAACGGTCGGGTTTTAGTTTTTACCAACAACTATCAATAAGAAGTCTTTGTCCCCAATTTCAGAAAAGCTGTATCGAAATCTGCAAGAAGGTTCCAGGTAATTCAACCTTAAAAATGTTTAAGACCAGGTACCCACCATTTTTGGTTGGGTATCTTGTACATGCGTATCTGTCCAAAACCTAGTGCTGACCACAGGATCTAATTTTATGAGCTGCAACTACATGTACTCCCCAGATTATGGCGGTATAGCTTTTACAGTCCAACAGTCAATGTCTTCTCCTTGACATATTGCAAGGTATGTGTGTGAGGATCCGGTCATAGACCCAGAGACACAAGCTGCAGTCAACTGTCTTCCAGAGAGGCTAGTCACAGGTACAAGGGTGTAGATTTATTGCCATTGGGGTGGGGGGGGGGTGGGAGAATGACAAGGGGTTGGGGGTCTAGATGCATTTGATGCATTTTAAACTAGAGGCATGAATGTTTCTGGCCAGTAGCATGAATTAGACCTTGTGCATTATTACACCAAGTTCTTCCCTAGAGAAAAGGCCCACACACTGATGTCACTTGGGCATCTGATCAGTGTGTGCCAAAAAGCCACAACTTCCCCTCTTCAAAGATGCACATGGTCTTTCTCATTCTAAAGTTCAAGATCAGATAGATCTGGATGATCAGAGACCTAGGGATGTGGTTGCTTGACTTACTAGGGTCACACTAGTAGGATAGGGCTGGATGCCATGCAGGCTAGCTCAACCCTGTTCTGATGCCAGAAATGTGTGTTGATTTTGCCAATTGAAGCATGCCAGGCTGCAGATAAGGATTGCTTTCCCAGTAGACCTGGTAGAATGATTCATTTCTTTAGCTTTATCACATGGAAGTAGCAACTGCTTCATTAAAAGAGAGATAGGAATGTATTGTTCTGTATGTCAGTCATTGTAAAAGAATATAAGGTACATATGTCAGCATCACATTACTCACCCGAAAATCCTGTTTCAAGCTCAACACTTTCAACTCATTATTCTGAATAGATTCATTTGAGGCTATAGCAATCAACAGTAAAGTGTGTACTTGTTGGTTTGTGTCCACAGTTGGCTGCATGCCAGTGGCTGGTACCCAATGTGATGGGGAGATTTACAATGGCTCGACAGTTGCACCAGATTTAAAGAGAATGGTTCCCTGTAGATACACGTAAGTCATGATGTATCTGAAGTACAATGATGTCACACCCTGTTCACTTGGGACTTATGAAATGGGATTTAGTTTAACAAAGTTACTCATAATGTTGGCTGGGCCGTCAATATCCATATTTTACACTGTAGTAGTAATGTGAAGCTGGAGGGATGTTGTTATTCCCTGTATCATTTTTTTTTTTTTTTTATTTCTTTCTGGTAATGAAACCGAGGATTCCTCAAAAGTGCCCTAAGCACTGTAGCTCGAAAGCCCGAAGAAACCTGTAGAGAGAAGACGATGAGAAGAAATTACAGTTTGGGAGGTGGGAGGAAAAGCCCAGAGGAATATTCTGGGGGAAACCCACGGAATCAGGTAGGGACTGAAAACCCAATCCACATATTGGCCCGGGTGGGATTCGAACCCGGGTCACAGCGGAGGAAGGCGAGGAAAGTACCGCTACGCCAACCTGACTCCCCATCATCTGTCCAGGCATCCTTACAGTTTCTGAATATCTTCCTCATTGTTTAATAAAACTGGGATCAATGCTTTTTGATTCCCTCAAACTTCTAAATGATTACTTTGATGTATACACTTGATTATTTTTAGATGTTATGTTTACAATCACGTTTCACTATCCTACATTGATAATGCATGCTCATGGGAACATTTACTGGGATTAGATGCAAATCTCATCAAAGACAATGCAAGATTGACATCCAAGACCTACTGCTTACTAATATCAAACCACTTGAGCTAGCAGGGGTTAACATGCACCTGGCTGTGTGGATGCAGGGGATGGTTGGCTGAGTGGCATGTGGTAGATTTTGTGCAACGATGTGATGTCAGCCTGTGTTATAGTATCCCCTTTTTGTCCTGTCTATCTAGGACTGGTTACTCCTACAATACCTCGCTGCTGTTGTCCATATTCCTGGGCATGTTTGGTGTAGATCGTCTGTATCTAGGCTATCCTGCACTAGCTCTACTCAAGTTCTGTACTGTGGGTCTTCTCTTCATTGGCCATTTCCTAGATGTCATACTTATAGCTTTGCAGGTATGTATCCTTGAATCCATCCCATAGAGTGACACTATAGAACTCTTAAATAAATAGAACTGTAGATGTGATTTTAATAGGAGGCTCTCTGAATCACACCCAAAGCCTAGGACCAACTGGCTAACGAATGAGCCATGTTGTGTCCCCTGTCAAGACGGCACAATAGATTGTACGCTTTGGGGTTTTTTTGGAGGGAGGGTACATGATGTTGGACACTTCTGTAGATAAAATCACATCCATCTAATCTCCTCTCTATTATTGAATTCAGAAATCATAGTACTCACAATATTGGTTCAACTGCAGAAAGATTGGTTCATAATTCCTGCAAATACATTCTGCAACATCACAAATTTGACATCTTAAAAGTCCGCTGTGAAATATGCTGGAGTTTAAATGCATTCAACTTTTGCAAATTCTCAGCTCAAATACCAGTTCTCATCTCCAATTTATGTTGGCATTTGCTTCTGTGCCAAGTATGAAGCTATCTTTGTAACTTTGGCACACAATCAACGTCATCAATCATTGTCATCAATGCAGGAAAAAAATATGCGATAGAAAAATCACAATGTCCGTTAACATGTCTGAGCATCAAATGTTTGAGAGCATGTTCATGCATAAGTCAGATTAGTTCTGTTGCTTTCATTCGCACAGTGAGAATTTATTTTTTAAAGGGAGTTACTTTCTTAATTTAATTGGGCAGTTTTTGAAAAAGAATTGATAATTGTACTAGAAAGCAGGGGAGTTGCCTTAATTGTATATTCCATGAACATTTACACAATTTAAAAAAAAAACATAATTCATTTTGTAGCATCAGTTGGCACTTATTTTCAATTACACATCATTCCTTTACCAAAATGTGCAATGTGCCTGAAGTTGAAACTAATTATAACAATGTTTGAATATAATGTTGCCTTTCTTTGTTTGTGCAGGTTGTAGGCCCAGCTGATGGCTCAGATTACATCCTTGATTATTATGGACCTGTGCTTCAGAAATCAAATCTGGACAATTATACATATTACATGCCTAACACTGACTGAACCGTGTCAACATGTCAAGGAAACTAGCCAAGGATGGCATGGAAACTGCATCGTCTTATTTTCAAGACTCCTCCATATGGTGACGTTCTCTCTGTGTTTGAGATGTGACAAGAAAAACTTCCAACATGATAAAGAATGATAAGAGATATTTGTAAAAAAAAAAGAAGAAGACACTCTTTTGAGTTTTCAAGGTAATAAACTTCAGAACAATACAATGGATGATAAGATCTTCAGTTGGGGAATAACATTGAAGAGGGCCCTGTGTGGACAACAAGAACAATTTTGCCTGAAGATGAGAACATCTGAACTTCAGCTGAGCTCATGAGCCACGATAGATTGGAATCTTTGTCATAGAATTTGATGACATTGTGATCTTGATATAGGCTTGATCAGCAATGAACAAAGGATTGAGTGACATGAGTAGGAGTTGAACCCATTTTGCTGCAGTGGAAACCAAGGCAAGTGCTACCTGTGAAACCATGACCTCCACACAGTGACAGACTGGGGCTCAGTCATATCCACATACATATGATTTTAAACCATGGTGCAAACGTGGAATGTAAAGTACAGTACTTGTAAATGTATCAGAGAAAATGGTTGCAGTATTTATGGAAACAAGTGAAGTGGCAGTTGAACCTCCATATCACGTGTTTGATCAAAGCTTCATGCTCCTCATCAATTCAGACCTCCCTGGTCAATACTTCAACAAAAACAGAGAATTTCTAGAAAGAGAAAGGGCTGAATTTTAATTTGAATTCATCTCTTTTAGACGTGGCCATGTGATGGTATTTTGTAAGCTTGCAACAATTTTAAATTTTGGTATCAATGTGACTTTGTGTTGCAGTATATAAATATAAAAAATCCAACATATGTGGTTATAGACCCTATTTGTAGATTACGTGAGTGGGGCTTTTATTATACAGTTTGAAGGGCATGCCTTGTAAACTGCTTTTTGGGGAAAAGTTTGACAAGACTGGACAGATCATTCCTTTTAGCTTTTGGGGGTTTTTTTTTTGGGGGGGGGGGGGGGATAGGGTCCCCGATAGACTGCAAGTGGACCTGGGCAGGCAGACTCCCTGTTTCTACAAAAATTATTGAATATTCAATTTAGCAGTCTGCACAATTCTCACCTATTCATATTTTTGGACAAACTTAGTTATAATGTATTATACTGTTTTGCAAACAATCTCTTAATAAAGGAAATAAATGGTAACCTGTGGTTGCGGCTGTTATTGTGTCAACATTTTATTTTGTGGTATTTTAACAAGTTAGTTGAATAGATTTTACCAATATATAAAAATTAATTTATGCTGATTTTTTTTTTCGAAGAGTACACAAGTAGTTCATTGTCTCTATTAAAACATTTTCAGTATTTATTTTTATTTTTTTTTATTTTTTTTTTGGGGGGGGGGACTGGACCCAAAGAGCCAGACGATGGTGCTATGAATGACTAAGTCACTGACTGGACTGATTAGTGATGAGTCACTGAGTATAAGTAATCTCATGGGGATGTGGATGTCAAGTATTACAAAGAATGAAACAAGCGGCATCGTCTGTGATGTGGTAAATTGGAATTTATAACGACCACCAATAGGTGGCGCTATTTAATTTCTGCGGTCGCATCTAGATCTGAAATCTGAACAAACATTTGCGGAGCTTGGACTTTTTGGAGTCGCATGGAATTTATCTGTTTCTTTTGAGACACATCTGTTGAATGATTTAGTTGTAATGACAGGATCTTTATAAAGATTCCTCGGGATTTCTCGAGGGATGCAGATTGGTCGTTTTGGCGGGAGAGGTACGTAAATTAATGCATTCTCAGGAAGACGTTCGATGACATTGTTTACATTACAACCTAACTGGTGCACCATTGAATCTGTTTCGTGAAAAATATGTTGGACAAAATTCCGTACTGGGCCTAGTCCGAGTAACTTGGACCCAACTTATCGCCTTTTTTAACATTTGGACATGGTCTGGCGATAGTAAGGTCCAAGCTAATACCGAGACCTAGACAACACAGTCCCAAAAACCAACATTTTCTAACAAAAAACATCAGATTTCACCTTCAAAACGGCCTCCAAAGTACTAGATATGTCACCTGAGGTACAAGTAGACATAGATAATTAAGATGGTTGTACTTAAGTTTACTTAAGATCCGGAAAAAAGTGAAATTTTCCGTTCAATTCTGAAGACCCCCTCTGCCTAGGTTGTCGTTGTTGTGCTCACGTTCAAAACTGCATGATAATGGCGTCTGACCTCGACCTCATGCAAATGTCGTGACGGCGCGCTTGCGCATAATGCACTGCATGCACGGCAGATTCCCCTGCGCCGCACCGACGACTGTTGCCTGATGTAGAGCACCAGCCATGCACCTGGCTAGCCAGCGCATCTCCTAGGCGTACCGCGAACTTACACAGCACTCTACATCAGGAAACAGTCGTCGGCGCGGCGCAGGGGAATCTGCCGTTGCATTATGCGCAAGCGCGCCGTCACGACAGACGCCAGACGCCATTATCATGCAGTTTTGAACGTGAGCACAACAACGACAACCTAGGCAGAGGGGGTCTTCAGAATTGATCGGAAAATTTAACTTTTTTCCGGATCGTAAGTAAACCTAAGTACAACCATCTTAATTATCTATGTCTACTTGTACCTCAGGTGACATATCTAGTAATTTGGAGGCCGTTTTGAAGGTGAAATCTGATGTTTTTTGTTGGAAAATGTTGGTTTTTGGGACTGTGTTGTCTAGGTCTTGGTATTAGCTTGGACCTTACTATCGCCAGACCATGTCCAAATGTTAAAAAAGGCGATAAGTTGGGTCCAAGTTACTCGGACTATACTGGGCCACCACTTTTTTAACTTAATTTTCAAGCGCCAACAATTTGGATCCTTAATGGTTATTTTCTCCATTTTCCCTCCTCTCCTTTTCTTTATTCCTATTTATTAATCAGACATGTCAGAGATTCGAACCTCGGATATGTGTCGGACTCTAGTTTGAAACACGAGACTAGGCCGTGCACGATCGCAATCGCTGTTGCAAAAATCTTTGGACGTATTTGAAGGGAGTAATTGCAGAATACCCCGCCACTCGGAAATACACCCCTAAAATCTCTGGCTACGCAGTTGGAATCACTAAAAGAAACAATTCAAGTCCATTGCCAGCTACGCGGATACTGAGTGGGGGTCCATTATTTGAGAACGAAGCAATACAACAGGAATGGGAGTTGCTGAAAAAATTCAAGTCCAAACCAACCACCCTGTTGGCGGCTAAGTGGATACGGACGTGGGATGGAGTGCAGTGGAGCATGATGCATAGTATAAGTAGCGCTGAGAAGGTTTATTGAGGGCAATCAACCGTGACTCCATAGCCGGCTACGAGGTTGATAGATTGAGTGGCGGGGTATTCTGCAATTGTGCCCATATTATCCATTGAAATAAGACTAATGAATATTATATACGCTAAATATTCCTGAAGGAGAAATTAAATAGTCATAATGACATATTTTATGGCCAGGTGCCTCCAACCTAGTTCTGCACGACCTTTGCATCCAAAATGTGCTTTAAAAACACAAAGGCCTATTTCCTAAAAATTATTCACAATCACATTGCCGGAGCTTCATGGAATCGTCTTGGGTGAAATCACAAGGTGAGGTGAAAATTGATGTTTGGCGGCAGGAAAGTGGTGGCCCAGTACGGAAGTTTTTCCCTATTGAGTACAAGGGAACAAAATCCACTTTAAATTATTTTACCTACTAAACTAGTTTGCAACATTACAAACCTACAGGTATGTCATAGATAAAGGGCAGGGTTTTGAATTTTTTAGGGAAATTTGGGGGTAAAATGATGATGACAACGACAAAACGTAACACGAAAATAAAGATGGCGACACCGCGCGATGTACCGTGAGCGTGAATCGCACGCCACCAACCGTAAACCGCGTAGGAAAATCACAATTTCTACCCCAAGAAATTGTTCAAAAATTACAAAATGGTGTCATCGAGTGGAGATAAGTCTGCTTTAGGTTGAAAATGTCACTTTTGAGTAGTAAAAGACACTCTTGACTCTCATTTGATCGAAACAAAACGGGGCCCTACACTACATGATCGCAAAAAAGTAGCATTTGGGGTCATCGCTTCTTATATTCAAATGGCTGCCATCAACAGAAAGATGCCTCAAATGCCTCAATTTCTCAAAAAAATTGGATATAAGGACAACTAACAACACAGAGGAAAGAAGCTGAAACATAGAATACAACCGTATGTAAAAGAATTTGCGGGTTTTTTAGGACAAAATCCTCAATAGTTTCGGGAATCTGGCATGTGGCCAGAGGTACAGTGCAGCAACACTGCAGCCACACACTAGTGGGGCTACTTTTTAGCCAGATATGTAAGTAAATTCCATGCTGACACGTGGGAGAAGAAATCTCTCCTTCCTTGTTCGTGGCCATGCTGAAATGGGATACCGGCTTGACCATGTACCACCGCTGAGGAGCTGTGCTCCTGCATGCTGGACCGGGACATCTGGGCCGAGATCATTGGGAGGGCTCGAGCTGCAAAAGGGCTTTGACTTGATTGATTGATGCTGACAGTCTAGATTTCAAATTCGGGGAACACACTTTTGGGGAATTTAGCAAACATCCAGTATTTGAGACCCATTTTTTTTTTAGACTAACTGAGGAAGTGCAGAATGAAGTGAGTACACTTCCGAATCACTTGATCAAATAAAAATTAAATCAAGTGTAACCAAACTTTTTCCGAGATTTTTTCCACCAATTTGAAGGTCTATCATTTTGCAGATATTGGGGAAAAGAATTTTTTTGGGTGATAAAATGTGAAAGCAAGAGCATTCCATTTTTCAATGACCTGAGCAGGGAAATATCATAAATGTACCCCTCGGTTTTTTCCATAGGTTTTTCTATGTTTCCATGAAAGCCTAGCAAGCAGCAGCCATGTCATGCTTCTGCATTCGTCTGCAGAAGGACATTGTCAAGACCTTAGACTTCAGACATTGCAGTCTAGCCTTCATACCTGAAGAGGTTTATGAGTATGAGGAAACACTGGAGGAACTGTGTCTGGACTCCAACAACATCAAAGATCTACCAAGGGTAATAAGACATTTGGATCAATATTTCCCACTAATATTAAATAAAGCTCCATGAAAAAGGCCACACGTGGATTATATTTTTTTAATATAAGTTACTTGACACATTATGAATATGAGAAATAGTATATGGAGTAAAGAAAATTGGTCAAAAGGAGTATGGCAGAAAGGAAATGGGTGGAAAGCAAAAGTTGCTCAACTGGAAATTGCCAATATTTTCTGTAATGTATAAATACATTGTGTTACAATAAGAGCGACCACATTTTTGTTTAGTGTAAATCATTGGAAATTATAAACAGTCGCCATTTGATAAAAACTGTCATTCATAACTATCTGAGACAGACTACCCATTCTTAGTTGGTCGAGAGTAGGTCACTTGCCGGTCAAAACACCGTGGCGTTCTGGTGATTTTTAGGACTATGCGTGCAAGGCACATACCATAGACATTGCAAATTGGCAAGAGGGATGTTTCACAAAACATGCAGTAAAATTGTTGAACAAAATGATTTCTGGAAATTTGTGAATTTTGAACTTGTTTTGACTTTTTGACCAAAAGGTATTTATGAATGGGAATAAATATGTGCTTGGCCGGTATTAACCCTAACCCCCTTGAGTGATTTACTAGGAACTTTCTAACATATGGTAAACTCTACACCCAAACTGTTGGACTCTGATTATTGGTGGTATGCATGACCCGTGTAAGGCATCATAAGTTTACTAGTGTAATACTCACTCTAACAGATTCCAACAAACCCTTGTGTTAGAGTTTGACTGGATGAGGATTGTTGCCTTTTGTTGGGGTTAAACAAGAACTTAACTGGCTTGGGGCCTGGACGCAGATAGTGACCTTTGCCTTTGCTTATCCGCATCCAGGCCCCTAGTCTGATTTAAACATACATGTTTGATACCGGTCAAGCACAGAATTTATTCCCCCATTGCATGCATTGATACCTGAAACCTGAAACAACTTTTGCAATTGGCTCTCCCCTTTGCATAACATCAATAGTGATGGGTGTATTGTGATCAAAGCTTTAAGTTTGGGCATTCGTTTCTGTGTCATTTCAGTCGCTGTTTCACTGTGAGTTCCTGAAGAAGCTTAGCATCTGTGACAATGACCTGTGTGCCATACCAAGTGCTGTGGCAACTCTTGTCAACTTGGAACAACTTGACATCAGTAAAAATGGCAAGTATACTTTGTGTAAAAAAAAAATGTAACACATAGTTTGAACCTGTAGACTGTAGAAAATTGTACTAGACCAACCCTGTACTTATGGACTCTTGGAGAACAGTAGATGTGTTACATCCATTGTAAGACATACTGCATACGTGTGCATCCTGGTTCACACATGGTTCGCACCACGTATGCACTACTACAAGTGCAAACCCAAAGCATCTGTGCATAGCTCTGGATTCACAGTGACAGTTGCATTCCAAAGTCTATCAGGTTCTCTTTTTCGTATACCTGTGCTGGCAGGGTAGGCTGATTAAATCACGTTGATTTAAATCACTGATTTAAATCGCGATTTAAATCAAATGATTTTTTTTTCAAATCACTGATTTAAATCACTTTTTTGTAAAATAAATCGATTGAGGGTCATTTAATCATTTAAATCAACTGATTCCACTTAATCACAAAGTGTAAGATGTTGTTATCACATTCAAACACCCCTACCTCATCAACATCGACTCAACTTACATATATAGGTTTTGCATAATTACCCAAAATCATTGTTTTGATTAAAGTCAAGATGTGAGTTGAAGAGTTTCTCTTCAAAATTTTGAATTTTAAAGACAGCACACTCACTTTTGCTTTGATAACTCCTTGATTTGTTGACTTAATTTGACTAGTCAAAGTGCTTGCCTAAAATATGATCTGACTGTTGGTGACTAGCCTGTGTAAAAAGCACGGCAGGGGAAGAGGATTGATTTTTTGACTGTCTGTGTCAAAATGTAATATTGATGTTAAATTTCCAACAGGTATTGTTGAGTTACCAGACAGCATTAAATGCTGCAAGAACCTCAGCATGGTTGAAATCAGCGTCAACCCACTGGGAAAGTAAGTGCAAGTATAATATATATTTTTTGTCTTTGACAAATTTTTGGTTATAAATGTACTTTTTTCCCACTATTTTTAAGTTTTAGATACTCAGATTTGTAATGCTTACCCATCATGACATGCAGAATTGGGCTTAGTTAATAGAACACCGATTTGTTTATGTTTTTTCTCCCATTGTTTGCTGCAGGCTACCAGAAGGGTTCACTCAGCTCGTCAACCTTACCCAGCTATATCTGAATGACACCCTTCTGAATTATCTACCAGCAAACTTTGGCCGGCTAGTCAAGCTGACTGTCCTAGAACTGAGAGAGAACAGACTCAAGGCATTGCCAAAGTACGTACATGGTTTGACAGTTGACAGACATAATGCTACAAGTTATGTTTGCCCCTCCAAACTTGAGGAGAATAGCATGTTGTCAAATTTAGGAACTTTGATAAATATTCTTTATTAGATTTTTGCAGTATTTGCAATGAAACACTGCATGTAGTAGTAGGAATACAGCATGCAGTATTAACCTACAAATAGTTTTCTTTGGTGGTTTGGGTATGGGCACACCATCTTTGCTCAGTTGAACAGCCAACATTTCTCACGAACACACAGACTCGGCTGAATTCTAATATATGAGTATTTCCTAGTTGTAACATGAAACTCTTTTCACTGGAACTGAATTCCTTGATATTACCCTTGAATGACATGATTGTCTTGCAACGGACAGGTCCATGGCCAGGCTGACCGAGTTAGAGAGATTGGATCTTGGGATGAATGAATTCAGAAAGGTGGTAAGTGTCTTGTTTGATATTATTTTCTCTATTAGAATCTTTTCACAACCAGTGAAAAATGCAAAAGGACTCCCAGGTGAGGGCATTTGTGCACCATTTTCTGTTGTCAACCCACATCTAGGTGCATTCCTCTGAGACAGATAGAAGGGGACGCTGGTCTTATAATCACCCAGTAGGATATTAGATGTGTGTCATTTGTTGACGGGCATAAATCAGTCAGTATGCTTCATCATGCTTCATCAGCATCAAGGAAGTACCCTCAAAACAGTCACCTTTGCTACCTATGCCTCCATGTTAAGAAATGAATGATCTATTTGTAGTGGAGTAGCTGAGGCTTATGCCTGATGTGCATATGTAAATTACATACTTAGCATATTTTCTAGGGCTGTCCATTTAGTATTCGAATATTTGAAAATGCATTTGACCCAATATTCAAATATTTGAAACTCTGCGATCAAGTTTTATACACGCCAGCTGCAACTGCGTGCTGCGCCGGTTAAAATGTGCATGCAGCAATCGGTATTATGGGCTGCTGGAGTGTTTTGCAATAAGTATTTTATAACTGTCGGGGCTTTAACCTGCTAAAAGGATGGGAACAATGAACCGCTGTTGACAAAAAAGTGACATCTGACAATAAAGTGCTGCAACTTACGATTACAATAACATGACAGTCGTGTGTGTGCATGCGTAGGTTTTTTTTGTTGGGAATATTCAAAATGGCAAAAAGCTATTTGAATATTGGATTGATATTCGGTATATTCTGGATAGCCCGAGTATTTATAGGTATCCTATATAGTCCCTGTATCCCACCCATAACCTCTCTTACATGTATTGCTGAAGGTAGAATTTATCATTTTGAGCTTCAATGGATTTATGCTGACATTGAACAGCAGGGCTTTTCCATGAACACAAAAATCAGCTGTTGTGTGTAAAGAATTAAACACCACTGAAGTCATAAAGTTTCTTTTGTGAGATCACAATGTATTTTTACCCCTCAGCCGAGAGGCTCGAGGGGTATTGTCATCGCCTAGGGCGTCCGTCCGTCCGGATGTATGTCTGTCTGTCCGTCCGTCCGTCCGTCCTGGCAGCTTAGTTTCCGGATGATAACTTGAGTTAGAAATGTTGTTTGGGGTTGTAACTTCGGTAGGGGGTTGCCCTTGGGAGTAGGCAAGTTGGGATTGGTTTTGAGGTCAAAAGGTCAAAGGTCAAGGTCACCGTGGTGAGTTAAATGTAAATGGTTTCCGGATGATAACTTCAGTTAGAAATGAGATTTTGGTGTCTAACTTTGGTAGAGGGTTGCCCTTGGGAGTAGGCAAGTTGGGATTGGTTTTGGGGTCAAAAGGTCAAAGGTCAAGGTCAGCATGGTGAGATAAAGGTAAATGGTTTCCGGATGATAACTTGAGTTAGAAATGAGATTTTGGTGTCTAACTTTGATAGGGGGTTGCCCTTGGGAGTAGGCAAGTTGGGATTGGTTTTGGGGTCAAAAGGTCAAAGGTCAAGGTCACCGTGGTGAGTTAAATGTAAATGGTTTCAGGATGATAACTTGAGTTAGAAATGAGATTTTGGTGTCTAACTTTGGTAGAGGGTTGCCCTTGGGAGTAGGCAAGTTGGGATTGGTTTTGGGGTCAAAAGGTCAAAGGTCAAGGTCACCATTGTGAGTTAAAGGTAAATGGTTTCCGGATGATAACTTGAGTTAGAAATGCGATTTTGGTGTCTAACTTTGGAAGAGGGTTCCCCTTGGGAGAAGGCAAGTTGGGATTGGTTTTGGGGTCAAAAGGTCAAAGGTCAAGGTCAGCATGGTGAGATAAAGGTAAATGGTTTCCGGATGATAACTTGAGTTAGAAATGAGATTTTGGTGTCTAACTTTGATAGGGGGTTGCCCTTGGGAGTAGGCAAGTTGGGATTGGTTTTGGGGTCAAAAGGTCAAAGGTCAAGGTCACCGTGGTGAGTTAAATGTAAATGGTTTCCGGATGATAACTTGAGTTAGAAATGCGATTTTGGTGTCTAACTTTGGTAGAGGGTTGCCCTTGGGAGTAGGCAAGTTGGGATTCGTTTTGGGGTCAAAAGGTCAAAGGTCAAGGTCACCATTGTGAGTTAAAGGTAAATGGTTTCCGGATGATAACTTGAGGTAGAAATGCGATTTTGGTGTCTAACTTTGGAAAAGGGTTCCCCTTGGGAGAAGGCAAGTTGGGATTGGTTTTGGGGTCAAAAGGTCAAAGGTCAAGGTCAGCATGGTGAGTTAAAGGTAAATGGTTTCCGGATGATAACTTGAGTTAGAAATGAGATTTTGGTGTCTGACTGAGGTAGGGGTTTGCCCTTGGGTACAGGCAAGTTGGGATTGGTTTTGGGGTCAAAAGGTCAAAGGTCAAAGTCACCGTGGTGAGTTCAATGTAAATGGTTCCGAATGATACCTTGAGTTAGAAATGAAATGTTGGTGTCTAACTTCGGTAGGGGGTTTCCCATTGGTACAAGCATGTTGGGACTGGTTCTGGGGTCAAAGGCCAAAGGTCAAGGTCACCACGTTGAGTTAAAGGTTAATGGTTTCCGGATGATAACTTGACTCTGGCTGAGGGGTTTCAACAGCAACGCTGTTATTTTTTGGTTCTGTTTTTGTTTATCTTTGCAGCCTGAAGTGATCGGGTTCTTCACTAAACTGACGGAGCTATGGCTCGATTCAAACAAGCTGACTTGCATTCCTCCGGTAAGAAAATGGTTGACACATTTATTTGGAGCGTATTGGAAGAAGTAGCAACGTTAACCCATTAGCAATTGTGCTTCATTGTATTACATTGTGTTTATTCATAAATGAATCCACAAAACCACAGAGTGCTCGGGCAGTTTTGGGCATCACAGGGAGTAATAGGCAGGTCAGTTTGGGGCCCTACAGTGACTAATGGGTTATTATCTGAGGCAAACATTACATGAGGAAACACAGCGCTTTGGCAATAGAAACTCTCCTGAGGGGTCCCAACTGTATCTATCTATTCTCAGATGAGCATTGCCATGCAGGGGCAAGTATATGTGAAAACTTTGCATTTCCATGCTGTTTCCTGTATGAGGAGTTTGTTCCTGATAGTTTTAGGCATCATCCACTAATTTGCTTCAGATCATTGGCAACTTGAAGGAGCTGAGTTACTTGGATGCATCGTGTAATCGTATTGAGAGTTTACCATCAGAGATAGACGGTTTAGACAGCCTGACTGACTTACATCTATCCAAGAACTACCTGCAGGAACTTCCTAATACAATTGGTAAGGCTACAATGTAAGAGTCTTGCATTGGACACGGACAAACAAACTATGAGATGCTTTACTATTCTTCCAAAATGGTGTGTGTCCCACCTTGAGATCCTTTGCTATTCTTCCAAAATGGTTGACTCATCTTGACAGGGTTATAATAGTGATGCGCACACTAGTTAGGTAGGAAAATTGTTTTGTTTTGTAACTAATTTTGGTATCTGTGTGTTGGTGTTTTACATATGTTAACTTTAGGATACCTTTAACGGTATTGTGTTTATTTAACTGTTTAATTGTTTAATTTACCAATAACACACAAAAACTCACATGGGAAGACTTATATTATTTTCAAATATACTTTATTTTTAAATGTTTGGCCAAATGTGGTTATGAAATTGGAGGTCGGCAATTTGGCCACAAGAAACATAGGTAGGTCGGGCTACTGTAAACACAATTATTTTTGTTCAGCCTAAGAGGCACATCATGTATCATGACATCTTACTTTGACCTCTTCAGGACAACTGAGCACCTTACAGAATCTGAAGCTAGACTACAATCAGATCTCTTTCCTGCCATACTCCATCGGTGGTCTGGTCTCATTAGAGGAACTCATACTCACCTATAATGATCTAGAGGAGCTACCTCCGAGTATTGGACTTCTGAGGAAACTCACTCATCTCAATGTTGATGAGAACATGCTGCTTGAGTTACCGTCGGAGGTGAGTCACAAACTCATACTTGTCTCCAGAGAGCACTTTGATATCTATTTTTCAACTTAAAATTTGAACTTTTTTTCTACTGAAACCATGCAAGCCTGTATGTCAAATACATTCACTTTCCCGCTTGTTTTTTATACATAAACCCATTGACTCCAGCTACAATCAAACCTTAAAAAAAACCTAATGGGTACTTCCATCTCATGACAAATAAACAGAAGAAAAAAAGGACCTGCACAACCTTTATATACTTTCCTGGGTAAGGTGAGTACCTCTACACAAAAAAGCCAAGATCTCTATATGGCCTAACATCGTTTAGTGTAAGTTTGATTTGGGAGAATTCAGAATTGTTCTATAGATGCAGAAATACCTAAACGTTTAAGCATTAATCCACATATTTGTTGGTTGGTGTAAATAGTACTGAATGACAAGCTTTTACTTGGAAAATGTTGAATATTAATATTAGTTCTGTGAGCTCAGTACTTTCAGGAAGCTTGTGAGAACAAAAACACTTTACAAATGGGTTCAATTGTGAGGTATACCCATGATTGCCTGCATACTATGAATGTTGAACCGACTGACCATTGCTCTTGCTGCAGGGGTCAACTGGCCAATCAAATTCAATGTAGCAGCAGATACTGCAGTTTGGGACATTTAATTGAAGTTTGCAAAATGATAACATTAATTTTATTGCTGAGATTTGTTTATCATTTGTTTGTTTTTCCGTCTTGCACTCAGCTTGGAAGCTGTAGCACCATCAGCCTTCTGTCCCTTCACAGCAACCTCCTGATGACCCTACCAGATGAGATTGGTCACATTAGCAACCTCTCCGTCCTCAATCTTTGCAACAATCAGCTACGGTATCTTCCTTACAAGTTCACCAAACTCAAGAAGCTTCAGGCACTCTGGCTGTCAGAAAACCAGGTATGCATTATATACATCATGTCAAATGCAGCTACTTGTGTTTTTTTGTGGACATGGGGATCAGTATGCAGCAATGAACATGAACAATGCTGCCATAGTTAATGCAGAATATAATATATTATTGTCCTTTTGGCACGATTGGAGGAGAAATACATGTTAACCCTAACTCCCCAGCCTAATTTACTAGGAACCATACCCATTCAGGCAAATTCCAACACCCACATGGGAAATTGTACACACACACTGTTGGACTTGGTTTCTGGAGGTATGCCAACCCCAGTGTAAAAGACCATCAGTTTAGGGGTACTGTACCTATCCCAACAGATTACTACACAAACCTGCTGTTGAACTTTGATGGGTTGTGTTCGGTTAGGGTTAATGTATAGGGACTCCCTGACTGAACTCTAGACTTAGTTAGCTTGCATGCATTACTGCTGTTAGTCAGAACGTAGGAACCAGACTGTCTTGCTACTAACATTAAAAGGAATCTCAATGATGAGGCATCATTGGAATATAATGAATTCATGTATAAAGTAGCATGGACCTGGTTTGTGCAGGGTTTGATTTAATTTACAAGATATAAGGTGGTTGTGGAATATATGAATGTAACATGACATCTTTGTAGCATCCCCCTTGTATTAGGTTTTTCATCTGCTTTTGTCTGTGTGTGTTTCTTTCTGCCCTAGTCTAAGCCCTTGATTCCTCTCCAGTCTGAGATGAGAGAAGACCTCGGTAAGAGGGTGCTGACCTGCTTCCTGTTTCCACAGCAACACAAAGATCCCGATGAAGGTAAACCATTGCAGGCTCATCAGGAAAGTTTGTCAAGAGGAAATAATCCATAAAAGACAAATACCTCAGCATATGTGTCTGGATAGCTGAGACAGTTCCTAAAAGGAATAAAATAGATGAACTAAATGGTGGGATGGTAGGATGCGTGGTACTCCCAAATGTTTTGGTTATGTTTATATTATGAGATGGTTGCATGTACATAACCTATGGACACTGTGCACAAGTAAAATCAGAGTAAAATTATTTGTGGTTACTTAGCACACTATATGTATATATGCAACCAGTGGGTGCACACACCGTTGCCATCCATGAAGATCTCACGGATGGTAATGTAGCGCCATTTACTGTTCATGTATGGAGTCCATGCTGGCAGTTAATACAGTTTTTAAGTAGTTTTTAGCTGCAGGATAGCAGCTCAACAAATCATCATGTCTCTCCGTTAGTCCGTAAGTTAGTAACAAACGTTGACATTGTCTATTGCTCCTACATATTTTGACCAATTTCAACCAAACGTTGTCAAAAGTATCAGTAGCCCAGCCCCAACATGTCACATGACCAAACTGGGGTCAAATGTCATCATGGGGTCACTGGGGTCAAAAAACTGATTTTGTTTTACTCAAAACACTACTCCTTCCAGAAATTACATGGCACAATCACTTGACTCATGCATGAACACGAATTCGTTGGCCCGCAGCTTCTGAGATCAGATCGAGCTTGTTAACTTACATCCCCGTACGAATTTAGACACAGCAAACATACATACACATGTAGGGCGGCTGGTAGGGTATTGTAAAGGGTGCACATTCAAATCCCACTGCAGTCAATATGCTTGGTTTAACTACAGATTATTTCGCGGTACTGGTCAAGCTGAGCCACCAGTCAGTTTTTGAAGCATGCAAACATTATGCATTTTGATCACTTTCTAGTTCTTGTCCCCTAGTGCTTCCAATATTTTGAGTGTTGTTTTTGTTGGGTCTCATCTGTAGTTGTCTATCAGAGTGATGGAGAGAGTTTCCATGCTTCTATCTGGGAGGAACAGAGACTGAGTCGCAGGCAGATTGCTTTTGATGTGTCCGAGTCTGATTCTGAGGTATGCATGGTGGTGTAGATAACGTAGACTAAATGTTTTGGGAGAAGTGATCCCTTAATGATGCTAACAGAAAGTCTTTGGTGGCCTTTTTTTGATCCTTTTTTTCTCTGGCATTGAGTGGTATTATAATGGTGAATAGGATCACTGGAAAGATAAATCCAAATGAATTGCACGTTTTCAAGTTCATTAATGATAGGATATGACATTCAGGTGAATGTATGTATCAGGCATTAAACCTTACATTATAGGCAAGGCCATTGGGCCTGCAGTTCTCAGGATTTAAAATACGCCAAGGCTGTTTATTTAGAAGACTAAAAAGAACAAAATATTTTTCCATGGTTTGGATATGTGTGACTGTAGAGCCAATTTTCTCAGAACTTGTTTTAGCAAAACTTCCAAACTTAATTGATGCAGAGGTCATATTGAAGTAATTTGAACAATTATGGAAAGAGTTCAACTCTTTGCAGCTCTTGATCTTGGACCGACCAATTTAGAAATCCATTGGGCTGCTTATTCAGAAATCCTTGACAAGTTATCTGTTATCTTTCCATTCTATACAGCACAAGAAGAAAAGAACACCTACCCCCTACCCCAAGGAAGGCGTCAAAAGGAAGATCCTTGCTACATCTCGTGGGGGTAGCGGCAAGGCCAGTAGATCACGTAGTCAAGCAAGCAACATTCTCCCTAATTATCCATCTGTAGATACTTCAGTAAGTGACCTGGATTTGCTGGTCACAGAGGACCAAAGGTCCTCTTTGTACTTAGCTCACTGACTGATTGACTGACTGACTGATTGACTGACTGTCACTTGTAACTAAGGCCGTGTCCGAATTACTTGGTTACGGCTTGAAATTACACACGTGTCTATGGAAGGCAGCTGCAGCCACTTCCCATAGACTCGTGTGTAATTTGATTAACCATAGCCAAGTATTTCAGACACATCCTTAGCCTTGTTGTTGGCTGGTGAAGATAGCCAGGTAGTGCTATCGTATAGGATTTTTCCTTAGGGAATAAATGTGTGCTTGGGAAGTTTTAATCACTCTGTTTAAGACCGCTTTGGAGTGTGGGTGCTGATAATTACCCGAGCCGAAGGCGATGTCGTGCAGAATGCACCTGGGGCGTTGCGTTGTGAATTTAGGACTATAAAATACTGGCTCACTGGTAGTATTGCGCATGCCTACGTGAGGATTGTGAATGTTCAACCAATAAAACGGTAAGAGGCACTGGATTTTTAGGAGTCCAAATTACATGTGACACTGGAAAAGTGTTTAAGAGCAGCTAGCCATATCTTTATCATCTGTTTAAGACCGGCCACGTGACGGGCTCTCGACCAATAGGAATAGCTAAACTGTCTCAGATATTTATGAATACAGGTTTTTATGTGATCTCAGGTTGTGTTGTCAACACCAAGTTTCAATATCAGTGATTTGAGAGATTGTGATGTTTATATCTCAGCAGAGACATAGTCAACCAGGGAGTCCAAGAGACAGCAAGTCTCGACGGCCTCGATCCCCCGGCTCTCCTATAGCAGACAGCTTACACTTGTTCCAAGCAGACAAGGTTAGATTTCTACTCTTGTCCTAAGTAACAGGATTTCAATGTCAGAGGTTTACAAATTGATACAGATGCAAACCCCTTATACTAGACTTGGCTAGTTAGTCTAGGTCCAGTCAGTAAGCCCCCATGCATGCATCCCCTGCCCACAACTGCAAGGCATAGTAGTCTGCCAACAGCTCACACTGTGTAGTACTCTATATACGCTCTCAACATAAGATGGTTGTGTTGATTGTTTTTCATTTCTCCCAAGTCATAATGCATTACACTGGCTTCCTTTGACTCGGATCTTTGCTAAGGAACCAAATCAGAGACACAATATTCAAGGAATGCAGTATGTTGTGCGCCATCTCTAAGTAATGTAGCTTACACTTGTTATATATTCTATTCTTAGGAAAGATTTGGTCATCCCATGTTCAATCCTTGTTCTAATAGTTGCCTCTTGCTGTGCTATTTTGTCCTTCAGGAGAAGATGGCTAAGGATAAAGCTCGTCTGCGAGGGAGTATGTCATCCGTCAGTCGACATGACAGTGACACTGAGTCTGTAGCATCCTCTACAAAGGAGAGAGTTGTTGGCCGAAGAGAAATGAGGGTAACAAACTGCTCTATGCAATGTTATCTTCAAAACAATTAATCTTCAATCATTCGATTTACATTGAATCTTATCAGTTGCGTGTATCCTCCTAAGGTTGACTCTGACTTAAGGTTGACGACTAAGATTAATTATTTGAAAGTTTTGGTGAAACACTCCCAGATCAATACTACAGAAGACAGAAATGACGTTTAGCAACACAAAGGACATTGAGCAGTTGTCCTACCAGAGGCACATTTTCTACATTATTGGAATAAAATATTTACCGATCAAATTTTCTTGCTGCACAAATTAAGCTGGAAAGCAGTCACACTGCATTATTAACATCACAGAACGTTATAACTGGTGGCTATAGTTTCCTAACAAAACCTTTCTTTGCCTAGCAAATTATCAATTCAACAAAAAGCCCCAGTTTCAGAACCGGTCTTAAGTGACACAATAGAAGCAACTACAGAATCACTTGGCAGGCTTTTTTGTGCTTTAAGGCTGGTTCTTTTTTTCAACAGGAATTAATTAGGGACCATTATTTGATTAGTTGTGTAAGCATTGTTTGTTTGAAATGACTTTTCATATTGTTACTTACATTAGTAAATAGTCTCAAGATTTACTTTCCTTGTCTCAACTGCAGGCCAGAATGGACCGAGCAGCAATGAGTGACACAGAAGCATTGATACAGAGCCCAGTCTGGAGCCACACTGGAGGAATAAACACAAACAAACAACGGACTGTACAGAATCATGTTACAAAGTCACCTGGCCCTGTTAACAAGAATCACAGCCGAGGGTATGAATCCGATCAAGTTGACAATTCCCGGACACCTATCCGATCCCCGAAAGTGCCTCAGATGCAAGTACGTCACAGTCAGGAACCAAGGAGCAGTAGCGTAGGATACAGCCGAGGCTACGAGTCAGATCAAGTTTGTACAAACCGGTCACCACTTGATGCATACGTACAAACACGAACCAAAACAGATTTGGAAAAGAACCGTAACTGCAATGCAGCGAGTACCAGCATGGATGGGCGCCAGTCATGGCGGTTGTCACATCAGCGTAGTTCTGGTTATGGTACTGACCCTGAACATGGGTACACAATGTCACCCACGGAGGATCGACAATCAAGAATGGCTAATGTAAAACAGAAACGAGATGAAATGTTGCCTCCTCCATACTACAGAGTGCGTCAACTGAGGATGGGTGCTCAGTCCAGGTCTGTGCCACGTAAACACCCTTTCAAAGATCAACCACAAAGTTTGAAAGATTATGGCTGGATTGATAGTCAGTTGCCTTCCACACCAGAGACTGAGGCTGTATCTGCTAGACCTCAGACAAACCATGATCCAAACACAGAGTTCAGATCCAAATCATCAAGTAGGAACCCTCCGTTCAGGACACCACCAATGAGAAACAGGAGTCATCCATCTGCTTACTCGGATACAGAACTGACATCGGGTCCAAGAAGAGACCAACCAAAGTATGTAGAGCCATATCAAAGAGAGTCTGACAGACATCGCAACAGCAAGGAACAAGTCACTCAGCATGCCGAGTCTGGGTACCAACTAAGAAGAGAGAAAAGTTTCCAAAGTAATGACAGAGTATCGCAAGTTAATAAGGACCAGCAAAATGCCCAAAGTGATGGGGAGAACAGGCAAAGAGACGACAGACTACTCCATGAGGGTAGACAGAGGAACTCCCCTGTGTTTGATCACAGTAAACACCTTCCTACTTCCCAAGCACCATACTCTGATTCCAACCAACAATCCTCCAGGTCAGTAGACTTCACATCAACCAGTAACATGAGGCCGTCGAGTCAGCAACATCAGAAACTAACAGACCCTCGGAATAGACCTCTCCCTGAACAGAAAAACTGGCAGACACTGGTGACAGAAGATGGCAACCAAGACTATGTCAACTCACATGAAGACAGACAACAACCATCATCAGTACATCTCAATGCAAGAGGAAGCCACAGCCTGCCTAGAGATGTGGCTGGTCACCCGCAACAACCTAGTGATGCGTCCACCCGTGATGCCGGTAACCAGCCGAAATCATCCTCTCTACCAAGATCAGAGGTTAAAGGTTACAAAGCTGTAGTGGATGGCATCAGAAGAGACAGGGATCATGACACCTTGACTGATCGTCACACAAATACTAGAGTAAGTATATGTAGTCTTTAAAACTAATTTATCAGATTTAGTTGTTATGGCTGTATGCTGACATTTAGAATACAATAATTTGCATTTTACTTTGAAAATAAGAAGTTTGCCAGAAGTAATATAACTGTCAATCAGTGTTGTAGTTGAGACCTTTCCAAGGCCTCACTCGTTTTATCAAGTAGTAGTTAAATATTCAGAGACAAAATAAGTCAAATAGCTGTGCTACTAAGTGTCATTATTTGATGAAAGAAGGCTGAGATTTTTTTTGGAGATCAACATTGAAGTACAGCTAAATATGCCTTATTGAGAGTCAACATTTGTCGGAGAGCTTTTCGAGACCTTTTAAAGTTACATTTTCCTATAAAATGTTTGATTTAAACTCTACGGTAATATGCGAACAATCCAACTGTTGAGTATGTTCAAAGTCAAGGCACCGAGTCTTTCCTGAGAGTCAATAAGACTTGACTCAAATCTGACATTCCATGATATAAGCAAATATGCGAGGTCTCGGAAAAGGTCTGGCACTGCTATCAATGAATAAATGCAAAATCCAGCTACCATCTGGACCACCTTGGTAATGTGTGTATATGAAGCTGACTCTAGTCTTAGACTGAGATAGATTTGAATCTAGTGTTGTATGACAATGTCGGCTTCAACTTGCTGCCACCGAAAATTAAAATGTTTTCCAAAAATATATGTTGCAGGAGTTTTAACTTTTTGTATAATATCCACTGAGCTGAAACTGCAATATATACAGTTTTGAAAATGTTCTACATTCAAATATGAGTGCGTTGAAACAGAATGAAAAGTGCAATTGCAAATGATGCTATTTGACATTTCCCTTTTCTTTTATGCCATGTTGTAGGAAAATCATTCATTCTCACGTCAACCTGATTCACAAAATTAAAATTTCTAGATTGTCATTTTGAATCATGTGATTCCATGTTTATCTTAACTTCTAAATGTTTCTGTCTCTTTAATCAGAGAAGCGAAATGAAGATGAGACTGGATGGAGGAGCACCCAACTATGCATCAGAGCCAGAACTCAGACAGTCTTACCAACCACAGCATCCCACAGGAACGCCCATGGCTCAGCCCAGTTATAGACCTACTGGACACCCCAGGGATAGGACGCTGGAACGAAGACAGTCACACAGTCCAGTCTTTGAGAACCAGGGTCAGGGTCCTTCAGGTGAAACTTTCAGGTTCCCTTATGGTTTAACCTCATCTACACCTAGTGTAGATGGTGGTTCTAGACCACAGAGCCCCACAGGTTCAAGACCTCATAGTCCAATCAACACCGTCCATCGTAGAAGTAGACCTGGCTCCCCAACGGACTTATCTCAATCTAAGCAACCAAACCACTTCTCTGAAAATGAATCATTCAATCCTACAAACCGGCATAGAGACTTGAGAGATGGTCATCTTGACAAGCTCAACAAGCTCCCACAGCGCCCACATGCAAGGCAGTACAACAGTGACTATGCCTCAGATAAACCCAACTATAACCGCAGGGGCTCAGATTCTTTCATGGCACAACAGTCAAAGGTTGGCCAGCCAAGCAATGCCCCTATGTCCTACCACAGCCGATTGAGAGACAGTCTGCGTGGGCCACTACCTACTCCTATAGTGGGTACTAACCAGCATCAGACTATGCACAATATCTATACTCCTGAGCTGAACCCACGGTCCATGCAGTACCAGGGTCTATCTAGTCAGTCATCTAGTGTACCCGGCCCAGATCTATGGCCTCAGGATTCCTCAGGATATGCCAGCGACCAGAATGATTTGGGATGGAAGAGAGGTAAGCATACAGCTACTTGATAATACACAGCCACTTAACTCTCATGGGTTAGAATTGTTCATTCTCAACCAATATAAATCAGGAAATTTGTGAGACATGAGGATGCACAGAGTCATTTTTCACATGGAATTTTTGCATCTCTGATTTACTCACGAACTGTGTTCTATATTAGCATTCAGTTCTTCTAGGAGACACTCTATTGTACTAAAGTACCAGCACAAGTATCCTAACATGTTGTGATTTATTGTGCAAGTAACTCCCTGACCTATATTACGTGATTCCCCTTTCCTTTCCTGTAGCCTCTTCCAGCACGCCTACATCCTCTGTCTTTCAAGGTCCGTCCTCTCCACCCATGTGGAGACCAGGCTTTGATATCACTCCACCCAATCACCGATCCAGACATCCCTCATCAGATCCTCAAGACCAGCCTCAGCCAGCTAAAAGGGTAAAAGGCTTTCTGTTTGTCTCTTTAATTTGACTGACAATTTTGAGTTGATCAACTTGAAAGATTAAGTCAGTTTTGAGAAAACATGAAGTGATTTTGTAATTACATGTGTATATTGCCTTTGATTTTGTTTGATTTGTGTATGTTAGGTCCATCCAGTCAGCGAGCAATTCGCAACAATTTTATTCAGTTTCATTATTATGACGAATAAAGACCATTCTATTGATCGTTGCATTACTTTGCTCACACTTGTGGTGCAGACTACAGGCAACTAACTTTCAACTGAATAAGAATACAAACCTGTAGTGGATGTAAGTATGGTTAAGGTACAGAGCATGAAGCAGTCTGTCTTACCAAACAATGGGTCGTTCTTGGGGTTTTAAATCGTTTTTATATGCATGCAGGATTAAAGTGTGGGTTGTGCTGTTTAATAATTAGCAGCTGATTATATTTCATAGCTCATGTTTTCTTATGAGTGTCAGTTCTATTTCTCCTCCATCCCAAGATTCCTGTGGTCATCTACAAGAACCCTGGCCTTGGTTTCAGCATCACTGGGGGTAAAGATGCCCCTGGCAACCCCTTCCAACCATTTGATTGGGTGAGTGAAAAAAAGGGAGTTACGTTGAGAAGTTTTACTCTTAAAATATGGGCCTACTCCTAATGTCATTATCATCTGTATTTGGCTTGTCTGTAATATGTGAGTCGGCCAACACAACACATTCCAAGGAGTTCACAGTAGGTGTACATTGTACGACCGTTCTACATAAATGTACATATGTACATTTGTCCTTGTGTGGATAAACTTAGCCATTCATTTTGCGTATCCTGTGATCTTATTATTGTGATCTTCAAACAAATCATCAATTTAAAGCAGATGATCTAAGACCTTTATGTGGGCAATTCCACCGTTACGGACTTTGAATTCAGAGCTAAAATCCAATTTCAAACAACATAAAATACTTGCAGCAAAAGCAAATTTTACATATTTGGCGCAACTCTAGCTTGGGTCTTAATGTACAACATGAGATTGTTAATGTAGTGTTTGCTGAATAAGTACGCAATGATAAAAGAATGAAATAAATATGATGTGGTAGATCTGGCTTCACTCTCTAAAAACAACAATGACATTTTGCAAAAAGGTACTTTGATGTTGTGGAAACATCATGTTTTTGTTGTGGCGGATGTTACATTAAAACGTAACAGATGTTACATGTCTGAAATCAACTTCACCTACATGATAAAAAAATATTTATTCATATTATAAGTTCTGTGTGTTATTTTTATAAAAATATCAACCTTCCTCTTTGCCTTAAAAATCAAACCTCACAGTAACACTTGCATTTTGCATTTAAAAACAAGTTTCCAATATGACAACCTAAAATTTATAAATTTAGCCCCCCCCCAAAAAAAATTTTTTTTTGACAAACATACATTTAACCACTTTCTATGTCATTGATGCACAACTCAAATAAAAGGTCTTGCCCCTTTTGTTTTGGTACCACATTTGAGGTTGTGATGCTTGTAGTTCTGAAGATTTCATAAATTTTCCACTTTTTAGCCATGTCCACTTTGCGTGGAGTTGCCCATATACAGAAGAGTCATTGAAAAACGTTCTGGTAACTCAAAAAAAATCATAATGTACTACTCACTTTTTTGATGCCGAAGACGAAAGTTGTATGACTACTAATCATTGTTTTCATTGTCATGCAGGGCATTTTTGTGACCAAGATTCAGCCTGGTGGACCTGCCGATGGTGTGCTGAAGCCTGGGGACAAACTCCTGGAGGTCAACGGTCGAATCTTTGACAGTATCCTACATGATGATGCGGTCAAATTGCTACGCAAAAGCAACCCAGTGTCTATAGTGGTTCATCGGACCAGTGCTGACAACTGATGAGTAGAGATTTATTATTTGCATTCAAACTATTTCACTGGTAGTAAGATGGTTGGTAGATACATGCATGGACATGACTTTGTAATAGTAGAAGTTTTCTTTAAGAAATGATACATTTGCTAGTACCTTAAGGTTTGACAGACAGTACAAGTTAGCCTATACAGACAGTGTCAGGGGTAGTGTGGGCTTACTCAGGAGAGACAATTAGAGCCACTTTATTTGCACAGACGAATTGTCATGCATTGTAGCCAAGCTGCATGCACATGGAGCACAGTACTTGCTTCCAAATGTGCATCTATACATGGCCAATATTTGGCATTTTTCATTTCTTTTGAACATTGAAAGCCTACAAATGTTTCCAGAACCACAGACAAAGCTGGGTTTTTTTATGGTTTGAAAGAGGTAAAACCAACCAGCCATACTTTTATAAAATCTTGACTTTTGTAAACTACTTTGACAATGGTCACTTTGTAATCAGACTAAAACCTAGTGTATTTCCAAACAAAACAACTACAAAACAGCTTATCAAACAGTGCTGAATGTAAAGCTGAAATGAACTCTATTTTGTATTAATTATCAATTTGGTTATGAAATATCTTAATTTGTTTATTAAATATAAAAAAAAAATCGAATTTAAAAGTTGATATGCACACATTAAAAAACCACTGTTTTTTTTATCAGGATTCTACAGTTACACTTTGATTGATGCTAGACAGTATTCAAGCTTTTCTACAGTCTTCTTAAACAATAGTTCAACTGTTTTTGACATTTAAGTACTCTTTTTGTTCCTACAGAAGAAATCACCTTGAAAGAAAAAAAAAACATTTTATGTATTATGTAGAATCTTTGAAAAAAGTTGGTATTTTTGCCGTATAATATATGTGCGCAGAGCAGGTATAAATCCTGGATTTGGGAAATGGGAGCTGCCCCAACTAGTAAACTAATTTTTTTTTAGATTATAAAAAAGGCCTTAATTTTGAATGCATAACGGTGCTGCCTAGATGTACAACACAAAAACAAATATTCAGGACACTTTAACTTTTGTGAAAAGGTAAAAGAAGTGAAACAAAATGGGAGTCAGGACCCCAATGACATGACCCCCCCCCCCCCCCCCCCCCCCCCCCCCCCCCCCCCCCCCCCCGTGGAATATTAAACACAAAGAGGACATATTTTGTATGTCATGATTCATGTTAAACAGTTAACAGTTTACTAGACCCTAACAATCTTCATAACATCCAATTAAATTGAAAGGGTTTCTTCTCCAATTTGAAATTTCAAGAACAAATAGTTTTGCAGATTTCTATAAAAAAAGGACAACTTTTCCCCTTTCCTGAATCTAATTTTTACATGGTGCCTAACAAAAGAGTCATAATGTATTCACAACTAACTGTAATAAAAGTGTTGATAATACATGTATTCCATCAAATCAAATATTGAGGATATGCTGCATGATATTGCAATGAGGCTAATTTAAGATTTTTTATCACAGAGAGAATACTTTTATAAACAAACAAACAAACAAAAAAGAGTCCAAACTGCCAAAACTCTTTTTAACCTCCTCAAGTCCTGTGTCAGAGGCTGACATTATGGTTGGTAATGCAACATTTTTGACTGTTTACTGTGTTTGTTTGAACAAATTCTATACCGTAAGTGCATCTGACCCTGTGCTTTACAAATGATATATTGTCCAACTCAAGAATTTCTAGAAATGTATTCAAATAAGGATCAGTTAGTCATGTAACATACATGTATTTAAAAGAACAGTTCTGATTTTGTTTAGGAGTTACATTTTTATAGTTGGTCATTCAAGATTTTATGATCTATGCAAACTTTTATTCTAGCTTTTGTGCACTCTTTTCTTTCTGAGTAGCCACAAATGAGTGGCTGTAACTTTGGGAAAGGGTATGGCTGAAACGACCAAGACAGATAAATCCATTTGTTTCCATTTTTGTCACACAATTAGCTGTCCTTTGCATGCATGTGCCTAGTGTGCTATAAGTAATGGTAGATTGTCAATGTAACCATTTAAAAATGAACCGTTTTTGCTATGTGGCTTGAGGTTGAAAAAGATAAAATGTATTTGGATGTAAATTGACATTATTACTTTGTGTATTAGTTTCAGAGCAAGATTTCAGTATACATTGCCATGTACATGTACAAGAGGCTTTTGACATAATACTGTGTGGCCGTGTAATATATGTATCAACTTTTTTTTACTGAATCGAGTCGGATGCAAAAACATAAGACTAAACTAAACAAAGGAAAATGAGAAGAGAGTTTGGGCAACATGGCATCTTATATTATCTGGTAACGAGGTCACTAGTGTACATCTATGAACCCAGGGGTCTGTGAGTGACCAGAAAAGGCACCTCACAGGACACTCATAGGCTGGAGGCATAGTGAGTTGGCATGCACTAGTCACCTAATCATGCCTGTGAATATGTGCTTTATAACACCCATAAAATGCATGTGAAGCCACCATTTTTTTTGTGTTATGACAAATAAGCCTTGATAACTTGCATTGGATGCTGTATCCAATCAAAATTGAATACAGTGCCTGAACAGGCACTATACATGTACTTTAAAAAAAAAAAAATGCAAATAAGGGGAAATCAATGCACAGGCTAGATCATGCTTGATGCAAATTTTACATGTATGTACTAGACTATATTAGTGAACACCACCGAACACCCATACTGGAATTTGTATCCTTGTGGAGTCATTTCTTTGTTCTCTTACATAAAATATTTCAATTTGCGACGGATCAACACACCTTGGAAATGCCTAGTTTTTGAGTAAAATCCATATACCGGGGTATCTATTTCGTGATAATCTTGTGGAGACGTATTCACCTATAGAAATTGCTCTGTGGAGACGTATACAATCTTCTGTTCCCTATTGTGCACATGTCTCCACAGGGTACCGTGTACCAGATCTGTGTTTTAGCCAACCATGATAAAAGAATCAGCAAGAGATGTGTTTATAAATGTGTTTATGGCTTCAGATTAAGCACCTCCTTTAACAAAGACACTGACAACTTGGGAGACTGCCAAAGGGCTGATAGTTCAGTCGGTAGAGCACCAGTATGGTGGTCCTTAGGTCATGGGTTCAAATCCTACAACAGTTGTTTTCTTCGTTTAAGCTTACAGATTTATAAAGGAAACCTATTCTGGTTTTCCATTGTTTATTTGATATTTTTGTTCATTGTTTGATGTATTTACACCATTGCACATAAGCTGAAATTACTGCTCTGCTGAATGTACAAAGGCTGATTATGTGTGATTGTGATGTTATGACGTTTTCTCTTTAATTCTTACCAAGAATATGAAATACATTTTGAATTGTTATAAACGACATTTAGTCAAGTATTTGGACCATTATTGACAGCCATATTGGCTGAAAGCAAAATCCACGAGCAAAGTTGTTCAATAAATCCACCATTTCTGATAAATATTTATTTAACTTAACCTTGCACTTCTAGGTAAATGTAGTTATTTATATTAAAAGAACCAAACATATATTCTTTCATGTACAGAATTTCATACTTTCATATAATTTTGTAACATTTGTATTCAAGTATTATTATCCAAAATATTGAAGAAAAAAATTAACGTTTTTGACTTGTGAAGTGAATCCATCTGTGTGCATTCTTCGACTACATTTTTTTTAAAATTTGTTGATTTTTATTTTATGTATGGAAATTGAAGTATTTACATTCATAAATTGTTCAGCTCGTCAAAATGGAGGCGAGAAAAATACATGTACGTGTACATTGTACAATGTAATTTGAAATCTTTGACAAGGACCAGTATTTGCACAGCCCTGGAATATGAACCCTATTTAGCTTGAAGGCAAGAATATATTCTGTTCAAGTTGTGAAGCTTTCATTTGTTAAGAGTGCATAAGATCATTACCTCCTTGTGCATTTTGTTTCTCTGTCAAGGCTACAGAATTGCTCCATTTTTTTTAGTGGGGTGCATGTAAATGGGACATTTATAAAGATCAACATTCAAAGTTTCAATTTTCATTGCTATCACACCGAGATGAGTAAAAGCCACATGTTTTTCCTCATCCCCCACATTGTATCTTCAAAATATACCCACCCAGATTTGAAGTCATAGTATGTGATACACATTCAATGTAGAATACAGCTTGATTTGTATTTGATTTTATCCAGTGAAAGTTGGCATCACATGAACACAGTAGCCAATGTATCAAGTGTGACGGTCTAGAAATGAAAATGTCCCAGTAAAAATGGTTATACACTTGCAACAGACTTTTTTGCTTTCAAAAGTGTGAATTTATTCACAGGATGTTTCTGCTAAAAGCAGTATGCACTGGGCACCTAGAGGGTGGTGATAAAATAGACACACACTGTAAACCAATATCTACAAATTAAACATACGTTGGACACATGAAATATCACAAATATCCTCATTCCTTACTTCTCCTCTGAACTGAAAAATGATGGTGTCTGAAACAGCAAGGTCGGTTCACATATAGGGCTATATATAGAATTACTTAAGAGCTAACTCCTACTTTCCTTGTGCAGAACACATGTTGAATTCATGTGCATGTGCGTAGAATATATTGAAATGGAAAGGAACTTCACATGATATGCTCAAGTGCACGAGTGCAACAAACCCAGCCAGCATAGGGGCATTGTCCACTAGTATGATCAAACAAAACATCAGAAGTGCATACGCACATGTGTTCGTTATTTCCACAACCCAAAAGGAAACACTCATGTGCTTTTAGATGCACCTCTAGAGGATACAAATGCAGATACAAATTGCTACTTAACAGCCATACAACTATCCCATAGGTTTGTGCACAAACGTGGATGCATCCAGCAAGCATCACTGCATAGTGCATACTGCAAGTTAGTGAGCGCTCTAGCAATTTTATATAGCTCTACATTCAAAACTCACAAATAACTTTAAAACCATAAAAAAATAATTGTATCTTAAAAAGGAAAAGTTACAAGGAAACCACAATGACAGGATATGATGACATTGTCTTCAAGCAAACTTGAATCCACGATGCTGATTGGTCAATCCATGGAAACAAACTGGCTACATTATCCCATGTAGCACGGTCGATACCGCACTCCGTATATCGCGCTATTCCAAGATGCCCGTGCCATTCCTGCTGCACGCACGTTGTACAGCCCACGGTGCATATTCCATCTTTACTAATTTTGTGTCAAGTTTGATTGAAGATAATTTGTTATCCCACTCACGCTCGTGGAACATGTAGTGCGTCTGTGTCCCCCAGTGTGGGACACAGACGCACTACATTATTCTACATTTTAGCTGGATAACTAATAATGTAATCCCTTTCTATGTATTCATTTGGATTCAGGAAACAGTCTTTTTTTTGGGGGGGGGACCCTCATCCCACAGACTTTTGACACAAGGGAGAATTGCTTTTGTTTTAATGGGAAAGGCATGAAAAGACCTTTTGTGCATCATTGTCACTGCACCAAACACTTTCAAAGATAGCAGTTACAAAGAAGATCTATCAAATAAGTCTGAATATCCCTTTACATTCTTCCAAATAAAGACACACTGCATTGGTGAAGCCATTTCTTTCGGAAATTACAATTTGACTCTTTGAAATTTGTGCTCGCATTATAGATTGTTACTTTGATTGTTCTTTCATTTTTAGACAAGTTGTGTACATAAATTCTCCTAGACTAGTCACTGTCATTCATGTGATGTTAATGTTGAAGACTGCACCAAATGCTTGATGTGAAATGACATCCAGTCTAAATGCAAACCATGTCTCTTGCTGCTAGGTCCAATAGCACATACATAGTAGTTAGTCTCCTCTCCAGGCCATCTCTCCAGTGTTCTTGCACACACACCTAGTACACACATGTGGCATCTTTCTACACATCTTTAAACCAGGATATTGCAAATGTTTTGGCACAAACAGTAGATACCAGCAATGCAGCAGTTTGCCAAAGTCAGCCAGATAAGTCTGCTGGTGAATTGTAGAGTGAAGATCAGAGGTCAAAGTTCAAATCATCTTACAGGTAGAGGCTGGCAGCAAATATGATGTCCCTCTTGATCTTGACAATACCTGAAACAATAGAGAGATATTTCCTCTATCAAAAAGTATTCATTGAAAGGGGAGATATAAAGGCTTGATTAGTTGCATTCCATTTACTCTTCCCCGATTCAAGTAACAGCATTCAAATTTAAATGTCAAAAAGGCCACCCAAAATGTGTTTCGGGTAACTTTGCCCTCCAGAAAGGTCAAGCAAGTATGGTACTGGTACTGTTTACATACACATGTTGGAGAACAGGCAGACATAATTGTTCTCTTACTTCCTTCATACTTATTCCAGTCTCTGTCTCTAATTTTTTAACTTAACAAAACATACAAATTGAATTTTAAAAATTGACTAATATGTAAAATTAAACACAGACTAACAAACGAAACATAATTATAAATTCTAACACTACTAATTGAGGGTCAATTAAGTTATAGGGAACAAAGCATTTTTGCCCTACTTAGCCTAAGGAAAGTTCAAACCAACAGAAGCTTCAGTTTCTGAGAAATCGTGAAAAACCCATTAACAATATTTTCCATGTGAAACTGATTCAGTACTGGATTCATCAAACATTAACACACCACGCAACTTAGTATTTGTCAAACCTACTATGGTGCTGCAATCTGAATCTATCACTGAACCCAGGGGCAGCTGCACTTTGCCTTTACTGATTGTAGTATATATGATGAGTCAAATTTCAACATAAACTTCAAGTATCTTCTAAATGACGGCATGTCAGATGTCAGAGGGAATAATCTCACACAAGGTGTTTTAAATGTATCCAGTCTTTCCAAATAATATATTTCTCAATTTTTTAGTTGATCTGTTGTGGAGTAACTGAAAGTCATCCTATAAATTATCATTTGAAATCTATAATAAACTCACTAAAGAGTATGCTTTACTTGTTTTGTCATTCATCTTGAAAATCGTAATGCTGTTTTGGATTCCATATATGCACAATGAAGTATCATTAGGGTGTGCCCACTCACCCGCAGCAAACTTGTTTTCCAGCTCCGTGTTTCCAATGGCCTTGGCAGCATGGCACATTTCCCTCATCAGCTCTTCTAGTCTTCTCATGCAGCGGATGATACTGCCTGTCATTGCATGGTAAAGGGAAAAACAGACTAGCATGTTTGACAGGATAAAAAGTAACCACTTGAATAAAGACTTCCAATTGGATGCTCAAGTTATTGACTGATATACTGTGTTTAGGTATGTGCACTGTGTAGACAAAATTGTCTTATTTTCCATTTCATTCAACCATTGATGAAACAGCCAAAAGTTGGTATTTTCATGTTCTAATTCCATGCTACGTGGAACATTGTGTATCTTTACCTTCAAAAACATCAGTCATCTTGCAAATTTCTGCAAATGTTGAACCATTAGCCCAAGCAAAGACAACATCCATCATCTGTGGCTTGAAGGATTCCACGTAGTCTTCCTCCTCAACAGCTAGCTTGGCCTCACTACTGACTTTGGCTATTCTACGAGCTGAGTCCTGGTAAAACATCAACATAAATGCGTCGAGTTTAAGCCTTACAATATTCCTAAAATTTGTGAATAATTTCTTCATGAATTTCTTTTTATTTGATTTCAATACAGCATCAAAATGGGGGATACAATGTTACAGTTGCATTCCCCATGCTGTTCAACAACTTTGATTTTGTTTTATCTTTTAATAAATGTTCAACTTGTAGGTTTTATTTCAACAAAACAACCCTCTATGTTCCTTTTTGGACGTCTGCAACCCTCTGAAAAAAATGGGTTTGGTTTGGGAACAAACTGCCGCTTTGTGAGCAGACTGGCTCCCTGTCAGTACATTATCGATACTGATTGTGGGGCAGGAACCAGCCTACCCTGCAAGAATGAAATTATTGTCTGGCAGCTAGTAGTTTCAAAATTGTAATAATTCAATAACTAAAGAAATAATTCAGTAACTAAACATGGGCCAATTTTTTTCCCGAAAATCTATTTTTCAGGATGAAACTCGAAAGTAGCATGGGCAAACGCGACTTAAAAACGTTCCCAATTAAAGTTCAGCCAAGTGAATGTTATGCTTTTGAGCAAAACTGAATCACCAAATACAATTTTGATAATAGGTTACTGCAATGTCACAACTAGCAGTACTTAATACAATATGTCACCACTTCACAGAACATATGAATTGTATACATTTACATGAATGTACTCATAACTAATTTTAATAGGGTCATGTTAACGGTGTGTTTCAAATCTCACAGTACCTGCCTATTCTAAGTAGGAACACAAACTATTCCCACAAGGGACTACATAGTTACACTGGGCTGGGACATCTGCAGTGTAAGCTGAGGAAGTGCCCATCTCAACCACACACATTACTTGATCCTTCACTATGTTCAACTTGACATTTTCTTGAAGAAACGTGCATACCAAGCATTGAAACACTTCCAACTTTTTAATCTTTAATCTTTTTGATTATAATCTCCCTTGGAAGTCTTCCTTTCCTAAGAAGTTTTATGACTTCATACAGAATCCTCTTCAAACAGATAAAAAACTACGAATCTCGGCAAGTAAATAAGACAATCAATTCCAAGATGCAGAACAACTGATCCAGTGTTTGGCATTGATGACCAGGAGCTAATGCAATAAATGCTGCATGCCCAGAGATGTTACCTGCATTTGCCTGAGTGGGCCTGACAGTTGCTCAGATAGCCTGGGTGTCTCCTTGGACTTCTCCTCAAATACAAAACAGCTCAGGAGTGCTACAATCTGCTCAGGTTTCAGGCTATTGAAGACACCATTGAAGATGAGTTCAGTCAGAAGTAGTTCATCAGCGCTGAGAACAAACAACAAGAGTTAACTAATTAACAATATCAGATACTTGAATGAAAGGTGTTGTCTCAATCAAAGAAAACAATTGTAATCATCCTGTATTGGTACAAAAGCAGAAGGATGCATATAAGATGCTGACCACAAACGTTGGTTTAACACCAATATGACCACCTGTGGTGATGTAGAAAAACAGAATCAACTGAGGACGTTGTTTATTGCTAACATCAAATTTGTGAATGGAAGCTTATAGTGGAATCCGGCGACCAGAATTAGAAGCTGTTACTGCAGTGGTCCCACGCTCACGTGCATGCTGCATGCGTTCTTAAAGACAAGGCACGCACACATTGATACATGGTATGTGGGCCATTGCTTTGCTAACCAAAGCAGAAAAATTGCCCTATTTTACTCAATGTGCATTGATAAACATTTCTACTGTTGGATGACTTTGATCGCTATTTGAAGTGCTTTTAACCTCTGAAGTAAACATGCCAAAGATTCTGCTAAATGCAAACCAATTTGCTGGGATTAGACCCAGACCCTGACAGCTTACCTGCTGATTTCACATGCTACTCTTCCTTTCATCTCTATGACATCAGCTACTGTAGCATAGCCCAATCTACGTATGACTCGCTTCCTACACTTCAATTCCTCCAATTGAATCACAGTCTTAGCTCGTTTCAGCTCACGCTTAGCAGCTTTGACCTCCGACGCAATCTGGGGAAAGATTTATAACAAGCAGGTGCTTGGTGGCTATTCCTTCTGTGTATGGACTTTTTTGACACCTTCAATAGAGTACATCAAGTAATGTTACCCGTAAAAATGAACATGTAGCTATTAGTTGTGATTCTGGTGCATTCTAAGTGATGTGTGCAGTCATCTGATGATCATATGACATTATTTCGGCGTGGATAAGGCCAAAAATCCACGTGTCCGTCATGCATTAAGCGTAGTGCGCACCGCGTGATGTTGAAAAAAATCAGTTGTTCGAAAAGCAACGGTCATACATCCATGTATTGTTTTCAAACTGCGCTATCCATTGAAATTTTGTACACTTCAGGTATCGATTAAAACGGATGACACATACCACACCTCATAAGGGTTTTCTTATGTAGCAGTGGGGTACACAGAAAATTATTTATAGTTGGCATTTAAATGAAGCACTTTGTATGTGAATCTTATTGAAACAAACTAGGGCCTGCCTCAATCTCAATTTTCAAATCCTCCGTTGATAAAACATTGAATATTTATACCCTTTGTATTTTATTGAGAAGTTAATCTTGTCAATGTTTATTTTGTAAAAAGTATACTTTGACAAAGCTAATCCAAATTTGATTGAGACTTGATTTTTCTACCCGCAAAACTGCTGCGTGCTCTCTGTTTGAGCTTTTAAGTCTGTCGAGTATGTGTAGAAATAAGTACATATGGATTTCAGAGTACGCATCACAGATACGCAAGCTATACACGCACGTCGTCTGAGACTGTAGGTACAATCTCAATGTTCTTACCTTTGCTTTCTGTTCATACTGGCTGTAAAGTTTCTGGAGATCAGGGCTTTTATGCAATGGATGACTGTACATTCTCTCCTCAAATGCCTCCACTTTCTGCAATGGAAATCAACAAGATGTACTGACCATATGCATACGATGCACACTGCCTGTATATTTCGCATGAATGACACATGAAAATCAGCAATGCGCTTCAAAATTGCTTGAATAACAGTTAGAGGAAAATACACATTTGATCTTGTTTTGATGGGGACATTAAGAAGAGTCAAGTAGACAATCCAGAACCAGTCCCATAGGGTTGGTCATGTATCTAGTCATCAGCAGCTCTATGGGCTCCGTGTGTGAACAAGAGAGGGCGGTGTTTTTACCACTTTCGAGAGCTTCAGTAAGATGCGACACTCCACTTGAATGGACTGGTTCGCGCACGTATGCGTGCGAAGTATGCACAACTAATTTTATTCAGAATGTACAGTTAGCCATAATGTGTTTGCGTGAGTGTCCGGTGTCTTCAGAAATGCATTCAATGTTCTTCCCGGTGGTCTCCCCTACTAACCCATTCTTACTGTTGAGGGGGTATTTGTGCTAGCAGCCCATGTAATACAAATAATGAATGTTTCCGAGTGCAATGGTAAGAGTAATTTCATGAGTTGACAGATGGATGTTCCATTCCACCACGCCAAGCCGAGTGGAATGAAACATTCTATCTGTTACCGAATGAAATAATTCTTTCCATTGCACGAATGTGAAACATTCATTATTTGTTTTATAAAACACCTGAAAAAAATCCTCGTCATCTGATTGGTCAGAGCCCCCAATAGTGTGACCGTGCAATGGAACTTCCATTTACAAAGTATCATTAAATGGAACTTCTCTGTTTGCTATGTGGCTGCACCATGCGTTGGGATGAATAATTCAATGACACATGATCAACGACCCACCAATCAGATGACAGGGATTTATTCAGGCATCGTATAAACTGCAATGTACAGCAGGGGGCTACGTGCATGATGACGTTTTACTACAGCTTGACTTGTGGTCATTGGAACTGGGAGGATTGGTGGTGGTGCGTGGAAACTGAAGGACTAACTGATGATTAACCAATGGCTGCTGACAGAACTTATTCCTAGACTGAGAAACAACATCTTCAAATAGTTGTGGATAGAATGGATATGGGATGCATGGGGTTATGAGAGACAGTACATACCTCTACAACTCTCCTGAGATTTTCATCTTTAATACCCATGTCTTCGATTGGGTCTAGCAAGGGCAGACTGTCTGGGAACCTTCTTTGAACCTCCTATGAAAAAAACACACAAGATACGTATTGCAAGAATGAGTCATCATTAAAGAAGTTATGAATTATGCCAAAATAATGCAATATATCATAGCATGCATGTTGCTCTGTGATGTTTCATATGACATCTCACACACAGATTCTGTCTCTTGATTGGCCGAGAGTGCGTCAAATGGTTTTCGCTTTTATGACTATTTAACCTATGATACATCAGCCTTCTTGTGAAAAAGGACTGTACACAGAGTAACCAATGTGCATGTGCATGCGGGTGTGTACAATGCGGGTATTGTTCTCACACACTACAGCATGAAGTACGCACATTACAGGAAGGAATAGCTAGGATAAACACAGTTTCATACTGAAATAGCAATCAACTTTCATTGGATTTTGGTTTAGATATCTCAAAAATACTGCAAGTGAGACTTGCGCAATCCCCCTGGCATGCTGGCAGGTTTTTTTTAAATAAAGTCAGTGTCCCTAACTAAAATGGAAGATTATTGTTTTAGCAATTGTGACCTTGACCTTTGACCTGTCGGCCCCAAAATCAATATGCTTGATAACACTACCAAGACCAACCCACAAACCAAATTTCAAGTTCCCAAGTATTTCTCAAGTTATCGCGTTGACAAGATTTCTACTGTTTTAGCAATAGTGACCTTGACCTTTGACCTGTCAGCCGCAAAATCAATACGTTTCTGAAGACTATTAAGAACAACCCACAAACCGAATTCCAAGTTCCTAAGTAAAGTACTTCTCAAGTTATCATGCTGACAAGGGTTATCCTAACCAAAACATAACACACACACGTGCTTAATAAGTTTGTTTATGGTGTAAATCGAGGATTTTCTATTGTTCCTCTTCCCTTTTCCTTTGTTTATACTCTAACTTTTTTGTAACAGCTCTCATTGGTTTTGTACACGTTTTGTAATCGAGGTCATCCTTGATCTGGTTCCTGTCCTCAATTCATTGATGATGTTGCATGTGTGTGTCCTCGATTTACACCATAAACACGCACAGACATACAGACATACACACAGAAGGAATACGCTATCCCAATATCCCCCTCTGGCTTACAGCCAGGGGGATAACAATTAGCAGGATCTCTATGTGAGGCACTATAAAACATATATTGACTGCTTTATCTTGTGGTATAGTAAAACTAGCCTCCCTTGGTAATCCTTGGAGCATTCTCTTCTTTTCTTGGCAAGGCATACAACATCACTTGAAGTGGTCAATATTTGCATACAATACAGAGATTCTACGACCTAGACCCTGCCATGACATAGTATATGTTTACCTGGATTGACTTGCCCACACTCTGCCTGTTATCAAGTGGTCTGAGATCCTTGGGTAAGTATAACCGCACACTACTCAGATGTGTGATTAAATTAAGCAATACTGGAACAACCTGTACAAATATAAGGAAAGAATTGCTGAGAATGTAAAACAGAATAAAACATAACGTCCAATGCCCTATGTACATGGGCCAAAAGACATAGCTCTGCTGGTAGAAGGAATATTTGAGGGTGTTGAAATTTATCGAGGAAATTTAGTTTTCACGGTTTTCTTCCAAGTAACATATGTTTAATATTGTTAGGGTAGTAAAGGCTGAAAGGCCCTTAAGCCAAAGAAAACTAAAAAAGGAAAACGTAGGGGGTAAAGAGAAAGACAAAAATATATACAAAGGCATGCAGTTGATTTATTAAGGACAGGGAATCAAACGATTTAGGGAAGTATGTCACAGGCAATGAAAGACGACAATTAAATAATAGATTTGTTTGATTTCAAATTCACATTTAAAACATCACACTATTGCTATTAACTTGAAAACCTAGACATTTGCCTGAGACATTAACCTAAGCTATTTTAGCACTCTACCTTCCTGAACCATTATTCAAAAAGTCACTACACAATCTTTGTAGCTTAGCTGATAAGAAAACAATAACTTGGGATTTGAAACCCACCTTTCAGCAATAGTTTGCAGACTATGTAATCTACATTCCAACCAAAAACTGCAAAGAGTCTTGGCTTTAAGCAGTGTTAAAGAACTACGTGAAGGTTAACCCTTATCACTGCGTGGTTGATTTCGGAGGACTCTTGAGTTTTAGATTAATGTTAGCAGATAAATCAAATAATCAAATCAAGACTTGATTCAAGCTTACGACTTACAGCCATTTCTCCTTTTTCTCCTGTCTTTGGAGGCTTGGCAGATTCAGTCACAGCATTCTTAATGCTCTCTTTGGAACAATTCAGCAGGATTTCTGCAATGTAGAGCGGGTCATCCCTTGGCGTGTTCATCTTTTGGTTTGCCTTCTTCCTGAAGTTAATGACTACGCCCCATCCAAAGTCATCATCTTCATTCTTGACCTGAGGGGATGTAAAGGACAGTACAAAGACACTAAGACAAGAAATACAACAGCAAATTTGATTGACTAACACAGGTTGGTTAATGGTTGACTATCCCGTCAAATAGCATAAAAAGATATCAGGATTGTCACATTTTCATGAACATTTCTAAAGTACTTAAAGCGAGATTTAGACCTTCTGATTGGTCTACTGATATTAAATTGTGTGGCAAAGTACATGATTCTGATTGGGCAATTGTAAGCACATGTAACGTTGCATATAACACATGCGTGACTCAGCACATATGTTCAAAATCTTTTAATAATCAGAAATTGAACATGGTATATGAAGCATGAGGCAGGGTTTTGACATTATTTGGTATTTATGTTGTATTCTGTCAAAACCAGAATATTATTGCCAGGGCTCAAAATGGAGATACAACCCCCTTCCATTTAATATTAAAACCATGTTTGACGACAGTTCTATTTATCAAAATTGTACACATTTATGATTCTCAATATGTTCAAAATACTGTAATTTGTTGCAGACCACATAAGGGTGAATTGAGTCCACTGTCTCAGCTGTCATGTTTCAATACTTTAGGGACATGAATGAGCCTGTATTTCTGACCTTGACCAGCCGTCCAGGTTGCAGGAATGGCAAGGCGTACTTAGGCTTGGTAATGAATGCCTTGATCTCTTGACCCAACTTGTTGAGTTGTTGTCTTATCTTATAGTATGCCTCCACACTCTCTTCTTGAGGGATCTCCATCTGGTTGTACTCATTCTCCAATCTCTTCAATTCTGCAGTTGAAAAAAAACACCAGATGAAAATATAAACAGTGTAATCAATGTAAAACAGACACTTGAGTAACAGAGCATGTTAAACCAATGAGTGCACCTTCAAGTCATCACGTTTACAAAAAAATGCTTCAAGAGCCTGCCAAAACAGACAACAAACCAGGTATGTATACTGGGACTATATATGAAGTAAATCACCCTTTGAACGTTAAAGAAGTCGCAAAATATGGTATGACCAAAAGATTATGAGGTAGATAATTTGTATTCCAGATATTTACAGGATTATGTGTCTTGTTTCCATTGCATTATGTATGTTTTTTCACTTCGACTTTTTATCTAACGTCCATTATGTTTTGGGAAAAATGAAAGACTCTCAGCAAAGCCCTGTAACAAATACATAAGTGCCATCCAATCTGGGTTGCAATTTTGTTTTTTACCTACAAGGCATAATTACAACAAACTTACTTTCAAAGAGTTCTGGGATGACAGAGTAGTTCTGGAACTGATAGAATGATCTCTCCAGCATGTATTCAGGGTTGATACCCTCCACTCGCAGTAGGTTGAGAACCATGTTGTATGTCAAATGAAAGGCACTGTTGAGTGCATCTGGCTGGCCCTACACAAACAAACAAGAAAATGGAATTGTATTCGAACCTTGTCATACCTCCCACATTTGCTGGTTCTTCCAAGTCTTTTTCTCAGGATAGATATTACTATGGCTTACAATGAACCCCTAGTAGTGAATATGTACCATCGGTGCTTCTGCAATCATAGCTACACATCTTAGCACGTGGGGTGCTTTGGTCCAATGGTTAGGGTGTTCGACTTGTGTGCCAGAGTTCAAATCATGACCGTGGGAACATGGTGCTTGTGCTCTTGAGCAAGGCACTTTACCATTATTGCTTCGTCCTTCGGATGGGACGTAAAGCTGTAGGTCCCGTGTGTTGTGTAATGCACGTTAAAGAACCCAGTAACACTTATCGCTAACAGAAGGGGTTTGCCCCGTGTTTCTGGCAGTGGCTGTAATATGTGCCGCAGCACCTTGCCAACCCTTATATGGTGCTACATAATGGGTCTCATATTTCTCATATACTTTATTTACCTTTCTTTAATAATAGCAATAATTTCCAGCGCCTTGAGTACTTTATTGTTGGTAGATACGTGCACTATAAGACTCAGTTATTATTATTATTATTAGCATTCCCATTATGAACAGCAGCTTGTAAAATTCCTTTGAAGTATGTTGTTCAAGGAGGCGATTTGAATCCTGGTCTTACCTGCAGGATGTTCTTGCCTACTCCAGGACTCATCTTCTCATCAATCATCAAGATGACGATACCTTTGTCATCTAAGCCTCGTCTGCCAGCTCGGCCACTCATCTGAATATACTCCCCAGATGAAATCTGGCAAAAAAAATTTGATAAAACCCAGAAATGTTAACATAGTACAAGACCCTGTAGGTAACATGACAAGCAAAGCCTCTGGTCCTTAACCCTTGAATTCAGTTTATTCTTCAGTTTAATAGAATTTTGTGAGATCAGCTCGATTTTAAGGCAACAGTTTAATTGATTGATCTAATTTTGTCCCTTTTTTCAGGGGAACTATTAATGAAACAGTGTTCTCTCTGGTAAGAGGGACACCTACCCAAAATACTAATTGCTACACTAAAAAGTACAATATTTAATACAATAAAAAAATAATGAATGGAAGGTTTGCAAAACACCATGTGAATAACATCTCTTTTTGAGTTGTTTGGTTCTGAGAAGAGCCAGTTGTTTCAAACAGTGTGCTCTGTTCATTATCAGGAGAATAAGCCTCTGTACTAATGACGTCACACTTTGTTTACGTGTGTGCTTTCCTATGGTGCTCAGTGGACCGTGGGCCCACGCTGGCTCCATAGGAAAGTGCACATGTAAACAAAATGTGACGTCATCAGTACAGAGGCTTATTAAAAATGGTTAGAAACTATAAAAGGGCTTTTATAATCTGTTAAATGTTCGGAAGAACCTGAACATGATTTGAAACATTTTTTCTCTCTGTGATAGTGATGAAATTTCACCAGAAATAAAAGGCAACTGTAGTTTAATGTCTCACTCATATGTACACAAGTCAATGTTTACTGGTCAGTCTGCCACTGCTGGTCAGTGTTGTAGTCCATCATTATTATTTAAATAAGCCCTTTGCGAATTTTCAACAATTGGAGGTGCACACAAATCCTGATTGGCGTCATGTTTAACTTGATCAGTGCGTTTCAAAATCAAATACTTGAATATTCTATCAAGTCCTAGTTGGTATATCAAATGCTAAATTATTCGCAAATGCTCAGGCCTAGAAAAGCCCAAGCCAACATAAGAGCAATTTCTTGTACCCATCTGAAATCCTTGCCATCAAACTTGCGTGCGTTGGTGAATACCACAGTGCGGGCAGGCATATTGAGTCCCATAGCAAAGGTCTCTGTAGCAAACAATGCCTTGATCAAACCCTCTGAGAAGAGAATCTCAATGGTCTCCTTGAGGATTGGCAGAAGGCCTGAATGATGGATGCCAATACCTCGCTTCAATAGGGGAAGAACATTCTCCACCTGGAAATAAATATGAGGCATTATAATACAGATCATTGTAACACTACAAACTTATCAAAAAGAAGTTCCACGATCTTATGGCCCACAGGATCATTGATTTATTATTTCCAATGACAAAAGAAAAACCTCAAAATGTTATATAACTTTTAAACAGAAATTAAATATCTGTAAAGACTTATTTTTAGCAAAATGAGTGAAGACTTTTGAAACATAACAGTTTTTGAAAACTCATGAACACTGACCATGCAAATTTCCAATAGTTGCTTAACTTTGCCGTGGAATATGGCCCAGTAAACGAGTATCATTTTAGACATAAGGGACCTACTTTGTGACATGCTGATGTAAGTCCGTGTCCGAATTACTTGGCTATGGCTTAAATTATACAGGTGTCTATAATAGCGGCTGCAGTCATTTCTCATAGACCCCTGTATAATTTCAAGCTGTAGCCAAGTAATTTGGACACAGCTTAAGATTGTTCTATACTGATTTGTAAGCATACATGAATATTCACAATGTAGTAGTCCAATGTTGTTGTTATCAATTTCAAGCAATTAATCTTCACAGAAATCTATGTTTTGCCATTCAAGTTACTTTCAATAAACCCTTACCTGTGGTAATTTCTTATCATCATCTGACAGGCAATCAATCGCATTATTGAAGACTTCAGTCACCATGGCTTTCTCTTCAGGTGAGCTGTTGAAGTCTAGTTTAGACATCTGCAAAGCATAAGCCTCACATTCCTTCTTACTGAAGCTGAAGACGATCACAGGCTGAAACATGCGCTCCATGATCATCTTGACTATCTTGAAGATATTGGAGGGACCTGGAGGAACATGAAAGGAATCCAATATAATTGATAGCTACATTTTATACAAGGATCAATTAATTAAAAGGGGTTTAAACATATTCCATTCACAAAACAGTGAGTGTGTCATTTGTCAGCTGAATTTGAAAAAATGGCCAGTATACTGAGTTTTTGTTATAACACTTTCAGTACTCCTCAGAGGTTACTGTATCATGTGGAACAGTGCAAGAGTAGTGTCAGCAACCTCCAGCTAAGTACCACATATTATATATACATTTAATTTATAAAAAATCGCTCATAACTGGCCTACTCCTCCTTCATAATGTAACATAACACTTGTACACTGCATACCAACACAGTCAAAGCTCAGCGTCAAAACTGCTATTCACTTCTTTAAATGCTTTCAAATTATGTGAGCTAAGTGTTAGCAGAATATAGCAAATAATGTAAACAAATGCGTGTGTAAGATGATAAAGTACATGTAGTTTGTGTTTTTGCTCCTAGTTCAAACCAACAAAGTCAACATTTAGTTTGGAAATTCAGCAGCTACTCGAGTACAAGATTTAAACTGTCATTTCAAAATTCCTCCTTAGTTACTTCTCCCACTACTATGATTACAAAAATCATAAACATATGCCAAACTTTGTCAACAGACAAAATTGTGTCTATGGGATCCACACAGGGACTGTAGAGTGTGCTATGGTCCAATTCTTACAAGCAAGCATATCAAAGTAACACCAAGCGCATGAATGACAGGAAAACAACTGAGTATGAGTGCTTGATGGAAAGGACACTTATATGCTCTCAACTAACAGTAGCTCAACGAACATTTTGCTTGTTCACCATTTAGCAGGCAATGACATACATATATTTGTGCAAGGAGCTAATGTCATAGGTATAATAGCTCAACACATACACAATAAGCCTGGGTCTTTCCAATAGCAAGAAGCATGCTACCTTTAGTTCCTCCTTTTCTTCCTCTGTTCATTGAGTCTCCCTTAGCTGCATCACCAGAATCCCTCAAGACAGACATTGCTGCCCCAAAGTTATCCTGACGAAACTCTCCCTGTGTATTGAAACAAAGTCAATATACATTTCTTTTAATATTCCCCTTTCAAACATGTAAGAACCATTATTCTGAAATTTGTATTCCTGTGGAGACATTTCTTTGTTCTCGTGTAGTAAAGTTTTCGAGTTTGAAATTGAAGTTTCAAAATGCTCTTATTTTAACCAGAATTAATTTCCTGGGCTGAAATTTGGACTAAATATCCCTTTTCTAAAACTCTTCCATTTGCGACAGATCAACCTACCTTGGAAATTCCTAGTTTTTGAGTAAAATCCATATATCTATTTCGTGAAATCTTGTGGAGACGTATTCATCTATAGAAATGTTCTTCTGGAGACGTATACAATCTTTTGTTCCCTATTGTGTTCATGTCTCCGTAAGGTAGTAAATTCCAGCACTCTGGTGTAGATCAAATAAAATAGAAAATTCAGAGTCCATACAAAACGTTTTTATAAATTCAGAAAGCAATTAGATATATCTTATGTTTCCTCCTGTTCACTCATCTTCATTTCAAATTCAGTACACAGAACTCTAGGCATAAACTCAAGATGGAATTGCTACTGACTTTTTCATCCACTACAAGATGTAGTCCGTCCCCACCAGCTGGGAAGATATAATGCTGTAAAGGAACAGGTCGGTACTCAGTGTACACTACATGGCAAGGCTGCAAGAAATCAAGACAAGAAATGCTTGTATTATACATCACTCCAACAAATCAATTTGTTGGCGTTTCTAACCCCTGAGGGGCGCATAGCACCTACACAATGTTACCCCAACATTATATTTCTTGTGATACAATGAAAAATGTGATACACATACAATAAAATATCTAGTTGAACATTTTACGTGGGTAAAATTCAGCATCAAACAACCACAGATGTAGATTGGTTAGCAAAGGTCAACTAAAATGTGACTACCTTTGAACTAATCAGCATAAATTTGTATTTACAAATATTCATTCAGACATTCATGTCTTGTTTAAGATAAACTGTACATTTCCCCGAGGGATAAGGAAATCCTAAAAGCCATTTGCAATGACCAGTCAAATTAATGCACAATAAGGAAATGTGGTTTACATCTTATCTTCGGGTTAGCGTTGTCATGTGTTCATTCCCCTTATTGAATTTAATTAAATTCTTGAGCTCTTGTATATTTCAATAATTTTTATGTGAAATACCTTTGTGAATTTAACTGCTATGTACTGTCACTTAAGATGTCAATGTGTAAATAAACGTTTACAGCTCAATTCAAACTGAATTGAGATATGTACCTAATAAGTACCTATTCAAGATGGTGGATAGACAAGTAGTCAGTGGCATTTCCAAATCAAATGGCTTTTTTTGGTTGAGAAATACTTCCAAACATATCATAAAACTAAACTGGGCGAGACCTATAGAGCTATTTGGGTCTCATTCTTGCGCGCGAAGATGCTTTGAAGCCGTCCTGGGCACCGACATTTTGAATTCATGTGCGTGTTTGTAGAACATAATAAAATTAGATGGATGGAATTTTGAAAGTGAAAGTGTACTCTAAATGCAACGTGCAAGTAGAACGTACGCAAACACCTTAAGCGTGTCATTACGGTTTAGAAAAAAAATGTGACAGTAACCATCTCCAGTGGATACGTGCACACATTCCGCTGTTTGCGTAGAGCAAAATGACACGCTCATTTGCTGATCGTGCGTTTCAGTTTTGGGCGTATTGGCTTCGATAACACACCTGTATAGAATACAAACGCAGATATGCAGATAGCCGTACAAACATGGATGCGCCCAGCAGGCATCACTTACATGAGTCAGCACTCTAGTAATTTAATATAGCTCTATGGTGAGACCCCTAAGTGTAAAACTTAACTTCTGAACATTTCTGCCAATGGATGGAACACTACTGTATTTGTGATGTTTCTGTATTAACTGACCTGTTTATGTAGGTGACAGATCCATTCTGCAAACTGTCTAGCGTTGGGTATTGTGGCTGATAGGAACACATAGTGAACATTGTCTGGTAGAAGAATGATAGTCTCTTCCCACACTACACCTCTGTCTGGATACAACATTTTAAAAAAATATATTTTTTGTGGTCATCTACACAAAATTAAAAGATTGGACTTGTCAAAATGGAACAGATGTTTTCAAAGGGATACAACATCAACTCTTGACCAGACAACACTGGAGATATGGTCACTCTAAGTTGCGAGGTCTCGAGTACCAACAAGGTTTTTGTGCTTGAAATCTCTAGATCACTTTATCAGTGTTGTCCCTACTGAGCTATCCAGCCCAGTTGCTTCTGAATAGTACCTCATGAACAAAGACAATAACCAATTAGGGAAACTCCCAATAGCAGGCTTGAATGCTTGGTAATGTGTTCTAGAGTTTTCTGGATCCGTAAACACATTTAAATATTTAACACAACCTTTGATTGAATTTAGCATTTCTGTCATTTTTCTGTCATAAAGGCCCTCCTTGATTGTAATGGGTCCAATAGATTGACCAATGATGCACTTACTTTTGTCTCGCATGTAGTGTATTTCATCAAATATAACCCATGCAACTTCTTTCATAATCTCCGAGCCACGATACAGCATGCTCCGTAAAATCTTTAAGAAAGAGAAATATTGAAATAAACTGTCATACAAAATGATATTAAACTTTAATACAGTAGGTCAGAATAGCTGTTCAATCTACGGTGACCTACTATGTCAATTTATCACCATTATCTCTCCCTGTCCAAGAACAATATAAACAAGGCTTCTTCTCACACGCTAAGCGGGGTCTGTTGCTGGCTTTGCGTTTAAGTTGCTTGCACTGTGCGCAATCTACTCATCTATCAACTTGTGAACAACGTGTGAACACACACACACCTTTTGCACTTTATAGTATAATGGTAATGTAAAAATGCAGTGTGGGTGTAATACATAATAACTTTGTGAAACAGATACCATGCTAGTCTTTAAAAAAAATCATCTTTTTTTTTTACAGGGGGGTATTTTGTTATTTTAATTTATTTACAATGAATGCAAAAAAAAGGTCTGTTCATGCCTGACCTAGTGATACAACTTCATTGCCCTCTATCCTTGCCTTAATGCATAAGGTCTATGGATAGGAATTTGAACAAAGAGGCATGATTCCAAGTACTGAAAGGCTTGACAGATGTAAGTTTTAAATTATGGCAACTTCCAAACCTGGAAGGTATTTGTGTCTTGTATTGAATTAGCTGACCTCGGTAGTCATGATGAGACAGCTTGCTGTAGGATTGATGGTCACATCACCCGTCATCAATCCTACATCTTGGAATTCCTCATACATCTCACGATATTTCTGATTGCTGAGTGCCTTGATTGGGGTGGTGTAGATAACACGTTGTTTGTCACGCAGTGACATTGCAATGGCATACCTGTATGGCAATACAAAAGAATACATGGCTAAGATACCTCACTGTTTAAATGACAACAAAGTAGAACACACCAAGTGTTACCCTGACTACAATCCTGCAATTAAATGGTGAAACATAAAACACAACAGTGTTCAATATTAAACTTGTTTATTCTAAACCAATGTTCCCATTGGACTTTTTCGTCCCTCTACTCATATAAAATTGTCTAACTCAAAGCAAACATTCATTTGTGTAAATCTTACAGACAGCAAAATGATATTTGCCATGCACGGTTCAGCAAACATAAAATACATGTATATAATGGATTCTATGTAGGAAATCATTTTCAAAACCAGACGATTATGTCGCAAAGGTTGTCTTGTTTATGCATAAACAGTATTCAACTGCTTGACTAGTAAGAATAATAGCATTTGTAGTAATGAATCAATGGCAGCGAAAACATGTCAAGAGGGAAACCGTTGCTTGCTTACTAGCACATTGTCCATTATGCATTGCTGGTTGCTGTGGTGATAATACAGTATTTGAAAGTGACATTGTTTGCAAGCCTTTTTTTTCAGAGTCGTGTAAGTTTGGGACTAATCACACTCTTTCTGAATTTACTGTGCCTCAAGGCCGAAAAAAACTCAGCGCGAAAGCAAACGCGTATGCGAATTTGTGACGTCACTACATGTATTCGCAAAACTGGAACACATTTTAACTAAAGCAGCAAATGTTTTTTTTATGTCACATTCACTTCTAAATTCACATTCTAATTCTGCAACTGTCTTATTTTATCTTATCCTTGAGATTATTAAATACTTGTTTATTACCCATGATAAGTACTTACTCAGCCACCACAGTCTTCCCTGCAGATGTGTGAGCAGATACCAAGACTGACTGGGTATTCTCAAGACATTTCAGCGCTTCTTTCTGGAAGGGATCCAGGATAAATGGATACTCCTACAACATGAAGGAAGAATACATTCACTTCACACATACATGTGTATGTTTACAAATAGAATTGCCCAACCGAAACTGCATGAAATCTTATGAATATGATATTATTGGCAAGATGAAAGCACATTCAAAACTCAACAGTCCTCTTTACACGCATATTCCCTATTTATGTACAACGAAAAGAAGGTGCAGCCATACTGCCTAATGTGTAAGGGTAATTGTAAGACCTTATGAACATCGTGCATAAGTATCCCCTCCCCCCATCAAAATACAAGGAGTTTCATAGGTGGCACTCAAGAACAAATTGTTGCCATATGCCCAGCACTCAAGCAAAGACACCAAGACTTTGTGCACATTCAGAATACAATTATTTGCACTATATGCATTCATCATTCTCTGTGGTCCGTCATGGGGACGTAGAGCCACCCAGCCCGTACGATTTATTGCAGACTGCCACAGCTGCTGTGCCGGTGAGTCGTGGTCCGCTTCCAGCTGGCGCATCCAGGTGTTGCGTGGTCGTCCTCTGGGTCTCTTCCAGGCAGGGCCAGGAGGGAGTCCCCCTTGAACATCGACGCTCAGCTTGAGGGCGGCATGAGCTGGGGTGTCTTCTGGGAGTCGACGGGTATGGCCGAAGAGGGAGTGGCGTCGCCGTGAGATGGTCACACGGATGTCCTCGAGACCGGTGGTTTCCAAGATTGATTCGTTGGAGACGAAGTCTAACCATCGGACACCGAGTATCCGCCGTTGGCATCTGGTATTAAATGCTTGAAGCCTACGTCCATCTTCTACCAGTAGTGTCCAGGTTTCTGACCCGTAGAGTAGGACGGGGAGAACGCATGTTGTGTACACCCTCAACTTGGTTTTGAGGTTGAGGCGCTTGTTCCACCACACACGATCTAACTGGCCAAAGGTTGAAGAGGCGAGCCCTAGTCATCGGCGAATGTCGGGAGAAGAGTGACCTTCGGAACAGATGTCGCAGCCGAGGTATCTGATATGTACGTAACATGCATTCCAACCAGTGTATGCATACAGTGTGTCCTGCACACGGGAGGTCTCATGAGTGGTATTGAACAGCCATGTTCTTTTCATGCATTGAGTCCATACACTAATCCAAGAAGTGTATTTTCAAAGACATTACTGCGATGGCACCATGCACCATGCTCCCAATGACGAATGTCTACTGCCAGAAGCAGTACGGACAGTGAATGTATGTATGTGGGCAATTCCACACTAATGGGCCAATTAGATGTGTTTATGAATGTTGCATATTGAGGGTAAAAGACGAGCTAGTATTTTCTTCTGTTTTTTTTTCCTATACCTTGCTAAGTTGAAAGTGACTAGGACAAGACAAGACAAAAGATGTTATCTTTTTTTGGGGAGAACATAATAGGCATCTTCTCTGTGTGATATGTATGTAACATGGACAGACACACTGCAAGGAAAAGGGTGCTTAGGACAAATTCAATTTCTAATAGGCACTTCCAGTGACATTATTAAGCCATTTTACATTGTTATTAAACCAAAATACAATAGGTTTTCACACTGGCTTCAAAGTTCTGTGATTAGGGTTACGAACGAACAGGGACAAACTTTTTGTGACAAATGTCCAGTCTGTTCGTACGTATGAACCGTGATTATATAATATCAAATAATTCTTCACATTGACTCCAAGTTTTCTAGGTTTTGACTGACAGCATTCCTCAAGGGTACATCTTCTTAAATAAGTCAACATTAGGGGATCATGAAATGTTATGCTTACTTTGTGACTTTATCTAAAATGTCTGTCCTTCATTACGTACATAACACTTTTTAAAACAATAGCCACTATATTGCAGGTGAGGTGCATTTGTTCGAAGCTTGCAATGTTTACAGCAAAATCTAAGAGACCAAGATCGTACTTTTATCATCAAAACTTAAAGGTCTTCTCAAATGTCACATTTTTGGGCCCATTAGTGTGGAATTGCTCACATGCTATTTAGGTACCACCCTCAGTAATGTCTTCTAAGTAGTCTGTCCAGCACCCTGACTGCCACTCTTACCTTGGCTGCTTTATTCCCTGAGGGTTTGAGTGGTACATACTCCTCATCATGTGGTATTGCCACCTCATGGGTACAGCCTTCAATGGATTCTACTGTCTGAGACTTCACCTGTGGTAGGATTTCTGCAAGACTAACATTCATGGCGATAAAGAAAACAGGTCACTTCATTTCACGTCATAGGCTTATTGCAAGTGGGTCCTTATAAAAAATTGCTTTAATTAAAGTACTGAATATACTAGACAACACATTACAAATCAAATTTAAAAATTAACTATGGACACATAGTTGAAGCACGAGGCATCTTTTTTACAACCTGGTAGTGCAACAAGTAAGTGATGCATTGCTACCCACAATGAATGAAGTAATTACAAATATAACATGGTTTGAGGGTGGATAGTTGATATGAGCTCCCCTCGGTATTGGAAGTTGACAAACTTGGAAGTTGACAAGGTTCCTGAGGCGAATCCACCCAAAATAAACCATGTTATATTTGTTTACTATACCTCATACATATTCAGTTGCCGAATTTTCCCTTTGCAGTATGCACCTCGCGGGCATAAAATCTTCGGAGAAACTTGTCCAGCTCACCAGAAGAATATTATTGGTTCCACCTCAGACAATTTTAGTTTGTTTGCAATACATTAACTCCTACGAGTTTATACTGCATTGTACACAACTTTTTTTTCAGTAGAGGCAGCATCTTTATTGTTCACAATATTCTCAAGTTTGGCATCATTGAGTAGCTTTAGGGTGATGTTTGTGCATGTGTAGAGTACGACACCCGGGCAACAGTTCCACCGATGCTTTGTAAAGCACATGCGTAGTAGACTGTCGCACAGGTAACCTGTGCAACAGCCTACATGCATGCATATTTACCCTGTGCGTGAATACTCGTACGCGCGCTTGGTAAACTGCAAAAATAGCATCTGGCATGTGATGGTGAATGGACCAGTGAGAATTCGGCTCTCGATCATGAATATGTATGAGGTATAGTAATATAGGATCACTGATTTTCATTGAAGAAATGAACAACCAACACATACAAGCGTCAGTTTTGAGCCTCTAAATCTCACAGGAAAACTAACTTTGTTTGACAACCATGACAACATTGTCAGTTTAAAGGTATAGTCCATCATTTGTAATTTGTGCATTTTGTTTGTTTGAAGCAACAAATGTGCTCAATACCTGATGAAAGATGCTGAACTACCAATCTGATGAAGTTTCAGCTTAGCTTCAGCTGCATTTTTTGAGAAAAACAACATTCTAGGATCTCGATTTCAAATCAAAAGTTGCTGAATCATGTTTTGAATTGGGCCTGAATCCAGCGTCTGAGACACGTTCCTACTAGCCGATTGCAGCTATGCGATGTCGCGCACTGATCAGACGAATGATAGCAATGCGTGTGCGTGTGCGTCGTGCAAATGCTTGCGCCCGCTTCGCCGAATAACAAAACGAACTACTAATTTGAATTTCCTACGGTGCTTCTTAAGAAGCACCGTAGAAAGGCCTTCTTTTGTTGATTTCTTCAAAATGACAGCTTGCCAGAAAGAATAATTTCACAGGGAGTTTAGCCCCTTACTATCTTTCAACCAAGTTTGTTTTTCAACAATAATTAAGCCAGTTACTTTTTGATAGCTGCAAATGATGGACTGGCTTTAAGTCTAAACATGCTAAAAGTACAAAGCGCATAGGTGTTTTTCCAAACAATTTTTCTTAAGCAAGCATTTACATTGGTTCACATTCTACAACTTAAATCTTCAGCGTCTTGTTAACCTACTGGTACACTGAATTTATGCCAGCAAGTCTTGGTAAATATAGCGTGCAAGAAATGACCGAGTGGAGCTGGAGTTTGTATTGACTTACTTGAGTTCATCTGCTGTGAGGGCAAGTTTGGGCTTCTTTCCTGTTGTGTACTCTGGCACCTCATGATCATCTCCTCGAGGGTGCTTAGAACTATCTGAAGTGCTGAACAAAACAAAAATAACCATCATACTTTCATGTTGTCACTGTGTACTAGTAAGAATAGACTGATGTCACCGAGGTAGAAGTTTTGGGTTTTACACAGCATTGATTAATTCTTCCACAATAAACCAATGCTTGTGTGAATGTACATGTAGTCCCAAACAAAGGCCAAGCGACTAAACTATCCCCTTTACCTTGGCCATACACATGTGTGTACAAAAAGACGTAAAACTTCTCATTTTTTAAACGGCCACCATGCAACCCGATATTCCACATTAGGTTCACTTACCCAAGCGTGCAATTTACTGATTTCTTCTTTGCATGAAATTTGTCTCTTCAATTGTCACAAAGCTGCCGTTCATTAAATACATTTGTACATGTACAGAAGTTCACTCCTGATTTGTCATGTTCCTTTCAAACTAAATTTACCGTTCATTGTGAGTGTACATGTATGTTCTCTTACAGAGTCCAACACTAAATAGCATGTATTCATTATCCAGCGACACTGATATAAAATGTATGTATTCGTATTTTGTGGTGTAACGACTTCTTGTCAGAATATCAAAATTGTGTCGTGCAAATACAGCCAAAGGCCAAAAAAAAAAGTCTCCAGTTTCTGGTATGGAGCTTGTCCAAAAAGTGGTGTGGCGACGCGGCTTTTTTTTTTTTTTACCTGACTTCAAATGTCGACTGATGACTGCAAATGGTGCCCGACTAAACTTAGTGCAAATATATGGGAGTTCAGAGAGGCTACATTAAGCTTATTCTCGATTATAACCCCATCTAAAAACACGTTAAAATTGTGCAGCTGCAGAATTCCAGTCAAACCAGTGAGTTTGGCAGTTTTGAGACATCATCTTTCATTGAAAAAAAACGTTTTCATTTTGCCGACGCGCATGGCTACAGCGACGCGCGTGCATACCAGAAACCGGAGACTTTTTTTTTGGCCTAAAGCAAAAGCTGTATTCCATATTTATTAAGTGCAGCACTTGACAAGTAGCATTGAACTAGTGTTCAAGAAAGGACAATCACATGTAATCGGTTATAAAGAAAAACTGGTTGTACAGGGTGAGTCAAAGAAAGCGGAACTGAAACCCCCAAAAATATATTTCATATTTAAAAAAATATGCAGCACCATAAAAATAATAATGACTGGAAAGCCAATTTCATAAGCTACTTTTAGTTGAAGAAAATTTACTGAGATTGCTCAATCCATTCAAAGAATATCACCATTTAAACACAATGACCCTAAAACCTGTTTCGTCCAAAAAAAAAGTTTGTGTATTCCGATTGTTTGGAACAACAAAGAAAATGACACAGAATACTTGTTTCAACAACTGTATTGCAACAACCCTGGTTAGGCAAACAATATGATTTATAAAATCCACTTTTTTTAAAAGACAGGCCTTTAAAAGGACTTTGTTGAACATTTTTTACTTTTTTACATTGAGGTTTTATCGCTGGTGATGTTTGAAGACAATTGTGACAATGATTTTTGAAATCACATTTTTCTCCAGAAGTAGCACCTGCGCACTAATTTCCCCCATTTTCCTGGACGTTGTTTCAACAGGTTCGTGGGTGATATTGGTTGGTCGTGATAACGCCCTCTCACGGCAGCAGGTTATCGCGGCGGCAGGTTATCGCGTATCAAACCATAACAACGTCTAGCCCCTAGACTAGGTTTTCAGTCCCTACCAGATGAGATTCTGTGGGTTTTCCCCAGACTATTCTTCTGGTTTTCCTCCCAACTCTAAAACTGTAATTTCTTCTCATTGTCTTCTCTTCACAGGTTTCTTCAGGCTTGCGAGCTACGGTGCCTGTAAATGGGGCATGCACTATTGAGGAATCCTTGGTTTCATTACCAGAAATAAATATAGAATTTAATAATCGTTTACCTCGTTTCATATGAATAAAAAGGAGTAAATGCTTCAAATTTCAAATATGCACTCGTCGTTTTTCAAGGCTGGGTTGGGGCAACCTTGAAATTATAAAGCAAATAACTCTGCGCAAAAATTACTGGATTTATTAAGGTAAATCGCGAAAACTTAATATCAAAAAAGTTCATAATGTCCGGGTTACCACGTGCGCCTTGACTCAAGGCTACGTGACTGACAGCAGAAATGATCAAGCATGCGTGTGATCTTTTCGATGTTGGAATTTAGCTATGCAAATGTGTGCAAACGAACCTGGAAATTACACGAAAATTAGACGTCTGAGAAAGGCCGGACTTCTTTTCTATCGCTATAAAGAGGGTGAGTATGCTTCTTAAGCGCCGTAAATAAACTACAAAGTCTAAATGTAAAAATGAAAATTGACAAAGTTCTACATTTTTGGGTACATGTTCAAAGTGTGGCACTTATTTACGGGGTATCAGGTCAACTTGGACCCAAACCAACTCAGACCCACTACCAACTCGGACACACGCCAACTTGGACCCACTGCCAACTCGGATCCATGCCAACTCAGACCCATTACCAACTCCGACCCAACAATGACCAACTCAAGAGTCAACAATGATTTATTGACTTTAAATTTGTCTAAATAGTATTTTTTGTATGCAGTATTATGTGTAAGATTAATAATAATATGTTTGGAATTGTATATATTTCAGTGTTCATAGTTCCAATTTCATTTTTCTATTACGGTCTAACTACATGTATATTTGTGTTTTTGTTATGTTTACAGTTGATTAATCTCAGATTGTTGTTAAATTTAAAAAAGATGGCATGAACGATGTTGCAATTCTTTTAATGAAAGCAAATAAAGGTACTTGAATCAATATAGGGCTTAGCCCCATAAATGTAGCCAGTTTACTGGACTACCTCCATAAATAAAGGCCGTTCATGTACCCAAAAATGTAGAACTTCGTCAAGTTTTTATTTTCACATTTAGACTTTGTTTGTAGTTTATTTACGCTTTAGGAGCACACTCACCCTCTTTAAGGCCAAATAAAAAAAAATTTAAAAACAGGTTTAGCGTCCTGCATTTTTGAAAAAAAAGGAAGCAAGAGGCCCTTTTTTTTTCTCCAAAATGGCCGTCTGACCAGGTTATTTTTCAAGATGGCCGCCAGTTTTTTTTGTTAAATCGCTGCCATTTGACTCAGGAAATGACAGTCCAGCTTTATATGGGCTAGATGCAACAGACAAAGAGGCCAAAATGATGTCACTGTTTCAAAATGTATAATTGTTTTCGGCTCTTTTTTTTTCTTTTTTTTTATAAAAAGGAGGCAGCCTCCAAAAAGCAAGTGGGCGGGGATGCTAAACTTTTTTTTTTTAATTTGGCCTAAAGCGATAGAAAATTAGTCTCCCCTTTTTCAGACATCTATATTCTCTCATCTATATAGTGTAATTTCCATGTTCATTTTGCAAATTAGCGTATCTAAATTCCAACAAGAAATTACATAAAAAATGGACGTCTGAAAAAGGGGGGACTAATTTTCTATCGCTTTAATAAAGAGGGTTGGTAGTGGGTCCGAGTTGGTAGTGGGTCCGAGTTGGTAGTGGGTCCGAGTTGGTAGTGGGTCCGAGTTGGTAGTGGGTCCGAGTTGGTAGTGGGTCCGAGTTGGTAGTGGGTCCGAGTTGGTAGTGGGGCCGAGTTGGTAGTGGGGCCGAGTTGGTAGTGGGTCCGAGTTGGTAGTGGGTCCAAGATGGTAGTGGGTCCGAGTTGGTAGTGGGTCCGAGTTGGTAGTGGGTCCGAGTTGGTAGTGGGTCCGAGTTGGTAGTGGGTCACAGTTGGCATGGTTCTGGCTGAAAAATTGATTTACTCGAGTGATTTTTTTTTTTCGCGTGAAGCAGTTTTTGATCGATTCGGAACTGATTGAACCAATCCGGAACTAGGAAAAGTGGCATCAGTAGTTTTGATGTCGTAAAGTCAAAATAAAAAGAGCTTAAATTTAGAAAATTATTTTGTAGTATCTGCATCACTCAAGGTAAACTTTTTAACCAATGTCACTTGAATTTCCTGGAGTAGTTGAACCAAAAGCAGCTGCAGCCTGAAAGTTTGCTATCCGGAACAAGGAAAACAGTAATCCTTACCTTTACGAAGTGGCTATCGTTACGGCAGTCGTTGTTTAGCGCCCTCTACGATACTTTTTTGATACGCACGCAGGTATATAATTATTTGTTTCCACACGATTTAGCGAGCAGTGCGACAGCTCAGTCGATAGAGGGTAGGATTTTGCACCGTGAGGTTGCGGGTTCGAAACTCAGTTTTGCACTCGAATTTTTTTCCTTTTCTAACCTGAGGCTTTGGAGGATTTTTTTTAAAAGGGAAATAAAGTACGAATTTAATAACGTTCAAATTCACTTTTTTCCTTCTAATTTTATATTTTCTTGTCATGTTTTTATAAAAGTTGCAGTCTATCGTAACGATAGAAAATGGGAAATGCGTTGCGGCTGCCGTAACAATAGCCACTGGGTTATCTTTAGGACCCCGTTCCTGTATAAAGACTCACCAAAACAGCTGACTTAAAATGACACTCAACAGTGACATTCTTTCTGATATTTCTTGACACATTTGAACAGTTGGCAATGACACCTTCTTGAATATCAGCACGTTTAATTTTGTGGAAAGAGGGCAGGGCTTTATGAGGGGTAAAAGACGATGATGACTGAACAGAAAATATAATAAAAAAGGAAGATGGCGAACTGCAAAAAAGGTAGGAAAGTCACATTTTCTTTGATTTAAATTACAAATTACAACTAACATGAGTTTATCTGAAGAACAGAGACTGCTTTAGCCGGCAAAAGTCACTTTGGGGCACATCCAACTACAAAAAGAAACCTTTTCCGGCGTGGCCCTGCATTCCATAGTTGCTCCCACTTTGGTACTGGACAGTCATCTGCAAAATCAGTTTTGATTAGAACTCATAAAAAAAGAGGTGTCCTAAAGATAAGGATTACCAATGGTAACCAAATACCGGGAAAATGACTGTACTTTAGTATTAAAGTAGCTCTACTGAGTGGAGCGTTGAATTACGGGTACCCCTCCATACAAACGCTCCACCGATTTGCCATACTTTGGTGACGGCGTCACAGTAGCATAGTCACAAACCCACGCGAGGACAAAAAGACCCCCCAAAAAACCGGTAAAGAGAATACAAATGAGAGAGACAGTTACCCCAAAAAAATTGTGTACAGTGAATGGCGGTCGATTACCATGCAACAGCGCGCTGGTACTAGTCGTTTTTGCCGGCTGCGCGCATGACGTCACGCGGAAGCGTAACACCCGATGACTGTTTCATGCACTAATATGAGGTTTACTATCACAGCTGCAGTACTGGAACGGCAACCAGTAGAAAAATTATCTCCAGCCCTAGATGACAACCCAATGATAAAATTTAGGGCTGGGTAACTCCAGCTAGTTTCGTGTAATAATACGTGCTCTGATCCGCGCCGTACGACAGTATGGGCTTTGAACACACGCAAGGTGGAGACGGCTGAAGCGTACACATTCTAGATTAAAAACAAATGAATGACGACAGATACCCACATGAAACTTGTATCAAAGAACTACTTATTCCTTCCTCCATGCTAATACTGACAAATGAAAATCCCATTGTTATTAAAATACGTTTCAGCCGTCTCCACTTTGCGTGTGTTCAAAGCCCATACTGTCGTACGGCGCGGATCGGAGCACGTATTGTTAGACAAAACAGTCGTTGATAAAGCGCGACTTGTTTTTCTTCGATCGTCACGTCAGACGCCCTCATTCGGCAAACCGGTGCAAGGATTGAGCCTCACGGCGAACACATTGAGCTGTAAGTTTTCAGACTATTTTGCTGTTTTTCTTCAAAATTTTCGCTGTTTGGGAACAATGTAAGTGGTCTGATGGAATGTCATGAATGTGTAGATCAATCCAGGGTAACTGTCTCTCTCATTTGTATTCTCTTTACCGGTTTTGAATTTTGGGGGGTCTTTTTGTCCTCGCGTGGGTTTGTGACTACATGTATGCTACTGTGACGCCGTCACCAAAGTATGGCAAATCGGTGGAGCGTTTGTATGGAGGGGTACCCGTAATTCAACGCTCCACTCAGTAGAGCTAGTATTAAAGTAGGATGGGTTGACATATTATCGCGGTACTTATCACGTTTCTCGTTCGGAATAGAGATTGCCCACTAACCTTCCTGAATTGTCCTGTCTTTTGTGTAGTATAACTCTTCCTTTTCAAATTGATATAAACAATTCCGACGGTGGTGTGGTTTATTCCGTGTACGACGCCTGTGAAAATAGACATGCTCGGAGTGTGCGAACGGAGGTGGACTCCCTATTATCGCGGTATGCGGGAAGTGGTTTTTATAATGATCTCAACTTTTTTATTTAAAGTTAATGTTTGACCAAAACATCCCCTGAATAAAGTCTGATATTTTCCTTGTAAGGTCAAGTTGATTAAAGACTATTATATCTGCAGGATGATTTCTAAGACCCTGCCCTTCCCCCGAAAGGAGAACACAACTCACTGAGGCAAGTCTACTGTTTGACTAATGGGGGCGCCATTCACTTGACACGGTGTGCCGTTTTATTTTTGTTAACGCGCTGTGCTTATTTTGATCCCGTAAAAGTTTTTACGATTTCGCAGTGCAAATATCGTCCTTCGACTTCATTTTACATTTGCAGCTGAAGAATGGGAACCAGGCAATGGAACTTTCATGGACATAGCACCATTAAAGATTTGTATTAAAGTATAGACGGTACCTTTTAGCAGACACAGTGAGGGAAAATTTGCAAGTTTTGGAAAACGTTATTATTTAGGCAGTGTATATTTTGCCGGAGACGGCAAACATTTAGTAAACGTTAGTTTGCCGGATATGCACTGAACATGCGCAGTTACTGTTTTTTCCGGTGACAAATTTTAGTCTGGCTCCATGCCAAAATTTTCGTTGTAACCTCGTATTCACAAGATAGGGATTCAGACCATTTTATAATTTCGGACTTTATTTCCCTTTTAAAAAAAATCCTCCAGAGCCACAAATCTAAAAAAGAAAATGTAATACTCTGCAAAAAAATGTTTGAGACATGTTAAAATAATAAAAGAAGAATATTATTATTCATTTGGGGATGAGAAAAAAAAACTTTAAAATGTGCTGCGATCAGAATCGAAACCCGCGGCATCCCGCTTTCTAGAGCCTTTGCTTAACCACTACACCAAACGTGCTACACAACTTTTGGTGGGAATTTTAATACATCTTATACTTTAGCCCTATCTTAAAGAGTACAGCGCCCTCTGTTGATATGGATTGCCGCCGGCAAACCTTTAGTAAACGTTAGTTTGCCGTCATTACCTCCGGCAAAATATCCACTATCTATTATTTATTAAAAATTGTTAAGTCCCGAAAGACACAACATTTATTAATCGTCCTTTTTATACAACTTGGCAAAAAGTCCTTAATGACTGGTGAACTGCAAAAAATGGCCACTTGAAGGAGTTTTGGCAACGCAAAAAGAGAAATTTCCCATGCCGCGATAATAGGGATGCCGCGATAATAGGGAGTCCGACTATACATGTATGGCTATTCTTTCTCATGAAATTAGTGCAACGCATTTACAGGCACGACAGGTAGGGGCCTACTGTACAACTATTAAAAGTTATCTTAAAATACCGCAACCGCCTTAATTATGTTTTTACCTCGATTCAGGATCATTAGATGCTGGGTTGTGTTTCCGTTTTTTCGTGCTTTGATCATCACGTTCCTCGAAAACAGCAAAAAGATCCCCTCCGAACGCATCTGCCATGACTAAAAAGTGTCGACCCGATTGCACACGTGCGCAAAGTATTGGCGAGATTTTTAACTGGTGTCACGATACGTACGAGAGGCCGCCCCGTGCATGCCATAGGCAGGAAACCAGTATACTTGTCTTTACGATTCGCTGCTTTTAACCGTTGCTTTTAAGCTTTTAGGTCAACTCGGTCCGTGACCAACTCGGTCCGAGTCAACTCGGTCCGTATTAACCGACTCGGTCCGTGACCAACTCGGTCCGTAACCAACTCGGTCCGTAACCAGCTCGGTCCCTATGGGAAAATGTACGCAAAAAGATTGCATTTGTTTGTGACAAGGTACGGAGCCCCTAAAGGGACATCCAAAATTATTTTTTATCTCGTGCGCACGACATAATATCTCGTGCGCACGACATATATCTCGTGCGCACGACATAATTATCTCGTGCGCACGACATAATATCTCGTGCGCACGAGATAATTATCTCACCGGCCCACCGGTGAATAATTTTGTCAAGTTTTGCTTTTTTCTGAGAGAGAAGCGTTTTATGCAAAAAAGAACCGGTACGTGCTGGCAAAAATCAGGGAATTTGTGGACAATAACAAGAAAATTGCCAACGTGAATTAAAATTGATTTAAAGGGGAAGGAAATGAAGATTTGTTATCAGCATCAGCAGTTTGAATGGATGCGAGTCGGACGGTCTTACTCTCCCTCCCATTTTAAACGAAGTCTCATTATGAAGAATGAGTGGGAAGTAGTGAAGGATGGTTGACCTTTAAGGTTTCTAAGGGTGGGAATAAAGTAAAAGCCCCTGCCCAGAGCAATCAGTTCAATGATTGACAGCTTTTTAGCCTTCAGCAGTGATTTTCTTTGCCTCATTTTAACGCTTTTTTGCAAATTACGGGACTGGTCAGATCTTTCTCCGTCTGTTTTTGGTTGGCTTTTGTTGATTCTCCTCGCCATGCCCAAGCAGACTCCGATGGGTGTGTTTATAGTGGAGCTGCTTAGGTCCATTTTTTTGGCCCAATTCGTGCACTTTGTTTTAAAAGCATGGAATTTGGCATGTGGGGTCAAAATGGGTTAGAAATCATTTTAAGAGTAGGGGAGAAGGGAGGGTACCAGACTTTACCCCTCCCATTATCCCCCTTCCCCAATGATCCCCCGTCCCCAATGATCCCCCGCCCCCTCCCCTGCCCTGATCCCCCTCCCAATATCTCAGTCTCGGAATCAGGCCAAAATCGGACCCAATATCTCTCGTCTTGAAGATCTCTCTCTCACCAGCCGGTGAGTCTGATTGCTTATAAATCCAAAAGTCTGACCTCTTAAAAAAAATTTAAAAAATTATATTGATATACATGTATATAAATGATGAATATGATCAGGCCAATCGTTAAGGGATTTTCTAGGTGGAATAAAAAGCCACGCTGCGCGATTACGTCCAGCGATATAATATACCGTACAATCAAAATGTTGCTATTACGCGTAAAGTCTACATCAACGGGATAAAAAACTACGAAGCTCGATTTAAAAACTTGAGGAAAAAGACGCTACATGAGCTCAAACAGATTGTAGACGATTTCGATCTAGAATATAACCCGTCGGGTTATAAAGGTCGATTTTTGAAAAAAAGATTTACTCTCAGCGATTCCAAACTCTAGGCAACCCAAAGATTTTCAAGAGGCTGAGTTTAGAGCGACGAGGAGATTTAGAAACAACTTTAGAAACTGGGAACTGATTCCTAGACTTTTTAACGACGATTTAGTCAGATTTTTTGATACGCATAAAGATCAAATTGTAAATAAAATCAAGTCAGAATTGAGAGAGCTAAGAGGTTTAAAAGTAGAGCTTGCAATCAAAATAAAATACGAAAAAACCAAACCGGATGGTACGATCGAAACGATCGAGGCTACACATTTTACCGATCAGAGAGTCGTTTTAAATCAAAGTCAAATAAAACAGGTTTTAAAAGAAGACATCGACCAGCTATTTAAAAAGGATGAAAGGTATACGAATCAAGGATCGGGTTCTTATATTGACGTACCAAAATGTATCAAACAGAAAACGGCGATGATAAACATTAAAAACAAAGACGACGAGTGTTTGAGATGGTGTTTGAGAGCTGCTCTTGGCTTGTATACGGATAAAGTAAAAAATAACATAAAAAACGATCCTAAATATAAAATTCATAAAGAAGAACCTGTTGTATACACCAAAGACGACGGACTCAAATTTAAAGGCGTAAACTTTCCAGCACCGATCGACCAGATACCAAAGATAGAAAGACAAAATAATTTAACGATAAACGTATACGGTTATGAGGGGAAAATATATCCGTTATACGTGTCTAAAAACTACAAAGCAGAGTCACGACCTATCGATCTGTTTTTGTTTTCCGAGGGCGACAAGCATCACTACTGCTGAATAAATAATTTTTCGAGATTGATTTACAACGTTACAAAACATAAAAGTAAGAAATATTTTTGTCGAAGGTGCCTGTGTCATTATAGAACGCAAGTAAAATTAGATAGACACATGACCGATTGTACTGGTATAGATACACATCCATCAAAGATTGTATTTCCTACCGCTAAAAAAAAACGCTAAGCGACAATATGTAAATAACGAGTGGATAGTCGACGAAAACGATGTGCCAATATTAGAATTTAAAAACTACAGGTTTAAACAAAAAGCACCGTTTGTAGTTTACGCCGACTTTGAATCGATATTAGAAAAAAAAACTCGGACGATAAAAAGGACAACACGCAAAAGACAAACATTCACAAAGCAAGCGGTTACTCGTTGGTAGTAGTTAGATACGACGGCACTAATGCGTATCAAGAGACTTATAGAGGTAAAGATGCTGCATCAAAGTTTGTAAATAAAATGTTAAAAATACAAAGCGACATAAATTGCATATTTAAAAAACCCCAACCCATGAAATTTAACGAGCGAGCTAAAGAACATTATGATAAAACAAACACGTGTTGGATTTGCGAGAAACCAATTTATCCCAATTACTCGAGCTGTCAGTGCCAGAAACCCAAAAAAAAAAAACCAGAAAAACAAATAAAAGAACATCAATACGAAAACAAAAATGGATTTACCGAGTCTAAATGCCTCGAATGCAATGCAAAAAGAAAATCAACAAATTTAGAAAGGTGAGAGATCACTGCCACGTCACGGGTAGATATAGAGGTGCCGTGCAAGCCTACTGCAATCTAAAATTAAAAGTTAAACCAGGTTTTACCCCCATACCGGTCGTCTTTTACAATCTGCAAAATTACGACGCTCAGACTTGATCATGTAGAGTACATGACGAAAAGGAAAAGTTATCGCTAGAAATTCGGAAAAGTATATTTCGTTTTCGATCGGAAATATGCGATTTATAGACTCGTTTAATTTTATGGCGTCTTCGTTGGATAGATTATCTAAAGCTTGTCCAAAAAGTCGTTTAAACTACTCAGAGAACATTTTAATCGTCAAAACATCGACTCGTTGTTACAAAAAGGAGTTTATCCATATGAATACATGATTTTGACAGATTTCAAGGGACCAGCCTACCCCCCATCGAACAATTTTACAGCAGCCTAAAAGACGAAAATATATCGCGAGAGGACTACTGACGTGGAACGAGTTTAAAGTTAAAAACATGGGGGAATATCACGATGTGTACGTCACTACCGATACGTTATTACTGGCTTGTGTATTTGAAAACTTTAGGCAAACGTGTATTACAAACTACGCGTTAGATCCAGCTAATTACTACACAGCACCAGAATTGTCGTGGGATGCCTTGTTAAAACACTCGGAAGTTAAACTCGAACTATTGCAAGACGTAGACAAACATTTATTTTTTGAAAAGGCAAAAAGAGGTGGTATCTCGAGCGTGGGTGGTATGAGATACCACAAAGCCAACAACAAATACCTACCCGACCATAATCCAAACGAGCCGTCGAGTTACATCACCTACCTCGATGCAAACAATCTGTACGGCTGGGCCATGAGTCAATACCTGCCGTACAAAGACTTTAAATGGGCGTCTACAAAAACGTTTACTGAGTCCAAGATATTATCTCTCAGGAAAACATCAAACACCGGTTACTGCTTTGAAGTAGACCTCGATTACCCGGACAATCTCCACGACCTACACAACGATTACCCCCTAGAGCCAGAAAATATCGTAATACCAAAAGAATGGATTTCTGATTATCAAAACGAGTTATTGGATACCGAACCTAGTAGCAACGTGCAAAAATTAACGTGTACCCTTAATCCTAAAGAAAAATATGTTTTGCACTACGTCACGTTGCAGTTGTATCTCAAACTCAGCTTGAAACTTAAAAAGGTGCATCGAGTGCTGCAATTTAAACAAGTGCCTTGGATGGCATCTTACATAGACAAAAACACGCAACTCCGAACAAAAGCGACCTCTGATTTTGAGAAAGACTTTTTTAAACTGATGAATAACAGCGTGTTTGGTAAGACGATTGAAAACGTCAGAAACCGGATTGACGGTTACCTACTCAGAGACAGTAACGATGACGATCGAGATAAATACCAAAAATTTATACAGAAACCGAGCTACAAAACGACGACGTCATTTTCAGAATGCAAATTGTCATTTGTCGAAAAGTACAAGACTAAAACCGTGTTAAACAAACCGATCTATTACGGAGTGAATATCTTGGATCTAGCTAAGACATTGATGTACGATTTTTATTACAACCATTTGAAAGACAAGTACAAAGAGAAAATCAGTGTCGTGCCTGTGAGCAGGTCCATCGTGCCTGTGAGCAGGTCCATCGTGCCTGTGAGCAGGTCCATCGTGCCTGCGAGTAAAACCATCGTAACTGTGAGTAAAAACATCGTGCCTGTGAGCAGGTCCATCGTGCCTGTGAGTAAAACCATCGTGCCTGTGAGTAAAACCATCGTGCCTGTGAGTAAAAACATCGTGCCTGTGAGTAAAACCATCGTGCCTGTGAGTAAAAACATCGTGCCTGTGAGTAAAACCATCGTGCCTGTGAGTAAAAACATCGTGCCTGTGAGCAGGTCCATCGTGCCTGTGAGTAAAACCGTCGTGCCTATGGGGCGCAATGTGTAAATAAATTATTTAAC